TTTGTATTACCCGTGTGTTATAGGGGACCTTAAGGCAGGGTTATTCACCTACTAAATATAAATTTTACTATATAAAAAAAAACCACAACAGCTAAAAATGCTGCAGTTGGTTCTAGAATGTCATGTAAAGTGCAGGTATCTAGCTTATTATTCAACAAAGTTTATCCAGGGACCAAAATTTTGAAAATGATGGTCGCCATGGGCCAGAGACCAGAATTCCAGGGTAGGAAGATCAATAATAAATGCTATACAACTTTCAATAATCCATGGGCTACTTGCCAGGCCTCTGCACACAAGATTTAGCCTGCAGGCCGCTAGTCCAATAGCCCTGCCTTAGAGGAAGCAAAGAATAATAAAAATGCTCCCACACTAGGTATATCGTAAGAAGAGACAAAAGGTAATACAGGCTCTGAAGCTGTCTACCTCATCGTGTGAAGCATCATTGCCACAAACATAAGCCATGAGGAAAAGTTGGAAAAAAAAAACAAATATGAGATTTTTTTTTAAAAATGAGAAAAAATGTGTGTGATAACAAATGGTAGGACAACTTGGCATGAGATGGCATGGCATGAGATGGCTGAGAGTCTATGCTCCACTGGGGGGATAAAGAGTAGAAGGGGAAAATAAAAACAAGAAGAAAAAGAAAAGGAAGAAGAAACAGAAGAAGAGTAGGAAAAAAAGAAACAATATTCGCTGTAGGACAATATAAATGTTTAAGAAAATTGTGAAACTGAAAAAAAAAAAAATTACAATGATTATTGATGTCATCCAATATTAAATATAATTCAAAATTGTATGGACTTTTGGTATAAGGGGAAACCATTTGTCTAATTCTTTGAAGGTTGTGGGTTAGATTTCAGATTCTGTGTTCAAGTGTTTCTGAAATACCCGGGTACAATGCTGGAGCTACAGAGTTTCATGTTTGGTGTGATACTCTGGCAGGTGACCATGCATTCTTCAGAGAAAGATCGACCTAGTGGCATGAAATTAACTCTCTCATCTTTTAAACACTTTATTATTAGAAACATTTAAGTTTAAATTTAAAAAACTTTTAAGATAATATAAATTTAAACTTGTTTACAAAATTTGAATAAAGGTAATGGTAAAGTCGGGAGATATGAACCAGCATCATTGCACACGGTTATAAAACATAAGTGCTCTGCCACCAGTATAGACAGCTGATAAGAAACTGTCCACCTGTGTCGCCGTCCGCACGTAACTCTATAGCTACAGTCACGTTCCTCCATTTACCCCAGAGTTTCACTCTGGTACCCATTTCCCAGAGGCTGGGTGAGCCCCGGGAACCACCCGGTTTCAAACACCAACTATGGCTGCAGCAAGTCGCAGCTGGATTTGAAAGCGATCCTCCTATCGCTTGTATGGACTTTTGGTATAAGGGGAAACCATTTGTCTAATTCTTTCTTGAGAACTGTGATGGCCTAGTCATATCATATATACACTGACCTTTTTTTGCCTGTGAGTGTGAATTTGTTTGCTTTTCCTCTTCCCTTTTAATTCCTTCTTCTTTTCTATTTTTTTTCTCCATTTGTTCGCATTCACCAGCTGTAACTCTGGCGGAAAGTTCTAGCTGTTCGTCCACTTCTGAACTGCAGTCCTGTTCCAGAACCTGAGTGTTGCGTGCGCATCCATTTGACAGATCTGACTAATTTGTAAGCAGACTGTTGGTTCCTCGCCTCTCAGGCAGATGCACTCCGACTTCAAAGGAAGCTCCCAATGAGTCGATTCTTACGACATGCTTTTGGGTAGGCAGTGGGTTTATTCTTGTTTTCCCTATAATAGGGCCCCGGAACCCACACAGGGAACATAATTATTGAATCGGTGAGTCAAAACAAACATATGTTTCTATATGACATTTTAAACACCTATAGGAGGGTCATAATAACCAGCTAATGAAATAAAGACCATGTCAGACAGATTAGCAAGTCCTGCTATTAAATTACTCATCTTCCTCAATAATTTCTTACTATGGATTTGGTATACTTAATGAGCAGGAATTCTCCAGCTGCATGGCTTTATGTTCATTTAAACAAGTTCTTTTCTCCTCTGCTTGTTGAAGTTACCTCCTTTTACAGGATTTCAGATTATCACTTGCAACACCTTTATGTTTTACTGGTTAGTGTCAAAGATCTTTTTCCTTGTTTTTGTTTGTAGAAAGGGTGGGGAAGAGAGCTCTGCAATACATTACCAGTTGAGAAATGCACTTCATTTGAGGAAACTGATGAACACTAAATGGGATTACTTTAAAAAAGGTGAGAAAACAGAAATGTCTTGACAGCCACTGGTATCAATTGTTATAAGACAAAGAACATAGTGGATGTTTTGGGCACATCCTAAAAGAAGCCAGCAGAAAATCAGTAAGTAGCCACTGCAAATGGGTAACAAAGAGATTGAGGAAATAAGAATGCCCAAGTGAAACCCTACAAGATGCACAAATAAGAGAGGTCTGAGATGCAGGAAAATATTCCATCCATGACAGTGACAGGATTAGAGTGACCGCTAGCCCCAGGTGATATATTATATTATACACAATAGAATGATGATAATGATATTTTCTTCAGTTTCAAGTCAGGCAGAAATTCTTTACACCAACCTCACTTTGAAAGGTGCATGCCTTTTTTACAGCCTGAAAGATCTGAAGGTGAATGCACCAGGCTTGAAGAAACCAACTTAGTTTTCATTATACTTCAATCAATCAATCAATCAATCAATCAATCAATCAATCAATCAATCAATCAATCAATCAATCAATCAATCAAATAAGTAAAATGTCTTTTTCCCTTTGTTATTTGTAGTGCTTAAAAATGTATCATCTTATTTAAATGTGGTCTTTCCAGAATTTTCTTCTTTTTGTTCACGTTCACCGGCTGTAAACTCTGGCAGAAAGTTCTGGGTCTTCGTCTACCACTGAACTTTATCCTGGTTCCAGAACCCCATTGCTGTGTGCACATCCATTTTACAGATCTGACTGATGTGTATGCAGACTATTGGTTCCTTGCCTCTCTTGCAGATGCACTCCGACTTCGAAGGAAGCCCCCCCACCCCCCGTTAGTTGACTCTTACGAGATGCTTGTTGGGGAGGCAGCGGGTCTGTCTATTCTTTTTTTTTTCCCGAAATGGGGCCCAGGAACCCACTCGGAGACTTTTCAGAATTCTATAAGAAATCATATCTATTTTGTCTAATTTCTCTCTAATTGTCACAAACATACATTTTCTCACATCATCATCATATATCTAAGAAGTAATATAGAGATCAAGAGCTACACGATAAGTCTGGGGAAGGCAAACAAATTAAGAAATTAAGAAGGTAAACCAATTACAAAACTAGAAATAGAAATTAAGAAAAAAAAATAACTTAATTATAAAAAGCTCACAACAAATGTATAGATACATTATAGGTACAGAGGAAGAACACAGATTATAATTAAAAAATGCAAATCCAAATGAGAAACAGAATGCAATAATCACGAACAATAACATGAATACTGAAGCGAAAAAAGCCTTCATAAGCATACAACAGAAATAGAAAATGATATAATTACAAATAAGAATAAATAAAATACAGATTATATTGTTTAAGTGAAGGAAACAAACTTTTATTTGTGCAAATTGCACATTCTCATTACCTGTATTATTTGTCTGTTAATTTTTGTGTATCTATGAAAATGTTCGGCAGTTCATTAAAAAAAAAACGAAAAGCATTTTGCTTATTTAACTGCATCAGAAAATATTATTCCAATACAAAGACATAATGCTATTCCTTAGGTAGGTTAAAAAACTTGAAATGATGACAGTATGAAGCTGTCGAATACTGAATGAGTACCATTCCCCCCTTCCCCCCCCCCCCCCCCCCCCCCCCAAGGAAAATCAAGATGACTTGGGTTCAAAAACACATTTGGATCACTGACCCCCAAAAAAACACGCCTGTATTTGTGCCACAGCATGCAGGTGTAAATAGGTATATGGTGACATACTGGGTGCATCCTGAAGAGAAGCGAACAGAAAATGATCAAACAGATGACTGAATTTGAGAGGGCAAGGATATCCAAGGGAAACCCTTAAATGGATGTTGCTGAGATAGGCCAAAGGTACTGGACTGGATTTCATCCATGATATTTAACAATTGCACAGGATAGAATGTAATGAAGAACAGACAGTGAGCCCTCAATATGACATATAAAAGAGCACCAGGATGATGATGATGGTGATGATGCAGATGAAAGAGAAAGTAGCTACTATAAGCCACAGATGGGATATACTGAATGCTTTCAGATTAACAGTCTGATTATATGAATCAAGTGATGACTGTGAATCCACAACCATTTACCATACTGCAAGAATAGGAAGTCATAGGAGTGAGGCCAGACAAGAACACTATGAGTAAACAGACACAGAAGTGGTATCATCAATTATTATACGCTGAAGGATAAAATGAGCAGGGAATCTGAGCAATTATGAGTTTAATGTGTGCTAGGGATGATCTGTGAAGTAAGTAAGTAAGTAATTAACTTAATTTCTTTTTCTTTGTCTTCACGTACACCAGCTGGAAACTCCGGTAAAAATGTCTGGTTGTTCGTCCATTTCCAGACTTCAGTCTCGATCCAGAACTTGAGTTCTGCATGCATAACCATTCTACAGATATGGCTTACTTATGTGTAGACTGTTGGTCTCTTGCTTCTAAGGCAGATGTACCCTGACTTTGATGGAAAAAGTCCTAATTAGCTGTGTTCTACAATATGGCTTTTTTTTAGGGGAACAGTTGATTCCCACCCACCTCTCCACCACAGGACCTCGGATACCACAGGGGGGAACTAAGTAACTTAAACCATGCTATCTTCATAAGATCAGCTGCAATCAAATTCCAGCATCCTCTAACGGCATCTGCATGTTGACCTCAGGCTTTATTTAATTTTATCTTTTGATGTTTTTAATCCAAACGTTCAAATCTTTTATAATACCAGGCAATGTTAAATTGTAAACATTTATGAGGTAATACTTTTCCAGAGCGGGTGCAGTGACGGAGGGATAAATGTATCAATAAATGAAATATTAAGGCCAAAACTAACCTGAAAGCCAGCTATTCTGTTTGAGATTGTGGGCTTCACATTGAAAGTGAACAAGCCTACATTTGCTGAGTAACCAAAGCCTTTAAATAAACTTGAAATACTGGCAAAAAGTGAATTAACACGAATTGGCTGATTAGCCTGTTTGGCTTTTTTCTTCTGACCCATGACAGTTGGCATTTTTGGAGGACATGTAGCTGTCTTCTGTGTTGTTCCTGAATTAACTGCACCTGTTTAAAAATAAAATTATTTTTATTCTTTCTGTCTCAGCGTTTTGTATTTCTTCTGATTACATTTCTTACCCTGCCCCTCCTCCTCCTCCTCCTCCTGCTGCTGCTGCTGCTTCTCCTCCTCCTCCTCCTTCTTCTTCTTCTTCTTCTTCTTCTTCTCCTCCTTCTTCTTCTTCTTCTTCTTCTTCTTCTTCTTCTTCTTCTTCTTCTTCTTCTTCTTCTTCTTTGTCTTTTTAATTTCCATTAGAGTACAGGCTCTAGACAACTCCTGCCACATCTTTTGTAGACTTATTTATGACTGGCTGGATTCTGAGCTAAAGTACAAGTCTCAAATTGGCCTAATGTGTCACATTACTATATAAGCTACTGTGTGTCTGAATCATGGACACCAGGTTAAACAGAATACAAACTAGATGTCTTAAAGAATACTAAGAGTCTCCTGGAGTCCATCGATATCTTAGAAATATCCAGACACTACAAGAGGTCCACATATTTGGAAGGATGAGGCAGCCACACCAAGCAATCCTTGCTGCCTTGTACAAACTTAAAATTGTTGATTCTAATTTCAAATCAGTACTTTTGTATGGAGTGGAAACATGAAGAACAAATTTAATAGTTACTAATAAACGACATGCTTTCATTAACTGGTGCCTGTGCAGAACAGAGGAAATTAAATGATATAATAGAATCACTAATGTAGAGCTTTGAGGGAGAACTTAAGTTCCAGTGGACCAAGAGGTGAAGAAAAGATGCTGGCGTTGGATAGAACATATGCTTAGAAAACCTGAGAACAATATAATTAGAGTATCTGTACACTGCAACCCACAGGGACACAACAATAAAGGCAGTCCAAAAAACACACAGAGAAGGGAACTAGAGAGTGAAGTAAAAAAAAAAATTGGGGAGGACATGGGGCATGCAACAGTGAAGGAGAGAGTGACTTGGCGTGAGTTGGTTGAGGGCCTATGCTCCACTGGGAGTGAGTGGGCAGAAGAAAAAGACGACATGAATGCTAGGATATACTAGTGAGAAAGAAGAATGACGAGGAGAATTCTAAAAATGTTTATTAAAAAAAACTTTACCTGAATATGTCTTCTGGTCCCAGTTGTCAAAGTAGTGGGTCCCCCCAATTCTAAGATCAGTTATAGAATCCTCCAGGTCATGAACTTCACCACTTGGTAGCTGACTGGTTGTGTCTACTTCCAAGTCTGTAGTTCCTTTAGCACACATCAGCAAGAAAGTCTGAGGAGAGAATTTATCAGGAAATGTGACCAAGTTTCCTGAGTTGCTCTACTTTCATCTGTCTCTTAAAAAAAGCTTATAAAAATAACACATCCGTAAACATGAAATCTGAAACATGTCGGGAAAACAATAAAAAAAAATTGTTGTGTTTTAATTTTAATATCCAGGGATTGTCATTATCTCTCATGCATGGGAACATTGTGTCATTACAACCATATGTCTGTTCTAACCAAACTAACTGCTTGGTGCTATTAACAATTCTGTCAAAAAGCCCTATATTAAATAACATCATCTCCATACTTTGCTGAAGCCAGAGTGAGCTATCTCCATCTTTCCTCTGAAAGCAAGAAGACAATTCCTAAAGCACTGCTGTCTTTTCTAGTTTGATTGTGCAGCAACAGATACCATCATGCCATCATAAAGCTAGCTATGTTGCAATGTTTCATCGGTCTGAGGCCGGTTGCTAGCATCTGACTGTCACCAGTTGTACATATAATAGCATCTGACTGTCACCAGTTGTACATATAATAGCATCTGACTGTCACCAGTTGTACATATAATAGCATCTGACTGTCACCAGTTGTACATATAATAGCATCTGACTGTCACCAGTTGTACATATAATAGCATCTGACTGTCACCAGTTGTACATATAAAGCAACAGGTTTGTGTCCCTCTTCATCTGGTTCCCATCCCTGGACTTGTCAGACATAGGAGACCCTACCAGTAGCTAAGTTACCATCAACACAGCTCTTGTGGAACACACTAGCCCATCTACCAGTGCAAAGTGAAGATATATAATTTCACGCCTTAAAGGTTTCCCCTCTTTCTTAGATATTCATTGTATTCTTGACAAAGCATTACAGTCTGCTGTGTTTGTAAAATGTTACTGTGTTTGTTATTTGACCTATGCTTAGTTAATATAAGTTTCTGTAATCTATGGTGTCATTTCAACGGTTTCAGATGAATTCTCTCAGTACAATCAGACGGTTACTGGTACCATCTGAATTGGAACTCCTTGCTTGCTGCTGAAGATGGAAACTGAGCACTTATGGGAGTGTCCTGAGTGCTGTGATGTCGATTCTCAATTCAACATTCTCTCCGTATACCATAGTTGTGGATTTCCAGCTATATGACAGACATGGCCAATGAAGACAACTTTTTTATGGGTGCCTATGTGGTCATGTATCTGAGTACACTTGTTTCCATAGCGAGGTGCACATACCATTTTGAGGTAACAGGTTAGATTCCCAGAACAGTAACTATAGCTTTTGATTAGTATGTTGTCTAGTGTGTCCTTCTGTCTTTCTACTTCTTTCTATGAGTGCCAATCAATACACTGTTAGTTTACTTATTATATATATAATGGAGATATGTTGGAAGGATATCTACCCCATGAAGCCTGATAAACAAAGTGGAAGATGAAGATGGTGATGCATGTAACCGCCTCGACCAGCATTATCTCTACATTAGTAATAAAACAATCAAAAAGCTTTTTTGAATACAAGTAAAAGATGCCAAACTATGAATAAGACTGTTGAGAGAGCACAGATATGCTGGGACACATTCTAAACATGATGCTGGCAAAATTGCACAGGATAGAAGGGAAAGAATGATTTGACTGTAATCCTAATGTGAGATACAATGGCAATGTTCATTTAAAGAACATCTTCATCGTATATCCGACACATACACTGGCAACAGCATTTTAAATGAATGAAGAATAGAAAGTAAGTACCTTGATGACATCCACATCATGATCTAAGAGAACAACATAGACCACATCTAAAGAAGTCTTGGGGAACTGGTAGTTATGTAAGGTGGCAGCCTCTATCAGACAGGCCGCTACTTTCTCCGCAGGATAGCCATGGCCAATGCCCAGGGCAGGAAATGCCACACTCTTGTGGTTTTTTACTGCTGCTAATTCTAGACATTCGAGTAGGCTCTGCAGCAAAATCTGGAGAAACAAAAAGTTCAATGGTAACTCACAAAATATACAGCTTGATTTAATTTACTGACTGATAGGCAATGGGAATTACAAAAACATGTTACAACAAATGAGGAATTTGTGGTGACCAAATTGCATCAAAAATAAAAACAATAAATGAAAGGACAGAAATCTGAAGAAAAAAAAGATAAGTCAATCACAAATTATGCTGTTACACACAATTTAACGAATAACAGGTAATGAAAAATAAAATAAGAATAACGCAAATTAAAACTAAAAATAATTAACACAGATGATAATAAAAATCCATGAACAAAAACAAACAAAAAAATTATGAATAAAAGGAAACAAAGTCAGATGTACAGGAGCAAGAAGACCACAACAATCGAGATACAGGTAATGACATGACTTCAGTCAGCAAGTAAAAACAATGGGCAAAAACTGAAACTGCATTTTCAGAACTATTAGTATTAATATAGTAGTATATAGTATTTAATAAAAATATATGTAATTTAAATTCAGTTCTACAGTATTAAAAGAAGTAGGAATATTTTCCCTGACCAGTATGGCTCTGGGATCACACCAGTTTAAAGTAATGGGAGTCAGGCTCTTCTTCTTCTTCTTAGCATTCAGCAGCTGTAAACTTGGGGTAGAAAATTCTGGTTGTTCATCCACTTCTGGACTCTGGTCTTGTACCAGAACTCATTTTATGTGCACATCCATTTTACAAATCTGGCTTATTTGTAAGCAGACTATTGGTTCCTTGCCTCTCAGGCAAAAGCACTACATTCTGAAGGAAACAACTTTAATAAGTAACTTTTATGACATGCTTGTTGGGGGAGCAGTGAGTCTATTCTTTTTTTTTCCTCCCTCAAATGGGCCTCAAAACCCACATGGGGACAAGGACATTATAGTTATTAGGTTTTTTTTTTTAATGTATCAAATGCCAAAATACTGACATCCTGAAAGATCTGAACATCAAGGAGGATTCGCTAGTAAACAGCATCCTGTCTCGGAAGCTGATATATTGTTGCCATGTCAAGTACTGTGGCAGATTGGAAAGAATAGTAGCAGAAGGCAGGGTGCCAGGAAAAAGGGGTAGGGGCCAACCAGCATGAAAGTGGGCACAGGATATATTTTACACCTTGTGTAGGTGGTTGTTGTTGTTACTGATCCAGCGGCGCATGAGCTGTCACCCTCTGGCCCAATGCCATGTAGTGGAATTTGCATGTTTTCACAAGCTGTTCTTTTTCTCCGTACAAGGTGTTCCACTTGTCTGGTCTAGGAGGGTGTAGACCTTGTGTAGAAAGGTGCATGAGGCAAGAGAGCTGGTGAGACACCAAGTTTCTTTCAGGAAGGCTGTGATGAGAGGCAGATTCTGCAAATGACACATTACATGATGATGATCCTTCTTCTTCTTCTGCGTTCATTCAAGACGTAAAAGCTTTGTGCCTGTTTACAATATGGCTGCAATATTTGTGCCTTTTGGTTGACACATTCAATTTCTGCAAGGATTTGTTACCTCGGTTACCCGTCCCAGTGATGATGATCTAGTGCCAGCATCTTTTCCTCACCTCTTCATTTTTTGGAGTTTGTTTAATTCCCACCTAAGCTCTACATCAGTTTTGAGGTTTTAAACAATGGATCAACATCATGACACACGGGTGTAACCCATAAGTGCTCTGTTCTTCTTCTAACTCAAGTCTGAGTCCGAAGAAGCTCAGCACAGTGCACAGGCTCTGTAGCTCCGGCGAGGATCCTGAAATACTTTGGGTAGATTTTTTACTCCAAATTTTGCCAGGACAGCGCCGTTAGGCCACTATTTTCAATTTACAAATGCCAAGGGATTTTTTATGTGCGCAACAATGCATACAGGCGTCCGATCACACTACCCCGAGACCAGGGGGAATTACTAGATGTCCAAGTCCACGTGAAAAAATCCCAGCCCTTACCGGGGATTAAACCCAGAACGTCTAGCACACGAGGCGGACACCATGCCTCTAGACCACGCCGCGCCCTAGCTCTACATCAATGGGATACCAATTAAATTATAATTACTGGCATCATGACAGCCAACAGACTGTGGTGGTTGGGGCATATAGAGAGAATGGCAGATGACGGTGAAATAAAAACTGTACACACAAAAGTCCTGAATGCAATGCGGACCAAGAAGACAGTGGAGAGAAAATATACAAGCAGATCTTAAAACACTTGGAATCACTAACTAGAAAGAGAAGACCAATTACAAAGACGAATGGAGGCGGTTGATATTTAAAGGAATAAACATCAAGTGTCAGGAATGCTGAAGAAAAAAAGAAAAATTACATTACATAAACTAACAAAATGTTTTTTTACTCTAGACATCAGATAATTTATGCATTATTTTACCTGTTCATTTCCTGGCCGGTAAGTGCAAAGACAGATGAAGTTCAAATCCTTGAAGTTTTGTAATTTTCCAGATGAGACAGCTTCAACTTGACCTATTTTTAATTCTTTCCCAGGATCCCTCTACAAAAAATAAAAAAAAGAACTACATGCGGTATATGCAAGCATAATCAGGAGGGATTGGTGGAAAGGGAGTACGAAAAACCCCAAAGTTTCCTAATCATGTAACCTCAGCCATTTTAATCATGTGACTAGTAACCTTGATCCTGTGACCTCATTATCCTACTCACTATCAGTCCCCTGTCCTTTCTTTGTCACTCTCTCCTCTGGCTTTCTTGTCATTCTGGTTCACGGTCACTCTTTCTCTTTATTACTCTCAATCTTTATCACCCTCATTCTTTATCACCATCTCTTTCTCTCTCTCATCATATTTTATCTCTATGTTATTCTCTCTTTATTACACCCCCACCCTCTTTTCCATCCGTGTATCGTATTTTAACACTGTCATTGTTTCTTTGTCACCCTCTTCATAGTTTACACTACTTTGTCACATTTTTTGTCACTTTCACTTCTCCTTCTTTTTTACTCATAGGTTGTAAGCTCCGGTGGAAAATCCTGGTTGTTCATCCATTTGTGCCAGGGCCTGAGTTTTGCGTGCACATCTGTTTTACTGGCTTATTTGTGTGCAGTTAGTTGTTCCTTGCCGCTCTGGCAGATGCACTCTGACTTCGAAGAAAGCCGCCAATTAGTCTACTCCTACGACAGGCTTGTTGGGGAGGCAGTGGGTTAATTCTTGTTTTCCTCAAAATGGGGCCCCAGAACCTATACAGTTAGTCACTTGCACTATTTCTCTCTGTCTTTTTCATACACATTTTATTTTCTCGTTGTTACCTTTATTGTAAATATACATATATATGCATATATATCAGCATGTGTGCATGTAGATGTTTTAAGTGTTGGGGTATGTATGTCTGTATGTATAAGTGTGCATATTTAGTATGCATGCGAGTGTGTATGTATGTATGTATGTATGTATGTATGTATGTATGTATGTATGTATGTATGTATGTATGTATGTATGTATGTATGTATGTATGTATGTATGTATGTATGTCTACTAATGTGGATGTGAGGGTATATGTGTATGTGTAAGCATATGTGTCTGTATGCATTTGCCATCCATGCTTGTGCGTTTTTACTTTATATTAATATTATGTATACTTCTATGAACATAGCATGCTTTATTACATATTATAAAATAAAACTGTTGTGTGAAAGATAAATGAAAGGCTGCATTTAAGACAGGCCTGCATGCCTAATTTGTGAAACTCTGAAAATAAGGTTTGTTATTGTATTTCCCCAAAATTAAGACCTACCCCCCTAAACAATAGCCCTAGCAGAATTTTCAGTAAGCTTTTAATATAAGACACACCTCGAAGAAAGCCCTAGTTAAGTTTGTCAATACAAGACTCCTAATGTCTTTAAGACTCTCTTTCTTGCTCAAGCCTACCACATCGTCACATAGTGTACCCTATTCTCCTCAATAATCCAGTGAAAGGTTGGGGTTTCAAACCCCAGCAGAGTAAAAGCTAAATTTGATAGAGAAGTTATGGGCAGATCCCCCTACTTGTGATGAAGCTCGAACCTTACCTGAAAGCCCCATCTTTCTGCCACTCTCATTACAACATTACCTTAAGCAGCTCCTCCTGAATGCTGTTCCCTCCACACTTGAGTATCCGCTTGGCAAGAGGTCCCTTGGTCAGATCCTTGCTGCGGTGTATGGAGCTGACACAGACATCGGCCTGAAGTCACATACAATGCATCAATAAATGGATGTCCTTTTTTACTTTTTCTTCTTCTATAAAAGGTGGTTAGTACATTATGTTGTGGTTTAAAGACAGGCTGTGACATCTGAACTTCAGCCCAACACATCTAATTTCAGAAAAACCCTAAATAGTCAGTTTATGATATGCTTTTTATGCAGCAGTAGATGCCCCCCCCCTTCCCACCCCCCCACCCCCCCCCCCTTCCCCACCACCCCACCCCCCCCCCCCCCCCCCCCCGTCTTAAATGCAGCACCTGAACCCACAGAAGGATATGAATGTTGACAGTGAGGACATCTACTCTATTCATTTCCTAACTGCCACAAATATTCACTCAGTGATCCCACTAACTCTAACTCACATCACTGCCTGAAATGAAAATAATATATGGAATTGTATATTTACTCTCGGCAGGGGTTTTAGGGCCCCCATCTGGTAGATGGGGGTAGATACACAGTCCCCTAACACGCATGCTACAAAAGGAAACTAATTAGGGTTTTGCTGAAATTGGATATGCTGGGTCCCAAAAAAATGAGGACACCACAGCCTATCTGTAATAACACACATGAGTCTTATGTGCCTGGGCAGAAGTAGAGTTTAGTTTAGTTGAGTTGAGTAAAGAATTGATATCACAGCACGCGGGGCATTCCCCTGCATGCTCCGTCCTCATCTTCAGCAGCCAGCGCAGAGTTCCAATACTGATGGTAGCGGTCACATTCTGGTTAAATGTTCTTCTTGCCTTTCCTCTGAGTGTAGTTAGTCCGAAAGACCCTCTGGTCACACCCAGGTGCCTCATTTTCTCCAGGCCATAATAATCTACTTTCTCTACTGATTCCGTTGCTTGTTTCCAAAGGGCCTTGACCACTTCTGCCTTGTCATGTATCAATTCCTGCAGGGATTTGTTACCTCGGTTACCCTTCCCAGTGATGACGATCCAATGCCAGCATCTTTTCCTCACATCAGTGGTGCAGATCCTCACCGGTGCAACAAAGTTCATGCACTGTGCTGAGATTCTTCAGACTCAGGCTTGAGTTAGAAGTAGAAGGGAACACTTTTGGGTTACACCCGTGTGCCATGATGTTGATCAGTTGAATGTACATAAACAATCAGTCAATCACAATAACTTAACTTGATCCTATCATTTCTAATATAGAAGGGGGACTTGTGCTCCTCAATGACCCTAGTGTTATGCAGCAGTAGCATAGCTACCAGCAGGACATCCCAAGCCAAACAGGTCAAGGAGTAGAGAACATATGAAGAGAGGCAGACACCCTGGTACTCTAGGTAAGTGTTTGAAGCATGGGGCCAGCAAGAACCTCTTTTTGTCATAAAACAGATTCTGAGAGTCGAATTAACTCTTTGAGTCCCAAGGAACGCATCATACGTTTATAGATTCCTACGTAGAGGCCCAATGAACGCATGATGCGCTGATTTTACGTCTCTCTTGACTACTCCTTGGGCCTGTGATGCTAAACCCCCTGGGACTCAAAGAGTTAATGGTGGGTAATATCTGCAGTAGTCAACCTTAAAGGCTTTAAATGTTAAAGAAGAATTACTTAACTAACCAATCATACTAACAAGCAATTATAAACCTTGCAGTCAACTAGCCAACCAAGCGAACATACAATCTAGCAAACATACTTATTCTTCATTGTTTATCCCAGTGACCTACTTGCGTTGTGCTTATTTACAGCACAGCTGAGATATATCCACCTTCTGGCCAACACATCTGACTTCATAAGACATTTCTTCAATGGGTTAGCCTTCCTGGTTGGTTTCGTGGGACATGACTTGACCTTATTGTGTGGTTTCCTGCTTGTCCCTTTATCTACAGGTGTTGCCCCTGGAGAACCCAGGCTGGTCAGCCCTCTAGGAAAGGCAGGGGCAGGTCACTCACATTTCCTGCCATCCAAGGAGGTTTCCATAAATGCTGAGCCGACACATTATGATGTGATCCTGGGTGAACCCAGGGAATCATCATGTCCTGCGCATGTCTTCTTAGCCTCACATTTGTATAAGTTTCCCATTCTTTATGGGCTGGACCTTCTGGTGATCAACAGGGAACAGTCCTCAGGTCCTTCTTCTTCCTTCTTTGCACTCGGTTTCATATGCTCAGATCAGACCGTCAGGTAGGTTGTCTTAATGAACTCGCATGTCAGCAGCAGGTCCTTCATGGTTCCCCATAGCTTGCTCTGCACACTTTGCTCTTGAGGCCAGGTATCTTTTCAAAGCTGTAAGTAGAGTAGACAAGTCTGCAGAATGTACTCAGGTGTTTGTGGTCCTGTCTGACAGGCACACTGTGGGGACTGCACAATCTTTATTTTATGCACGTAGTAGTTGAGCCTGCAGTGTCATGTTCGTAGAGGGAAAATTGATGTATGTTGCTTTCTGCTGAGTCTCCCTCATGTCCAAGATTTTGATGACAACACAATTTGGCACAATTTTTTTCCTTAATGTTGTTGCACTGGGATACCTAGCACAGCAGTGTAGGAAAAGAAGGCATCATGAATAGCTTTCCCAATTGGTCAATGTGTCAAACTAGCACATAGTCTGCTGGCGCCCTAGATGGGGTGCAGAGGATCTTCATAAAGACATCACAACGGCATTAACTGTCCCTCACGCCTGTGGCCCAAATCACCCTGCTACAGCAAATAAACAACCAAGCCATAATGCAACCAAGCAACAGTTCAACAACACAGCGAGCCAACCAGTTATTTAATAAATTGGCTCTCCTTTAAATAACGGTCGTTAGCTGGAAGGCGACGGCCGCTTAGTCGGAGTTCACTCCCTTGGCTGCAGTGCATATACGGAACGGACAAGTCACGAATCAAAACAAGTGAGGTCGACATGCCTGCTAGAGCTAGACCACGCGCTGCAACTGACAGTAGCGACCGCGGTCTTGCGACGCAAGACTCTCGTAGACCACGCGTTCACATTAACGACCTCGTTCTTCCGACGCATGACTTAGTGACTGTAGATGTGAGACCTGCGGATCTGTATGTCGTAATGAGCGATAAGCTTCTGTCGTATCCGTGATGTGTCACCCTAACCCTACCCCTAACCCTACCCCAAACCCTACCCCAAACCCTACCCCAAACCCTAACCCTACCCCAAACACTAACCCTAACCCTACCCCTAACCCTACCCCTAACCCTAACCCTACCCCAAATCCTAACCAAAGCCCTAAGCCTAACCCTAGGATGACAGGTAACTATATCATTTGTTTCGTTCCCTCTTTACCACTCTGTATTTGCACTGCAGCCAAGGGAGTGAACTCCGACTAAGCGACCGTCGCCTTTCAGCTAGCGACCGTTATTTAAAGGAGAGCCAATAAATCAAATGATTCTAGTTATATTTTTATCAGATTTTCTCAACATGTGTCCTATCCAATGCCAGCATAATTTCTTTACCTCAAGATTCACTGGAGTTTAATTAATGAATTAGATTTTTCTTCTTCTTACAATCCAAGCCGTGTGGCATTCGTAGTCATGTCTATTTACAACTACTTTCAATGATTTGTGTTCAGACGTTTTTGTAAATTTACTCACAGTATCTTGCAAATCTCTTTCTGTGACAGCAGTGCCCAGACTGGGATTGTTGTCCTATGCCTTGAGCATAGTAATGTCTTTAGATTCATCTTCTGCCCAGTACAGTTAAAGTGGTGGCTAGTGTTGGAAACTTTCCAGCTGCTCACAACTCTCCCTGCCTGCTGCCATGATTTCACGTAACCCTGATCAGGGGCGTTATACTGAAAACAATAATAGGTACACAGAAATGTCAAAACATACCCGCACAGAGACTATGTCTGCTCTCTGGAGCTCCAGTCGTAGAGGACTCATGTCAATGATCAGAAAGAACCTGAAATCATCCACTTGGATAAAGGATCCCCTACTTATTTGAGGGAACCAGTTACTTCAGCAACCAGATACCTTACTGAGTCTTGTCTGTAACTCTGATTACCTGGCCCGGGCAACGGGAAAACCCTCTCCAGATACTCGGTTACCGAATTTTGCATGAAACACGATTTGATTACGATTCTGGAATTGAGTTGAGTTGAGTCAAGGATTGACATCACTGCACTTGGGGCATTACCATACGTGCTCTGTCCTCGTCTTCAGCAGCCAGCTCAGAGTTCCGATACTAATGATACCGGTCACAATCTGTTCTGGAATTGAAAGACGGGTTTCATCATGTGCCGTGCTGGTATGCGTTATGAGACTGAGTATGAAGTAGTTAGTCTTTTTCTTCACGTTAACCGGCTGCAAACTATGGGAGATAGTTCTGTTTGTTCGTCCACTTCTGGACTTGAAACTTCTTCCAGAATTTGAGTTGTTCATGCACATCCGTTTTACAGATATGGCTGTGTATGTAGACTGATGGTCCCTTGCCTCTCATATAGCTGCACACCGACCCTTTCACCTATTTTTTAAACGCTAGTTCCACATTGGGCATATACAGTAATGCTATTTTCATATATAATCTGTATAGAGTTAAAAGGTTTGGCAAGTTGGCATTCCAGAGGAAATCAGGCTAATGTGTGGAAAAGGTAGAATGAAAAGAAGTATGAGGTAGAAGTTATTTTACTTTTATAGATAATCGATAATCGGTGGGCAAGTGACATGATTCACCATCGCAGATAATCAGCAATCTCGATTCGGGTCTGTTCTCTGGTACGAATCGTAACTCGGGAACAAGCCCGTTCTGTCGAATCCTAATTTTTGCGCCATTTCTGAGCGGCCAGTTTGTATTAGCGCGCGCTAACCATGTAGATGAGAATTAGTACCGAATCGGAAGGAGAGTCTCTATTGCCAAATGGAGCTAGAATCTGAGGGCTTGGACATTTTGGAGAAAAATGGGAGCGAGAAGGGGGGGGGGGCGCTCCTAGAAAGTTTGCAAACAGACTAAATGAATCCTCTCTATGCAGATAAGTTATATTTCTAATTCTTGTTCATAGATTGATTATTTGTCACAAAATACTTCAAACAAACTGTGTCTCGGTGAATCACAGGCCACTATAAAAGTACAGAAAATAAAAAGGCAGACTACCTAGCTAAAATTGCGAGCAGTAAAGAAGAGCGCTTTTTTCTTGGCAATCTGCCTATTACTGCCTTTATCATATCACTTTTGCTGTGAAGGCGGGGGGTGGTGGGGGGGGGGGGGGGTCTTTGAGCCTGAGGATTTAAGGCCGCGTGGCTAGTGCTGTCGCCGGGGACTGTGCAGGTGAGGATTTATTTTTGTCTCTGACAGAAAAAAAAAATCTCCAGCCTTACCGTAAATTCGAACCCGGGTGTCCCGTATGAAAGCCCAGCGTTCTAACCGTTCGGCCAGCCACTCCTCTCTTGGCGATCACTGGCTGTAAACTCCAAAAGGAAATTCTGGCTGTTCGTCCAGTCTTGACTTAACTCTCAACTCTTCAGCCGTTAGCCTAGATTTCCAGTAGTTATGGTACCGGTTTAGTATATGTCTATCTTGTCTTTCCTCTGTGACGAGGATAACGAAACCAAGATCAAAGGGTAGCCATTAAAAGCTTTTGGAATGCTTTTCATCCAGAATCCAAACCCGAAGATCCAAACAACATTCTAAAACGAAAGCAACGGACCAATATATTTAGAGCACGCAATTGACACAACAAAATCTTCAGCCACAAGCATACACATTTCAAGACTGGGGACGGAACTTTGACCCTGCTGACAAGCACCGCAAAACATTTAACGTGTGGCCTACTGCTGACACGGGGGGGGGGGGGGGGAGCCGTCGTGATGTAGCGGTCAGACGCTCGCCTGAAGATCTGAAGGTTGGGAGTTCAGGACCTGGTGGAGCTTTACTTGTTTCAGAAATGACTTTGGCTTCCAGGTCGACCAAGGGGCACCATACAGAGTCCCAGGAAGTAAAGACTGCCAGCGTGATGCTGACCACATCGACCATTGAGTGCCAATTATTCTATAAAATATAGGTCTAGCCCTGTATGCCCAATACGCCTGAAAGTATGGAAAAGATTCTTTACTTTTACTGCAGACAATCTCTGTCCATGCAGTGGACGGCTTCCAGGTCGGGCGGTGGAGGTGTCTCTTGTTTTTCTCTCACATAAATAGAGACTGGAAAAATCCACACAGGGAATATCCCTATAGATTTTTCACCTGTCACATGTTTGTTTTTCTCGTCATGTAACGTGGCCAAATTTGTCTCTTTTTAGAAAAAACAAATATAGGACTAAAATATGACATATTTAAAACATTAACCTCTCCGTGTGGGATCTATTGAAAAAAAAAAATATATATTTTATGTTGTTCGAAATAATTCAGACTTTGCTGAAATCGTATGTGTTGGCGCAGATATTGCATCCTGGCTGTAACCACAACACAATGTGCCAGTCGCTCTTTTATGGGCGAACGCATAAGAATAAAGAGGGTTCCGGACCCTATAAAGTAACATAAAAGCATGTATAAAAACAAAAACACATACAACATAAAAACATACAGTTGTTCATTTAAAGATCAGTTTCATCGCACGTGACAAAAAAAATATATATATATCAATACTAAACATAGAAGTGTAGTCAGAATCGGGAATAGCCTAGAGTGTCTCGACTCCAATATCGATTCTTAAACAGAAACTGAAAGCACCAAGATGGAACGTTTTACTGGGAATTAGCGCTTTAAATAGAAACAGACGAAATAGCGAAGACGGCGACTTTCTGCAGCTGTTACTTTATCACTCCAGGAGGCTGTTCGTAGACATGTGGCTAGACACTAGACAATATCATCATCTTTGGGTGCCTTGCCGATTGCGTGGCCGATCGTGCTTCTGAGCATCTTGCGATCTCCCTCAGCATGTATCAGCACACAGGCACGCTGCCACGAATAAACCACGCCCCCCCCCACTAAATACTTTAACAATTTGAATAGAACGTGAGCGGCCTACCCCCCCCCCCCCCCAACCATCACGTCCTCCACACGACCTCGGCAAAAATTGGGTGGATATTCAAACACCATTACCCCCCCCCCTCCTTTCCAAAAAAAAAGTAAGAAACGTGGAGAACCCGCAACGACGCCCTTTACACATTTTCTAGTAAATTAACTAGATGTTGGTGGGAGGCCTCAGGTCCTTGAGTGCCCTCACCTCTGAATTATTGGGAAAAGGGTATGGGGGAGGGGGGGGGGGGTAGACATCGAATGAATAATTCTGTAAGGGGATAATATGCTCCTTTAGACACGAATATCTTCTTTTTCTTCGCATTCGCTGGCTGTAAACTCCGGTAGAAAGTTCTGGTTATTCTTCCACTTCTAGATTTTGACCTTGTTCCAGAACTTGCCTTTTGCGAGCACGTCCGTTTTACATATCTGGCTCCCCGTGTGGGATCCGGGTCCCTATTATAGGGAAAAGAAGAATAGACCCACTGCCTACCCAAAAGCATGTTGTAAGAGTCAACCAATTGGGAGCTTCCTTTAAAGTCGGAGTGCATCTGCCAGAGAGGCAAGGAACCAGCAGCCTGCATCTGTAAAGAGGATGCACACGCAACACTCAGGTTCTGGAACAGGACAGCAGTCCAAAAGTAGATGAACGACTAGAACTTTCTGCCAGTTTACTGCTGGTGAACACAAAGAAGACATACCTGGCATACCAGGCAGATGCACTCAGGCTTCGAAGGAAACCCCTAATTAGTCTACACTTACAACATACTTGTTAGAGAGACAGGGGATCTACCCCCCCTGAAAAAAATGATGACCCAAGAATCCACACAACGTGAAAGACATACAAATATATAAATTCTCTCTCAAAGTATTTGTGTGTATTTCATTTAATTACAATAGGCCTTTTGTGTGTGTAAATATGGGGGATGGGGGAAAAGGGGGGGGGGGGGGGGGGGGGTTAGAGGGACTTGAATACCCAGGTTCTGGCTCCTATGTGAACAACTTCTCACACTTTTTCCTGATAACCGAAGCCTCGATCCCGTGTATTTCTAGCCTGGCTTTCTAACAGTTATTTCAAGACAGAACAAACTATGGTCCACCAGTATATCAGCAATCAAGGAATGCTGGTATCGCTGATTATTCTATGGAAAATAAGTCACTTTAAAATTAAAAAAAGACTGTGCTCTATTGGGGGGGGGGGGGGGGGGCCCACAGCCATCCTCACTAAAAAGGTACGGGTGGGGCCCAAAGGGCCAGAGCTCCCAGGTTCCGGCGCCTATGTCAGCAGGTAACACCAGCCTGGTACTGAAGGATAAAAGTAATAACTGGCTAGAAAGATAATGTCATACCAGCCTGGTACTACACGAGTTAAAGTAACAATTGTTTAGAAAGATAATCTAACACCAGCACGGTACTGAATGAGTTAAAGTATCAACTGTTTAGAAAGATAATGTAACACCAGCACGGTACTGAATGAGTTAAAGTAACAACTGTATAGAAAGATCTACACTCAAGCCCCCCCTACCCCCCCCTCTTGTTTTTCAAACCACTACAATGTCTAGATATGTAGGCTTAGGATAGACACTAGAAAATGTGTAGGCTTAGCATAGACACTAGAAAATGTGTAGGCTTAGCATAGACACTAGAAAATGTGTAGGCTTAGCATAGACACTAGAAAATGTGTAGGCTTAGCATAGACACTAGAAAATGTGTAGGCTTAGCATAGACACTAGAAAATGTGTAGGCTTAGGATAGACACTAGAAAATGTGTAGGCTTAGCATAGACACTAGAAAATGTGTAGGCTTAGCATAGACACTAGAAAATGTGTAAGGGGCTGAGTTCCAAGTAGTTTCCGCCAGAAATTGTCTAGGGAGGTAAATGGGCTGAAACAATTGTTGAAGGAGGACACCTACTGAAAATCAGTAGATGCCTTCTGTGCAAGCTCCTGTGAGAAGTTCTTATTACAGACCTGTGTTCTTGTTTTACAGATAATAATTTCCATGGCAAGCACCTTCAAAGAAAGCATTTACCCTATTTTTCTGTGTATAAATGACGTTTTCCAGTTTAAAATTGTGGGTCGTCTTATACACAGAATGTGTTTAAAATATAAATGTTCTTGGTGATTGGGAAAAAAGATAAGAATCTTGTTCACAGCCATGTCGTATCGAAGACATAGTTAAAAATGGACTTTTGTATGCCAGGGGATATCAGGCATATGATGCAGACTGTATTGGAACTCTGCGCTGGCTTATGACGGAGCACACTTGGGAATGCCCCGAGTGCTTTGATGTCAATTCTTGACTCAACTGAATTCATCTCAGGCATATGATGCAAGAATCGTATTTTTTAAGAACAATCAACCCTCGGTGCTGCATTGATGCTCCTTCTTCTTTTCTCTACTCCTCGAATGCCTCGCGGCGTCAGGGGGAGAAGAGATCTCTAGACAGGCCCTTCTATTCACTTCGTATATAGTACTTTTCAGTGTCTCTGATATTTCTGCGGTCCATTTCTGCATGGTCGACCTCTGGGTCTGTCCCCGCTGTATCTGTATAACATTGCTCTCTGTGGTGCTCTGTCTGCTGTCAATCTTGTTACATGGCCAAACCCTTTGATTTGTTGTCTACCTATAAAGTTCAGTACTGGTTCTGTGCTGGTTCTCCTTCTGATATTGTCGTTCCTAAGATGGTCTTTCCTCATTACACCAAGCATCATGCTGACCCCATTTTTTCCCCATTTATTTCCCAGATGTTATCTGGTACCCATTCTGGGCAGGATGACCCCTGGAGTTAAGGTTAGTTTCAAATAAAATCTTGCCTGGGTGAATTTAAGGACCCCACTGTAGGGAAAGCAAGAACAGACCCACTGTCTAACTCCTACCCCCTACCCCCCCCCCCCCCCCCCAAGCAAGTCGTAAAGGTCGACTAATCTGGGGCTCTCTTTGAGGTCAGAGTGGCAAGGATCAACAATTTGCAGAAAAATAAGCCAGAAAATGGATGTACTAGCAAAACTCAGGGTCTAGCACAAAGCAAAAGTCCAAATAGACAAACAACCAGAATATTCTGCTGGAGATTACAGACAGCGAACAAAGAAAAAGATGAAGAAAATACGATTTGAAGCCAAGGTCAGTTTTGAAGAAAAAAACTGTCTTGATGAGGATTCAAATTTAAAATCTTTGGGTGTGCAAATGAACATCAAGCCACTTTACTATTATGTCTCCCAAAGGACAATACCAACATTTTATTAAGAAACAAAACAAACTTACAAACATCCATCCAGTTAGGCAATTAAAGCAATGTAGAGAATGTTTACTAACATCACATAGTTTGTATTCACAATATAACCCAATACATTATACAAAAAAAATATAAACAATGTATTACAAATAACACCTGTTTTTCAGGGGTGATAATAAATAATGTGATGTAGAAATAGGAATGTAGAAATGGGGTGTGGCTCTGTAGCTTAAAAGTTAGAGAATTCATTTCACAATTTCATGATTCTAAAATACACAGGATTTTCTTCTGACTGTGTTAATAGGGGCAACTGATCAGTTTCAATCCTAAGTGTAGGAAACTTATCACACAAAAAAGAAAAATAGGAATAACAATAATAAAAGGAAAAAGAAGACGTAATAGTAGTATAGTTATGGTAGCATTAGTAGCAGTAGAAGTAGTAGTGACAGTAGCAGCAGTAATAGTAACAACAACAGTAGTAGAAGTACCAGTAGTGGTAACAGAGTAGTAGCAGCAGCACTGGTAGCAGCAGCAGCAATAGTAGTGCTAGTCGGAGTAAATAAAAAAGCCCTCAGAAGTGCCCCAACCAACTACTAGAGCTTCTACAGGAAATATAACACAATGAACACAACTCACAGCATCAGCAACAATCTCAGAGATGAAGTTATGAAAACTGCAAAGGGTCTGGTAAATCTTGTTAAATATGGTAGATAAAGAAAAGGACAGAAAAAAGATATCAGAGAAACTGTGTCAAGCAACTATAGCCGATTAGGCCTGGAGGGTGAGAAACATAAATGTTATCTGCATTAAAGCTAAAGTAGTGCAAGAGAAACTCAAGAAGGAGGAAGAGAAGAAGAAGAAGAACAACAACAACAAGAAGACGAAGAAAAAAAAGAAGAGGATGAAGAAGAAAAAAGAGGAGGATAAAGAAGAAGAAGAAGGAGGAAGAGGGGGAGAAGAAGAAGAAGGAGGAGGAAGAGGGGGAGAAGAAGAAGAAGAAAAAGAAGAAGAAGAAGAAGAAGAAAAGAGATATGGAATAATCATCAAAAGATAACATATCTTCTAACCAGCTACTGTTCATCGGACAAAAGAGACAGTTTCTGCTCGCTGAGTCGCTTGTATCTGCACTGAAGTAAACTTAACTTTAACTTTAAATCTGCTAAACTGACAGCGATGCTCACTCCACCTTCAAAATGTTTCTGACTCGTTCGCAATGGCTGAGGAGTCAATATCCCAAATAAAGAAAGACTATTAGAACTGCTTTCTTTCTTGGGTGGATTCTCTTCATCATCATCATCATGTTTCTTGCTGTTTTTGCTAATAGTTGTGTTCTTCTTTGATTCGTTAGTCTCATCAATATCTTCCTTTGTTTTGTTTTTATCTGGCCCACTGTTGTCAGTGTGTCTTTTTCTTAAACTCGTTTGTTTATCTGCATCTGTTTTCTTAATTTCTGCCTGCTCAACTTTCTGATCACTACGAACATCAGTTGTGTCTTGCGATAACTCAAACAAGGATAACTTGTCAATTTCACTTGTTTTCAATGAACTCTCCACCGCTTCCAAGGTCGAGACCTCATCTGCTAGAGAAGTGTCAGTCAATGTTCTATATTTAGAGCTAAAATCGGCATCCAGAATTTGGTCTACGGAAACCCACTTGACTCCCAGCAAGTATCTGGCTCGTGACATAGCAAGAAATCCATCTTTCATGGCCTGGAGAAGAAAGGAGAAAATGGGGATGAAATAGAGTTGAAAACAAGAATGAAGAGAATATGTGGTCAGAAGCTGATATAAAACTAATTACTTTTTCTTCTTTACTTCCTCCTTTGCAGTTTTATGGGACAAGAGAGGTATAAGATTCTGGTTATTTTATTACTTTTCTGGCTGCCTTGACTATAAATACTTAATATTGACTGAGGGTTTCTCTAATTTTGTATCTTGTCACCATATTCTTGGTCGATCTCAAGCTCTCTTTTGGCATGTGACTTGTATGTGGTGACATACTCTCTAAGTAAAGTAAAGGACCCTTTTCCTATCAATGGTGCATTGGGCATTCAGTCATTTTCATTCACATATGGTTAGAAGTATATTTCTCTATTTCATGCAATCAATTCAATATCATGGATGCAATCCAATTCAGCACCTTTGGCTTCTCTCACCAATGTTCGCCTTGGACGTTTCTCTAAGACGTCCTCATTTCCTCAAACCCTATATTTCCTATTTAAGTGTCTGTTTGGTGATTCTCTGTTTATCTCTTCTCAGAATGTATTCAATATAGTGCCATCTTTTCTATATTTTAACTTCTGACACTAGTGGTTGCCAGGACATTTCTCTTATTTCTTCACCTCTCTTGAATTCATCCCATTTTATGTTGAGCATTGTCCTCAGGCATTTGTTTTCACATGCATTTGCCATTCATTCCCCATCTTTAGTGGTTCTCCAACTTTCACTGGGTGGCTGATGTGGTGTAGCGTCTAGACCAGTGGTTCTCAACCTTCCTAATGTGACCCATTATACAGTTCCTCGTGCTGAGGCGACCCCCAACCATAAAATTATTTCTGATGCTACTTAATACCTTCAGTGAATATGTGTTTTCCGATGGTCTTTTGCGACCTCTCTGAAAGGATAGTTTGACTCACAGGTTGAGAACCGTTGGTCTGGACACTCATGCAAAGGTCATGAGTTCGAGTCCAAACAGAAGCAGACTTTCAAATATTTTTTTTAAATGACCTTGGCTACTAGGTCGAACTAGTCTTGAGTGGGTACAAATAAAGCTAGCTGGCATGATCTTGACCACATCACTCACCGAGTGATGATTGGTCTATACAACACAGGTCTAGTACTATATGCTAAATTCACCTGAAAGTTTGGAACAGGACCCCTTTACTTTTACAACTTCCACTGGCATGTGTTAAAAAGTACTAGACCTATATTTTCATAAACCAATCAGCGCTCAATATGTAATGTGGTCAATATCGTGCCAACCTCCTTTGCTTCCCAAGACATTACCTGGAACCCACTTTAGGCAGGGATGACCTGACAGCCTAGGTCAATTTTAAAAGAAAAATGTGCCTTTATGCAGATTTTAACCGTAAGCTTTCGGGCTAGCATGAGAAGCATCAAGCCACTATGCCAGCAACACAGGATAACACCCAGTGCCCTGAAGTCAATCCTTTCACTTTTATACATCCTTTTTCAGAGTCTGTAGCTAAGGTTTTGTGAATGCACTTCATAACATGGGGGCACTAGATCTGATCCCAGCTGTCAGACTATCTTGAGTTGGTTTTGACAGTGGTATCGGGAGCCAATCACTCAGCAGACTACTGAACGTAAAAATGCCTAATGAAAACACAAATAGCCAAAAAATGCTTGGGCTGGTTCTGTCATCCTATAGAATGTTGAACGCTGAATTAAGAATCGACATTACAGCACTCGGGACACTCCCATTAGTGCTCAGTCCCCATCTTCAGCAGCAAGCAAAGAGTTCCAATTCCGACGGTACCAGTAACCATATGATTGTATATCCATCTCATCCTTTCCCTGGGTGTGGAGCGTTTGCCAGATCTCATGGTAACTCCTTGAAGTGCCATTCTCAGATCATAATGATCTATTTGCGCCTCCGCACTGTCCTAAAGGACCCTCACATCTAATTTGTCATACATCAATTCACCACCAAGTGGTGCAGAGCCAGCCAGTCTATCTGCCTGTTCATTTCCCAACACACCTGCATCAACTGGAGAAAATATCCAAAGGATGCTAACTACCCGGGACCTCTGAAGTGATGCTTGCCACTCTACATGAAGCATGCCCGTTTTCATCTTTCTCAACATGCTCTGTGAGTCAGTTACAATCACGGCATGATTCTCAAGCCAGCGGAAGGCAGCAGAGACTGCCTCCACCTCCATTCTCAAACTAGACATTGTGATATCATATGCAAGGCTTTACTGCACTAGGCGACGTCCATTCGCCTTTGCTATGAAACCCCAAGCCATCCCGCAAAGGACAAGCAACAAACTTTTTTGGGGATGTTTTTTTTAATCCACAAAAATTACCTGTTCCAGCTTGTCCTGCTGGTCGTAGATGTCCTCCAGAACTTGAAACATCTGCAGCACTGTGTCATCCAACTGTTCACAGACCGCATCCATCATGCCAGACATTACTGGAGTAACCACAGCAGATATGAGAACATCTGACTGAAACAATTACTAATAAATCTACAAACATTTATTAACTGACGCTTGAACTGAATAGAGGGAATTAAATAGTATAACAGAATCAATGTGAGGAAAAGACACTGGCATCAGGTAAGACATATGCTGAGGAAACCTAATGGTATAACTTGAATGTCTTTGCACTTGAATTCACAGGGTGAAAGGAATAAAGGCAGGCCAAACAACACATGCAGATAGGAAGTAGAAAGTGAAGTAAAATGGAAGGACATAGGGTCAGCTGCATGGGAAAGCAAAGGATAGGTTCTTCTTCTTCTTCGCATTCACTGATTGTAAACTCTGCATGAAAGTTCTCGTAGTTCATCCATCTCTGGACTTGTTCCAGAACCTGAGTGTTGCTTGCTCATCCATTTTACAGATCTGAATTATTTGTATGCAGACTGCTGGTTCCTTAGTCAACTCTTATGACATGCTTGTTAGGGAGGCAGTGGGTCTATTCTTGTTTTCCCCACAATAGGGCCCCAGAACCCACACAGAAAAAATTATAGGTTGACCTGGCATAATTTGGCAGATGACCTAAGCTCACTGGAAGATAATGAGCCATAAAAGAAAAATGAGGACACATCTGAATTATCCCCTCTGAGAATTGAAAGTGATATGGTAAAATAACTAACAAAGATTGCTTGGAAAAACTAATGAAGTAGAGCATTTTCTTCTTCTTTGTGATTACCAGCTGTAAACTAGCAAAAAGTTCTGGTTGGTTGTCTACTACTAAGCTTCAGTCTTGTCTCTGAACCTGACTTTTGCATGCACATCTGTTTTACAGACCTGGCTTATTTGTAGGCAACTGGTGGTTCCTTGGCTCTGAGGCAGATCAACTCCAACTTAGAACCCACATAATTAGAAGACTTATTAGAATAATAGCCATCATTAAATTCCCCAAAAGTAACAAAGTAACCTGAAGTTCGGAAAGGGTAGTGTAAACTCGATTTCCTCTACAAAACTAATTGACAGAACTGCGTACCAGGCTCAATCTTTAGAGAGTGGGGGGAAGAAAACAGAGCCACTGACTTTAACATGCACCTCATAAAGGGCAACAAATTAAAGCTTTAATGAAATCAGACATGTTGGGCCAAAAGACACTGCAGATATTGCAGCACAGCTGTAAATCAACATAATGTGCCAAATGCCAATCTCCCTTTTAAGGGTTAACACAGAATATAAGACACACACACACACACACACAAAAGAACTGATTCAGAATATGGAGGATCAAGATCTTTGCATACACACTGTTGAATGTTAAATTAAGTATCAACATCATAGCACTGTGGACACTCCCATAAACGCTCCATCCCCATCTTTAGCAGCAAGTAAAGAGTTCCAATTCCGACGTTAGTAGTAACTGTCTGATTGTATATCCGTCTTACCTTTACCTTGAATGTTGAGCATCAGCAAGATCCCCTGGTAACTCCCTGCAGCATCATTCTACTCAGACAGTAAGAAAATATTCATACTTCTGCACTGTTCACTCGCTCCCAAAGAGCCCTTAAAACATCTAGCTTGTCCTACATCAATTCCCCACCAAGTGGTGCAGAGCCACGTGCATACACATGAACAGGTATAACTATAACAAATATATCTGTACCTGGACAGTGACAAATACCAAGGTAATACATGATGTAGCCCCTAGTTTTGGGCAGACTTGTTAAAACTACTAAAAAGATTAAAAAGAGAAGATGGACAGAAGGGCTGCCATCCAGAATGTGACTCTCAGTTGCAGTGGAGTGTTGAGCTTTCTAGGGACAGGATGAAGGAGACACACTACTGGCGATTCTATCTTTGTCTACATCGTCAACTAAATTGCTTTTTTTTTTTTTTAAATCCTCCGCGACTGCAGCCTGAAAGATTGTCATAACTGAGTCATATTTTGAAAGAGCCTATACTAGAAACCACGTTCAAACATATAAGTTATATTAGTTAGGGCATACAACATACAACGGTAAAATGAAGCAATATGCTGTTGTGTGTCTTTTATTATTGCAACCAGTCATCAATTATTATATGCATGAGAAGATTTCCAACACTTGCAAGTTTCAAGTGGGTTTTCTTCACACACCGGTATATTGCCTGACCGGCGAGTTTACATGCAGCCACCCGATCTGACTGTCACTGTTGTGATCTCCTAGTAAAACATCAAAACATCCGACACTCCAATGACTGGACTGTGTAACTTTACTTACTTACTTAGTCGCTCCTCTTCTACCTTGGGGTGTAGAGGTTTGCCAGAGAGATCGCCAGACGTCTCTATCAGCAGTTTTGACTGTGTAACAATGAATCAAATCTTACAGGAAACAAGATGTCATGAACTCCAAACATCGGTCCACAAACAAAAAGTCCGTCCTTCTGCTAGCTAGCTATCAAGGGCAGTAAGCACGTCCTCTCCTCTTAGCTATTCATACGTAAATTGTACGGAATTTTATAAGCCCAAGTTCGCCTCTTACAGTTCCCCCCTTCCAGAACTGCTATTATCGCTTTGTGCCCGTCTAACTTAACTTACTATAAATGTTTTGGTCTCTGTGCGCATTCTTTGATATAATGCATTAAAGTACGTCAAGCCGAGACGTTCGTTTTTGCCGTGCGTGATTGTGATATTGTGAAGCCACGTCCGACTTTAGCTATTTATAAATATAGTCGGACGATAGTTCTATCTCCTTTGACCCCCCCCCCCCCTCCCCCACACTTGCTTGCAAAGACAGTACTGGTTCAATCCCAGAAATTGTAAGATTTTGTCCAATCTATACGGTCTCTTGCCTTTTTTTTTTATCTCCCAACAAAGCATAGGCCTTTAATTGACTTACGCCAAACCCTTCATATAACATTTATTCTTCTTTTGCGTTTGTCTTTAAACTGGGTGGTTGGCATGTTGTGTTGTGATTTACAGCTAGTGCCTTACCACCCAAAACATACAATTTCAGCAACACCCCCAATTAGTCGCTTTTTACGACATGTTATTTAGGGGGACAGTTGGTCAATTACCAATGAGATCAGAAACCCACACGGAGATGAACATTTATGATTGTTTAGATCTGCAGCTAAAAGTTTTTGACAGAGTGAGGTAGTCTGCCTAATGGCCAAACATATCCAGTTTCAGCAAAACCCTAATAAGTCACCTTTTCATCTTTCTTATAGAGCAGTGGGTCTCTTAACCCCCCCCCCCCTCCCCTTATTTTCCCAGACAGCATTCACCACATTTTACTACAATCTGTGAACTTCTTTCAACTAAATTTATGGTAAAATGCTGCTGTAATGTAATGGTTAGAGGTCAAAGATGGTAACACATTGCTGTAGTGTAATGGTTAGAGGTCAAAGATGGCAACACACTGCTGTAGTGTAATGGTTAGAGGTCAAAGATGGCAACACACTGCTGTAGTGTAATTGTTAGAGGTCAAAGATGGTAACACATTGCTGTAGTGTAATGGTTAGAGGTAAAAGATGGTAACACACTGCTGTAGTGTAATGGTTAGAGGTCAAAGATGGCAACACACTGGTGTAGTGTAATGGTTAGAGGTCAAAGATGGTAACACACTGCTGTAGTGTAATGGTTAGAGGTAAAAGATGTTAACACACTGCTGTAGTGTAATGGTTAGAGGTAAAAGATGGTAACACATTGCTGTAGTGTAATGGTTACAGGTAAAAGATGGTAACACATTGCTGTAGTGTAATGGTTACAGGTAAAAGAACACATTGGTGTTGACAATACGAGTATGGGGAATATAAAATTATCGACCTAGCATCATACGCCAATGGAAGGGGAGGACACCACACAAAAGAGGCTATGTCACATCACACAACTTCCCGCGTGGGTTCCGGGACCCTATTATAGAGAAAACAAAAACAGACCCACTGCCTACCAACAAGCATGTTGTAAGAGCCGACTAATTGGGGGCTTCATTCGAAGTCGGAGTGCATCTGCCTGAGAGCAAGGAACCAAAATTCTGCATACAAATGAGTTGAGTCAGATCTGTAAAACGGATGCACATGCAACACTTAGGCTCTGGAACAGGACTGCAGTACAGAAGTGGACAAACAACCAGAACTTTCCCCCAGAGTTTACAGATGGTGAACATGAAGAAGACATCACAATACTATCTGCGAAGGCTAATCAGGTGAATAAATGTCTGATTAAGTTGGATGTGTCTGCCAAAAGGGGGCAATATCGCAGCTATGCTGTAAACAGGTACAACGCAATGATTTCACTGAGATGAATAAAGAAATGCCTGATGTTCCAGAAGGGTCTATTACCTTTTACATTTAAAAAAATTATACATGCATGTCTGCAATGTCTTGGTCTTAATTAACAAAAGTGTAACACTGAGACAAATAAGCATGAATAATTAACTACAAGAACAACTGATGCAATCAACAAGGCTTTTATTTTCACAAAGAACACTGTCAATACAATAACAAACATGATTTTTCAGTGAACGAATACACAGAAGAAAAAAAAAAAAACCCACTACAAAAACACACTATTTCTGACAATTTTCTGAAAAGAAAATGGCCATAGCAGCTGGTGAAACATGAGAAGAAAATAAAATGTCATTCAACTCACAAAAATACAACTGTTGTGAGACACGATGAGTGATCCGGGCTACTGACAACTCAAAGTACTGAGGAACCTTGTACGAGTTCTGGAGTTCAATTTCGGGGGTAAAAAGGAACAGTTTTAGCGCCCCTTCTCAAGCACATTATGCAGAAATACTGGTTGGGCTGACAGGTGGCAGATATTGCTGCATGGCTGTAGACTACAATACCTGCTGCCATTTTCTTCTTCTTAGTGTTCACTGGCTGTGAAAAGTTCTGGTTGTTCATCCCCTTCTAGACTTCAGTCTTGTTTCAGAACTTGAGTTTTGCGTGCACGTCTGTTTTACAGATTGAGCTTATTTATCTGCAGATCACAGGTTCCTTGCCTCTCAGGCAGATGACCTCAGGAAATGCCCCTAATTAGTCACCTTGTATGACATGCTCGGTAGGGAGGCAGTGGATCTATTCTCCCCCCCCCCCCCCTTTACAATGGGGCCCAAAACTGCCCTTTTAAGGACTAATGAAGAAGTAAAGACTAAGAACATCGGGCAAAGGGGCATAATCAGATCTATGACTAACTTAATGACACACTTTCCTGAGTTTGTTGGAGGTCTCATTCTGAGTGGGAAAGAGAACAAACTCACTGACCTGTAACAGATATGTCCTAAAAGGCAAACTAATGTTTTACTAAAATCAAACGTGTTCAGCTGAAAGGTGCAGATATCACAGCCTAGCCATAAACCACAACATAACGATGTGCACGCCGCCCATTTTGAAAGGGATGCGGAATAAGATGCACCCACATACACACAGTACAACCTTATGTAAGAATGACAGGTGCTAAAAAAAAACTCCATAAAATAAAGCAGATCTAATGGCAACCATAGAGATTGGTGTTTAACTGAGCTGTGAGGACAAATGTGTCTCAGATCGGATGACAACACTAACAAGGCAACAATTACAAAAGTGCCATCTCCACATAAAGGTCAGTTGCAATGGATCTCCAGAAATCTCCGTCTTTTATCCTGACTGAATAATCTCTCAGATTCATGCTCCCACTCATATCACTGTCTACCTCTTGTTCACCTGCCTTCCACTTATCCCTCCAGTTTTTAAGAGTACTATGTCTCTTAATGTGAAAAAAAAAATAACACTTCCTTTTCCTTTCAACAACTTGTTTCACTCCCAATCTCCCCAGTACCCCTGTATTTCACTGTGTTTATTTCCATGACAAAGGATCTTTTCTTCTGTAGGCTTAAAAGAAGTACAGGCCCTCTCAACAAGTGCATGCTTAAGTTCTCCCACCATTCTATATGCCTGACTTCTGCATCTTGTTTTCATCACAGGACAGGAAATTTGAACCAACTCTCCAATCCCCAATAGCCAACCCTTTCACAAAATTTACTCTGAATGCAGCCTTAAAAAAACAACAACCAAAAAAATGTAACAAAAATTACAGGACCCTTTCAATGGCACAAACAGATCATTATGGTCTGTGAAGAAGGGCGCTGCGAGTTCAGGGGATCTGGCCGATGCTCAACACTCAAAGGAAAGGCAAGATGATTATACAACCAGACATTTACTGGTACTATCGGAATCAGAACTTTTCGCTTGCTGCTGAAGATGGGGACAGAGTGCTTATGGGAGTGACCCGAGTGCTGTGATGTCGATTCTTAATTCAACACTAATGGCAGTGGCAAAGCAGGAATATGATGCCAGAATCATATTTTTAAAAACTAATCAGCATTTAGTGGGTGATGTTTGCACCAGCTGTCTTTACTTCCCAGGATATTTTCTGCTACCCCTTTAGGCTGGGTCGACCTGGGAGCAAAGGTCAATATCTAAAGAAAAATATCTGCCTTGATGCAGATTCCAACCCAGAGGTTGGATTCTCTCCGGGCTAGCAGGTGGGCATGTAGCCATTACGTCTCCAACAATAAACGATACAAAAATAAAATTCAAAACACAATATAATATGAGTTGATGACAAACATGGTGAAAATAGAAACAGTAAATATAATTTGAAGACTGAAATGTACACATGACAATCTTGATTAGCGAAGTCAAATACATGATGAATATGTCCTGATGTAGTGCCTCGGTGAGGTGTCTTTTCACTCAGTTTTCTCTGATATAGAAGTGGATGGAGTGTCAGACTTTTTGGATGTTTCTTCATCTTTCTCTGAAAAAGAATTTATATCAAGTCAGACATGACAGCTATGTAGTAATTAGTGAAAAGTACTAGACAACCTGCAGCAGTAAGCATGTACCACACAAAAAATGTAAAGTTTTATGTAAAGTTTTCTTTTCCATTCTTTTCGCTGTTATTCCCCAACAGAGCATAGACTCGCGAGTAACAAGTCGTCTTATCCTTTGCTAACATATGCATCTCACCCCATGTTCTCCACATCTTTTTAACCTCTCTCTCCTCTTTTTTTTTTTTTTTTTTTTTTTTTGGGTCTGCTTTTATTTCTATGCCTGTGTGGGTAATGGAGATTAAAAAAAAATTAATGTAGATAACTAAATATTTCAGCAATTTATGAGTTACTTGAGTAAAATATGTTTTAAAGGATTCTTACAGGAAATTTCCACAGGTTCATGATTTATTTCTTTAAAGCATTCTTGAGGCAAAAGGGTTACAGACAAACATTATATCCTTTAAGGAAATTCCCAGACAGTGCAGAGTTCCGATTCTGATGGTACCAGTGGCAGTCTGAATGCATGCCCCCCCCCCCCCCCCCCCCAGTGTTGAATGTGGGCCAAATACCCTTCTACACCACTGCCTTCAGACAGCAATAATCTATTTATGCCTCTGCACTGTTCACTTGCTCCCAAAGAATAAGATAACTTTCATGATGGTGATGATGTCTGGGAGGTTCTGAACTTTTTTATACTATGATAAATTAATGGGAACAAAAAAAAAATTTTTTTTAAATCCAACTGTCCTGGTCTTTCTCTCTCTCTCTCTCTGCTTAACAGCTTGCCGCTTAATGAGAGCATTGCACAAAACACAATCTCTGTAGCTCCAGTGATGATCCGAAGGGGTCTCAGTAAAAACAAAACTTGCGAGTTGAACAACGCTGTCCGTGAAACTAATTTACAAATGTCAACGTTTAAGGCAAACAGCTGAACTACTCGGGCATGGAAACACCCCAAATGAGGAAAAGAAATTAAGACCACAAACCCAGCAACAGACAGAAGGGAGACAAGAGAGGCAAGACATTTGTGGTATGGTTCTTACCTTGGGAAGTGGTGGGTGCAGGTGATTTGGACACACCGGATGGGGAATTTCTGCCATTTGATTTAGCCACAGCTGAAATATCAAACAACAAGTGATGTGGGATTAGTTCTTCCGTGAATCCTACCTAACACTGAATATGTTCTCGTACTGTATACGTTCGATCAGAACATACTAAAGAATGCTGGCTTTCTCAGTATTTTGCTTCTTTAAAAGTAACATACTCATGGATTGTCCTATAGATAATGTATACTTTTGGTCATCTCATGTAAAACCTTGTGGTACTCAAAGAGTTAGGTGTGGAAATCTCCTACCATAGATCAACCACTGATAAATATCTCACTGGGAAAGGGGGGAGGGAAGAAAATAACAGACCCTCTGTCCCCTAACAAGCATGTTATTAAAGTCAGCTAACTAGAGGTGTCCCCTTTGAAGTCACAGTTCATTTGTCTGAGAGGCGGGGAACCAACAGTCTGCCTACAAATAAGCCAGATCTGTAAAACAAATAAGCTAACAAAACTCAATTCATGGAATAAGACCAAAATCTAGAACTGGATGACCAACTAGAACATTCCACCAGAGTTTATAAGCCAGTGAAAGGGAAGAAGATAAAGACAGTTACACCACAGAACAGAAAGATGTAGACACAAGCAGAGATACACCATGTATTCTAAGGTAGGGCATTTGAGGCCCCCCCCCCCCCCCCCCCCCCCCCCCCCCCCCCCCCCCCCCCCCCCCCCCCCCCCCCCCCCCCCCACCCCCCCCCCCCCCACCCCCCCCCCCCCCCCCCCCCCCCCCCCCGCAAAAATTTTACCCATTATTTATGACAACTGGTCGACCCTAGAACGATACTGGAAACAACAACAACAAAAAAACCTGCCTCTGCTGGGTTTGGAACATAAACCTCTTTCTTTCCAGGCAAATGCACTAACAACTAAGCCAGAGCAGCTCTAATGTTTAACACACCCAGACACAAAAAATGAAGCACACAGTAAAAAAAAAAAACAGGGTACCTGAAGCTGCTGGATTGACAAGCGCTGGGCTACTGGTTCTCGACGCGGACTGCTGACTCTGTGCCGCCTGCTGCGGTGTCATGACATTTGGGGTGACGAGCCGGTTGAGGATGTTCCTCTCAGACATCTGCAGCCTCTGTGTCACGGGCGGCACTCGAGCCAGCGTGGCTGGCAGCCTGGAGACATCCTGCTTCATGTCACTGAGCAGTTCCTCAAGCTGGTTCAACACTGTTGATGGAAGAAGCAAGCATACTGTTAACCTTTTCATGCCTCATACCTTTAGTTTCAGAGCTCTTTTCTCCACGCACCTCTTTTTCCTACTCCCCTGCATCCCCTTTCAAGCGGAATGTATCTCCTAGCTACATACATCTTTCTCAAACCATGATGGAGAGAGGGAGAGAAAGAGAGACTGAGGTGTGCATGTCTCAACCTTTAAGAATTCCTGTGTGGGTAATATCATTGGTGACCAGATCGCCCATTGGACGACTTCATTGCTGGTAGGGACAGTATTGAGGTCTGTCCCCTATGATCGCACCAACCTATGATCGCACCAACACTGCAGGAGTCATTTACAGGGCATTTGGTGGGGTGCAATGCTAAACCATTCTATATGGCACAAATAACCTAGTCACAATTATAACCTAAAGCTTACCTTGGGGGATTCTGGTTGAACGAGACGATTTTTCCCTGCCTACCTGAGTGTGTTTTAGGGTCCCCTTGTTGGAAGGGGGAAAACAGAATCACTGCCTCCCTAACATGTCAGAAATGGTGACTAATTAGGGGTTTACTGCAGTTGGATGTGTTGGACAAAAGGGTGCAGATATTGCAGCCTAGCTATAAACCGCAACACAGTGCCAAACGCCCTTGTAATGGTGAATACAGAAGAAGAAGAAAATCTAGAGTAATATAAGCTATGCAATAGGTCATTATTTCAAAATCAAATAATCAAAAACAATATGATGGGATATATGGGTAATTTGGTTTGATTTACTCATGCCCTCTTGGTTTCTCAGAAACAACTAGACAACCAACACTAGACCTGAACAAAAAGCAGACAAGAGACCTGAACAAAAAGCAGACAAGATGAGACAATTATTGCAGCAAAAATGTGATTTTTAAATTTAAAAAAAAAAAAAAAAAAAGCAAATTACAGCATCAACATTAGGTAAAAAAAAATTTTTTTTTTAAATTATAAGGTTGTCAGTTGAGAAGCAGATCAAAACTAAACTGATTAAAAATATAAAATATAGCTACCCAAGATTTGCTGCAGGTGCTATTAAAAAAAAAAGAAATTGAAAACTTAGTGATAACTTTTTCTAGTGAGTTTTCAAAGTCAGGGATAGACTCTTCCCATTCTCTTTTTCTTTAATTTATTTACAACTGTATCCAGTGCCAGCAACTTCTCCTCAACTGCTGATGCCATGGAATATGTTTATAACCATTTCTACTGACATTACCCAGTGCTAGAATCTTCTCCTCACATCCTGATCTGATGGAATGTGTTAACAACAGTGTTCTACCGTCTACGCTGACAACTCACCCTTGTGCAGAACAGCATTAGCTGGTTTGTTGCCTCCAAGAGATTCCTTGCTCAGATGCTGATGACTTTCTGCCAGACACTCCAGCTCTGCAAACCTGTTGCACAGACAGAAGTAGGACAAACTGTAATGTACTGAGTGACTCACAGATGCAGAAGATTAAGCAGAGACAGGAAGGCAGACAAAACTACATAACTATCAAAAGCTAGTTTTCATTGTGGGAATAAAATATGTCTTGACTTTTGCCGGGACATTCTGACCCACTCCTCTTTTCACCCAATGTTATCAAGCTTGCACATCAGCTTGCGTCATCCAAGACCTTCTTCTTTTCAGACTGTGACTCTTAGCTCCATCTAGGGCTTTATGCAAGAGGTGTTTCTTATCTGCAAATACTCTGATATATGACTTTGCTTGCAGCACTTTGAGCCTATCTGTAATAGTCGGCAGTGCAAGTATATACTGCATAATACTATTGGGGTATATCTTGAACATCCCAAAATTACCTGCACGGCTTCATTCTGTATGCGTTCCAGTTTCATTAACTGACACTTTGACATGGTAAGCATTCCAAGTCCATAATCTATCACTGACAGGCTCAAATGCTGGAACATTGTGAACAACATTCTTTTTTTCCATGTCCTTTGCTGCCATAACTTTAAGTGCATTAGGTACTTTTGGCATTTCCCAGCAACAGCCTCCTCACGAAGAGGTATTAAATAGCTGTGCACCCAATCCTGGGGTACTGACGCTGTTCTGATGCTCTCATTGAAGAAAATTAGTCATCATCATCCTGTCTGCGATTAATACATCAAACTGCACTCGCAGTTTATTCTTCCATTCCAATCAATCCTGTGCAACTGTTTCTCAATAACATGAACATAATCAAGGCTAGCACCTGTGGCCTCTCTCATCAATGTCCACCTTAGGGTTTCTTTCAGATGTCCTCATTTCCTCAAACCTTTTGTTTTCTATTTTCCATGTGGGTTCCGGGGCCTCATGAACAAGGCGTCTCGTAAAAACTTCACTGAATCAATACCAGGTAAGTGGTATTTACAAGGAAACTGGACCCTTTTAGAAGTACTGGGTTTGCAGCTTTTTGGGGTGGAATGGTTGATAAACAAAAGAAGACCTGTCACAAAACCGACAGGACACAAACTCACACATACCTGGCATTCAGTGCCATAGCCGGATGAGCGTGGTCTTGGGTGAGATTCAGGTATGCTGCACGTCGCAGCTGTTCTTCAATGACCAGGGCTTGCTCCAGAAGCTGCAAGAACAAATCATAAGCATGTGACGAAATCAGGCAAAGACCCAAGACATTTGTCAAAGTAGAAAGCATGTGTCACGTCTGCTGTAAACTACAAAAACATTAAAACCCTAAGCCTACAAGGGTGAAGACTATACCTCTGGCGAGGATCCAAATGTCTGTTCCACCAGAATCACACAGTCACAAATAATCTTGTGTGTGTAGGTTTGCTGTGGCCTATTTCATCTATCATAACAGTATTGTAAAGATCATCCTAGAGGGAAAGGTTCAAGGTAGGCGAGCTAGAGGCAGACAACGTTACAAGTGGGAGGATAACATCAAGAGATGGACGAACAGCAGTATGAGTGAGTGTACATCAAGGGCAAGAGACAGGGCTCATCAAGGGCAAGAGACAGGGCTTGTTGGAGATCCATTGCAGCCAACCTTCATTGTGGAGACGGCACCTGATTGATTGATTTCATCTATACCTTATCATTTACAACCGAAAAGACAATTTTAGTTTGCTCACAGACTTTAAAAAAAAAAATTTGAACAAATGAGTCAAAATCACAATAGACATTTAACTCAAAACATTAGCCAAAATATGTAGAGGCTTGACAAAACAGTATAGGCAACAGTATAGGCTTAAACTTTTCCCTCCAGTAGGATTGTTATAACAGTGTTATGTCTTTGAATGTAGCCAAGAGTCCACAGTTTACATTTTGTTTGAACAACTTTTTTTAAACAACTCTTTTCATTCTCAGTCTATTCAGAACCTCTGTTTGTTACTTTTGCTTCCATGAAATACAATCTATTTTTCAGTCTAACTATATCTCTAGAGATTCTAATTTCTAACTGCTTGTTCATTGTCTCTTAAGATATAAGAAGTTCCCAATAAAGTATAGTGACGACATTCTGGGTGTGGATAGAATAAGGCAATGTATGTAACAAGCTAGACATAGTCTGTTATGTAGCAGGGAGATAAGACACTAAGCAGTTTCTAATGAAATTACAGCCAGCTGTGTGAACAGAATGAAAAATATAACAAGCAGGACAGAGTGAGACAATGTAGCAACTCACTGGGAGATAAGAAACTAAGCAATTTCTAATGACATTACATCCAGCTGTGTGGACAGAATGAGAAATATAACAAGCAGGACAGAATGAGGCCATGTAGCAACTCACTGGGACTCAGGAATGTAAGACGTAAGAAAAGTGCAGAATAAGCTATTAAAACCACACAAAAATCTCACCTTGAACCTCCTGGCCAGAAACTTGTTTTTGATTTCCAGGAAATTGCCCTTGCCTTGTTCGGAAATAAATGGTTCATTGATGATCTGGAAGCGAGGGTCATTCTGGATGTCCTGCCAGCGACCATAGCCATGTCTAGTAATGTTCAGTTAAGGAAACTAAATAAATAGCACTTGATGTCAACAGCAATAATAACAACACAAGAATGGACAACCAGGACATTTCTGACAAACTAACTTCATTATTTAGGTAACTCAGTCCACACAAAATCTCCCCTGTGTGGGTTTCCGGGCCTCACTGTGTGTGTGTGTGTGTGTGTGTGTGGGGGGGGGGGGGGAAGAGAGAGCTTGTCTCGTGTACCTTCAATCAACTGTGGCACAGATTATCCTCCATGCCATGATGTCAAACTCTGTCCAGCATCTTCAGTTTATATACTGGTATTTAAATCCCATTTCTTAAAGAATAAAATACTAATTATTATAACAAATTAAGGCCTATTTGAAGTTTATCATCTCCTGCCGAATAGTCTATACAAATGTAGGCTCAGCACTGTATGCCAGCACATCATAAGTGTCAACTAATAAGGGGTTACCTTTCAAGTTCGTGAGCATCTGCCTGAGAGGCAAGGAACCAACAGTCTGCATAATATATGTGAGTTGGTCTGTAAAATGGATGTGCACATAAAACTCTTGTTCTGGAACAAGACTAATACCAAGAAGTGTATGAATAACCAGAAATTTCTGCCAGAGTTTCACACAAAAAATTAAGGCAATTCACACAAAAATCAAGGCTGTTTACATATATTCAAGGCAGGTCACAAAGAATTAAGACAAATCACACAGAATCATGGCAACTGCCACAAAATCAAGGATACGTGATAATTCCGGCCAGAAGCCAATAGTCATGGCGGCGGTGCCAGACCTCGTGTTCTCTTCCCTTTGAGAGGGCTCTCTGCTCGTTTGACCACAGGGTGTGCAGCTCCGTGAAGCCTCCATCAGCAATATTGAACATAAACTTCTGGAACAGCTCGTCCTGCTTCTTGGAGTCTTCTGTAGCGTCTTTCTTCTCCTCTGTTTTCACATCAGCTGTGCCTTCTTTGCTTTCCTCAGCACTGTTCTTTTCTTTTGTGGACTCATCTGCAAGTAAAAACAGCACCAGATGGAAAACCTCATGTTTACTGTCATGTAGGAGAGATTTTCAGCCTGGCAACCGTCAGGCTAGCTTCCTCAGACAAGTTTTTATCTTATATCTTCTTCTTCAAGTTCATGACGTGCGGCGATGGTAGTCACGTCGATCTACACCTTCTGTCTTGTGTACCTTCAATCAACTCTGGCACAGATTATCCTCCATGCCATGATGTCAAACTCTGTCCAGCATCTTCAGTTAATATACTGGTATTTTAATCCCATTTCTTAAAGAATAAAATAGTAATGAATATAACCGATTAAGGCCTATATAAGGTTTATCATATCGCCTGCCGAATAGTCGATACAAATGAAGGTCCAGCACTATTTGGCTGATAAGCCTACTGTGTGCAGATTTGTCTATAAATATACAGCTAGACTCCACATGCCAGTCATAAAGTTTTGGGTTTGAATCCTCACTGCCGGGATGGCTAACCTGGCCCACATATGCCTGCAGAAGCTGGATGTGCCAGCCGAAAGGTGCAAATATCCCAGCCATGTAAACAAGAACAAGCATATTGATGTCTTCGGATGAACCCAGAAGAAAAATCACAGTCTTGATTTTATTCAAAGATGAACTTGCCTTCCAGACTGACTCAGCGTAAAATGGGTACTAGGTAAAGTCCTGAAATGTTAAGAGGCCTGCATGATGTTTACCAAATCACCTTTTTTTTTAGGGTCAATGGTGTATGAAAATGGGAGTCTAGGATCAAATGCCTGATGCGCCACCAGCATAAAAAGTCTCCTTTACTTGACTTTGTCTTTTACCATAACAAATCAAAAACTTTCCTAACAATAAATAATCAATTACTAAAATAAATAAGCAATTACCTTAAGGATAAAACCATTACTATGGTACTATACTGCACATGCTACAGTGAGCCGCCATGGTTTAGCGGCTTGATGCTTGCCTGCGGATTGGAAGGTTGTAGGTTCAGGTTCTGACGGAGGGGGACTTATTTTCTCTTTAAAAAATGACCTTTGCCCCCACTGTCGATCCAACCTTGTGAGGGTACCAGGTACAGTCCTGAGAAATGAAGGCGGCCTGCGTGATGCTGACCTCATCACCAACCAAGTACCAATTGGTCTATAAAATATAGGTCTAGCTGAAGGCTTGAGAAAGGGTCCTTTACTTTTACTAGAGATAACACAGCAACTATTAAAAATTAGTGAACTGACAGATTTGTCTTACAACTTAGTGTAGTTATGTCTCAAAACCATTACAGCATCTTCCTACCTTTCTCCTTCTCTTCCTTCTCATCACCTTTGTCATTCTCGTCTTTTTCTTTCTCTTGTGTATCTTTCTTTTCTTCCTTGACATCATCTAAAGTTACTGGAGAAACACATTTTTTTAAGAGTAAGTAAGTATTTATGATTTTTCTATACACAAAATTGTTGTTACAAAGAAGTGTCCACTAAAGTAAACATGAAAGGTACACAGACAGATAGGCAGGTAGGTGAGACAGACAGTATGACAGCTACCGCCATATAGACATTCTATACTTGAACGGTCACCTATGGGGCATACAAACACCTTTTACATATTGTCCTCTTAAACAATCATCTTTCACTGAACAATTAATTTTTTTTTATATTATGCATGTTTAATTCTGTAGGCATCTGAAAGCTGATCATATACATATCATGAGATTCTCTTTTATTGTTTCTGCATACAACATATAAACACACATAATCATCATTCTGTTGTGCCGTTGTATGTCACACAGGGCTTCCAGTGTATTTCTCCATTCTACTCTTTTCTCTTCTCCTACTCCTCCTCCACCTCAAAGTGTCAGGAGGAGATGTAACATCTTAATCAACTCTTTTCTCTACAGTTGTTTTAATGTATGAATGAAATTAAGTCCAGCACCTTCGACCTCATCTGTGTGTATATTCTCTAATTTTCTATAGCATGCTCTGTTTTTTCACAAAGTGGGGGAGCAGGCACCATACTCATCCCTCTTTTTCTAATCCTGGCTTGAGACTGGCAACAGCGGACCAAAAAATAACACACACATTCACACAGTAAAACTTGGTTAACATAAATTCCAAGTGACCAAAAAATCAACTTTCATTTTTTTTTTAAATTTGTGCTAACCAGGGGTCTACTAATATTATACATCCCTGCCAGGACTATAATTTTGTTCATGTTAACCAAATGCTTCTTAAGTGAGTTTTAGTGTGTGTGCGCGCGCATGCGTGCATGTGTTCATACACGTACACCTACAGTCAGTCAGCAAATAAACAGCAGGCTAATAAATGGTAACATGCGTACACTTTAACTACACACTGTAAACAGGAGAGAAAATGGGGACACACACACACCAATACTTGGTAATGACAGGATCCAAAAACAGCAACTACAATTTTATTTATAACACCAAGTGCAGAAAACAAAAAAGTAGTTTTTAAAAAACACAAATATAAATTAAAAACAAAATTATTCTAAATGAATTAAAGAAAGGCAAAGAAACTGGAGAAATCTTGAATAACCGCCAGTATCAACATCAATGAAAGATGGCAATATAGTGAACAAATCATGGAAGACAAACAAGAGAATCACAAAAAGGCAGTGAAATGTGAAACAAATGGGCTGAGGAAGCCAGGTGTCCAAGAGCAACCTAAAATGATATCAATGAGAGAGGTCAAAGATGTAAGGCCTAGATTCTATCCACTATTTCCACACACACACAAAAACTGCAGAAGATAAAACAGGAACAGGGGAATTGCATGTGAGCCCTATATGACACAACAGGATGATGATGAAGTGCAGGAAGCTGATAATTAAGAACAAAATCAAACTGTATCTCCCCCCCCTCCCCCATTTTGGGAGAACAAAAAAGACCAACTGTCTCACTAACAAGCATGTCGTAAAATTCGACTAATTAAGGGTGCATTTTTTTCCCTAAGTTGAAGTGCATCTTCATGAGAGGCATGGAACCAACAGTCTGCTTACAAATAAGCTAGATCTGTAAAACAGCAAAAAACGCAAGTTCTGGAACAAGACTAAAGTGCTGAAGTGGATGAACAACCAGAACTTTCCACTGGAGTTTACAGCCAGTGAACGTGATGAAAACAAAGAAGAAACTGTTTACTAAAAGCTCCATTTATTTCATAATCAAACATACCTGGGTCTTTCACAGCAGCTTCTACTTCCATCGGCTCATCTTTGCTTTCCTCTTCTTTCTGGTCATCATTCTGTTTTTCCTTTACATTTTCATCTGCTGCTACTTCCTCTTCCTTGGTCTTGTCACTGTCTTTGCTGCCAGCTTCAGGTTCGTCACCCTGCAGAAATTCACCAGAAGACAATCAAAATATTTTCTGACATTCACCAGGAGACGTGTAACAATCAGCTTGGAATTAGGGACAATTTACATACTAAGATCAGAAGAAAACTAGGGCAGTTTATTTATTGTCCAAGTTGTTCGTGTGTGTGGGCACACGTCATCTCCACAACAGAGGTTGGCTGTAGTGAAACATAAAGTGCTGTCATGGGAATATTAAACAATAAGGCCCCAATCTCTCCCTCTGTGCTTCTCTCGTACCACTGTTTAAAAGCCACGTGATTTGACTACATCAAGCCAACACTAGAAGCTGGCTCAATATCATTTACAGACCAGGTATCGAGAAGCATGTGGATCATAGCAATGAGGGGTTATTTGCAGTAATACTGTGAAGGGTGGTGAACCAGCTGGAAAACACAGTGCAGATTGATAAGTTAATTTCCATAATTTTGGAGAAATTGTCTGGAAAGGAAAAGAGATCACAAGAAGAACTAGCCCCCTCAGCTAAGATGTTGTGGTCTAGAAGATACAAAGCTCTAATGCTTCACATATGTTATAGAACTGCACTTACTTACCATTTTTTTTAGATGTGTCATAAAGGGAGCTGTGGTTGGCAAAACTACAGAAAGAACCTACGCTTACAACATTTTCCTACGTAGATCTAGGGCTCGACAACCCCTCCCCAACTAGCATTTCGTAAAAGATGACCATTTGGGGAGTGCTTTTTTTAAAAGTCTGAATGCACCCACCTGAGAGATGCGGAACCAACAGTCTGCATACAAATAAGCCAGATCTGTAAAACAGATGTGCATGCAAAACTCAAGTTCTGAATCAAGATTTAAAAGTCCAGAAGTGCATTAATAACCAGAACTTTCCACCAGAGCTGGTGAAGAAGAAGAAAAAGAAGAAGAAGAGGAGGAGGAGGATTACAACAATCATCATAGCCTTATGACCAGCACAAGATGAAAATGTATAAATGGTAACCACTACAAACATTCCACCGACCTTCACACTCTCACTGCTGTCCTTTGGAGTGCCTCCTTCGGCCTTTTCACTCTCCTTCTTTGCCTCCTCCTTTCTGTCTTTTTTCTCCTTGTCTGCCTCTTTCTCTGCTTCTGCCTCTGTCTTGAGTTTCTCAATTGCATCAGAGGCTTTCACGTAAGGCATGCTCTGAGTCCCATTGATGAGTTCAAACTCCTGAACCTGAAGAAGAAACCACAAGACAAATCAATTAGTCAATTAGGTGCCATCTTCACAATGAAAGATAACCACAATGGATCTCAAACACACTGTCTTTAACTCTGGATGTAAACTCTTCTAGATGCTGTTTTTCCATCTCTTCATCTTATCCTACCACTAGTATCACTATCTGCCTCTATCTTGTTTGCCTTAAACTGTTTCCTCCAGTATGGTTTTTATAAGTGTTACACATTTACAGACACCCCACACTTCAAACATACAAGGCAAAAGACCCCACACAGATATCTTGAAATTCTTCGGTACTGGGCATTATCACGCAATCTAAACTTCTACAGTAGTGGGCACAATAAGAACATATACTGCTACAATACATGAGTGGCGGTACTACAACAAAGACAACAAACAATTCTTCAGTACTTGTTTAAGCTACTACCACAAACACCCCACACTTCTACAGTACTGGGCAGAACTTTTACAGTACTTGGGTAGAGGTAGTGCAACAAAGACAATACATACTTCAATACTTGCTGGAGATACTACTACAGACAGCCCACACTTCTACAGTACTAGGAGGAAGTACTACCACAGACACCCCACACTTCTACAGTCCCACACTTCTACAGTTCTAGCAGGAAGTACTATCACAGTCACCCCACACTTCTACAGTACTAGCAGGAAGTACTATCACAGTCACCCCACACTTCTACAGGTACAACGATACAGACACCTGTCTGCCCTATCACAAACAAACAGCAATGACACTCACCTTCTTTCTAACAAGTGACATGATGCCGATTCTGGTCAGCACATGCTGGCGAGACAAACCCTCTCTAGGAACCCCATCAGCGAAAGACTCAGCGTTGTCGGCTCCTGGCTCACACAAGTGTCGCATGAATAAGGAAACGTACGCCCGGAACACTTTCTCTGTCTTGCCTCTCAGGTCTCGGACCAACCTAAGACAGACAAATTGTTTTCATCACCGTAAAAAAATAATTGGCATTTCTTGATAAAGACGGGGGTAGAAAAGAACGATAAATTATGGTTAAGCAATATAACTTCTCCTTGAGCATTCTAAATGCTAGAACAATCAATCAATAAGTCCCCTCTGGGCTGCTACCTAAAGGTTTACCACACAATCACGAGATTAAAAAATCTCATCCTCGATGGCACACGAAGAAAGCAGATCCCTGATACCCCATTCAACCTCTAAAGAATTTATAATTAGAGTACCCATAGCAGCTATGCCAGCCAGGTTTAACCTGCAGTCCTATGCAGGTAAGGACTCATGCACCTGAGGTTCCCTGCTGCAGATATCAGTGACAATTCAAATGGGGCAGCTGTGCTGACCTACAGAGACAGGTCTTCTGTAGAAAGAGGATGCAAAAGTGCATGGGTATTCACAGCATACTCTGCAGGCAAAACAGTCCAGGAAGCCAGCGATGCCCTTTCTACGACCAGCAGCATGTTGATGAAGGTAATGGCAGTAATATGAGCTTTTATGTGGCTGGAACCACAGGGCTACTTCTATGTACGTGCGTGAACCGAGTGATTCTCTGAGCATGATCTGACTGGTCGAGGCGGGCTCTGTATGCAGACAGTGGATTAGGTCGTCTCAAAACTACACTGTGCGCTGGAGTTACCTTCATCTTTGTCCCAAATCATGCGAGTATAGTTGGTAATGAAAGAGCTGCATTAGCTGCACGAAGTGGGCCCTTGAATGCACCAGCACTGTTAATATCTTAGAAAGACAGGACGAATGGAGGATTATCCACATCACTGCTAAGAATGTGAGAACCGGGAGTAAAGATCAGTAGTCAGGCATGAGAGGCACACCAGATGTATATAAATGCTTGTAAACCAGCATATAACATGTTTGTAAACCAGCATATAACATGTCTCGAGTGCCATAACCCAACTCATTTATCTCCCACCTCCATTTGTCTGAGACTGGCTTTCTCTTTCCAGTTGGTTGCTCAAAGTGTGTGTAGGTCTGCCTCTATGTAATTTCTGCATCATCATCTTGTCTGTCTTGTGATCTATTCCCATAGAATTCTACTGTGTACAAAGCTTTTGTTTAAGCACTACTTCACACAGTGTCCCAAATGCTGTGGTGTCTGTTCTTAATTCAACATTCACATGCAAACATCATGATGTAGAGAACCGAAACGATGGTAAAATTTGTCCAAAATACAGATGATAAACAGATTCTATCGTAACTGGCAACTTAGATAAGAAAGTAATAACAAGGACAAGAAACAAAAGACTCACCACTGAGAGTTGAAAGCATCCTGGGGAGGCATGCCCCATCTCATCACTGCATTCAGGAAAGCTTTCCTCTGTCGGGCGTTAAAACCCAACACCTGAGAGACAACATTATTGTGAGTATCAATGGAAAGTAAACATTTTACTATGGGTGTCACTGGAAGGTAAATATTTTACTGTAGATGTCAGTGGAAGGTAAACATTTTATTATAGATGTAAGAGGAAGGTAAACATTTTATTGTGGGTGTCAGAAAAAAGGTAAACATTTTATTGTGGGTGTCAGTGGAGGGACAACATTTTACTGTGTGCGTCAAGGGAAGAATGACATTTTACTGTGGGTTTTCACTTCTTCTTCTTTGCGTTCACCAGCTGTAAATTCTGGCAAAAAGTTCTGGTTGTTCGTCCACTTCTGGACTGCAGTCCTGTTCCAGAACCTGAGTGTTGTGTGTGCACCAATTTGACAGATCTGAATAATCTGTATGCAGACTGTTGGTTTCTTACCTCTTAGGCAGATGCAATCAAACTTTGAAGGAAGCTTCCAATTAGTTGACTTTTACGACATGCTTTTGGGTTGGCAGTGTTTGTATTCTTGTCTTCCCTATAATAGGGCCCTGGAACTCACACAGGTAACTGTGGGTTTTACTGTGGGGATAATATTTTACTGTAGAGATAAAATTTTACTGTGGGGATAACATTTTACTGTAGGTGTCGAAGAAATGTAAGCATGTGTTGTGGAGGTCAATGCTAAAGCCTTTAGACTATAACAAAATTGGATGCAGTCAAGATTCTCTGAGCATGTTATAGGGAAGCTTGGGATAGTGACAGGGATTCTTCTGCGTTTACCGTCTGTGAACCCTGTAGGAAAGTCTACTTCGTCCATTTTGTTCCAGGACTTAAGTGTTGCGTGCATACTTCTTCCCCAGATCTGGCTAATTTATGCAGAGTTAGCACATTGCTTCTCAAACAGATGCACTAACAACTTCTACAGTGACCTGGTTCTTAGTAGGGAAACCTATTTCTATGATGACCAGTAAAAGAACCCTTCCCAGGCCTTCAGGTGTATTGGGCATATAGGGCTAGACATATATTTTATAGACCGACACTCGGTGGGTGAGGTGATCAATATTACTTCTTAGGATACTACTTAACACCCATTTAAGGTTGGGTCAACCAGGGAGCCGAGATCATTTCTGAAAACAGTCAGGCTCCATCAGGACCCGAACCAACAACCTTCCATAGGTGAGCTTCCAGCCCCTATACCACCCCACCCCCCCTTTTTACGATGACCAGGTAGAGGCATGTACAGGTCTTGACCAGTGTAAGCACTGGTCCTGGTGTACCTCTGCATTTCTTTGACAGGGATCAAATCTACACTGACAGCAAAAATGCTGGGGGGGGGGGGGGGGGGGGGATATAAACGTGAAAAAGTTTTGTTGTTAGTTAGGGCGGTCAAAGTATCTTCCTTCTTTCAGACAATGCCCAGTAACTGCTGAAACCTCAGCTTATACCAGGAAGGTAATACGGTACACTGGCACCTTTTTGTCATTGCCGATGATAGTGTTATATTGAGCTGGAAGCACAATGCCTGAGCCGTACTGTAGAGACCCTGGGATGCCCAAGCATCAGGACAGTCTACAAATAAGCCAGATCTGTAAAATGGATGTGCATGCAGACCTCAAGTTCTGGATCACAGCTAACAGTATACAGGTGGATGAACAACCAAAACTTTCTGCTGGAGTTTACAGAGGAAGATATGAATCTTCTGTAACCACATCAGAGTAGCCAGGTAATCAACTCTTACCTCTATCTGTCCATTCACTCGTGCCAACAGAGGGGGCAGGGGCTTGTCCTTCTCAATCCTCCTTCTACTCCTAGCTGTGAACACAATCAATCAGAGTTTATAGATACTACAAGTCTGATATGGGACATGTCAGTGTTTTGTGTTTGTGACATTATCAAACATGTCGTCATTGAATTAAAAATTCCCAGTGTGATTTTCAGGGCCCCAGTGTTATGAGATGGAGGGAAAGGGGAGGGGGGTGGGGGTGTAGAAGAAACCAGTGCCCCCCCCCCCCCCCCCACCAAATGCTGTAAAAGAAAACTATAAATAGGGGCTTGCTGATTGCTGGACTGAAAGGCAGAGATAACACAGCCTTGCTAAACCACAACAGAATGTCACAACCACCTTTTTAAAGATGAACACAGAAGAAGAAATGTTACTGTGCATGTGATACTGGGGAGTCTTTTCATGCCAGCAGGCATCAGGCTCATGGTACAAAGAAGAAAGACATGTTGTTAGTGTGCATGTGATACTGGGGAGTCTTTTCATGCCAGCAGGCATCAGGCTCATGGTACAAAGAAGAAAGACATGTTGTTAGTGTGCATGTGATACTGGGGAGTCTTTTCATGCCAGCAGGCATCAGGCTCATGGTACAAAGAAGAAAGACATGTTGTTAGTGTGCATGTGATACGGGAAAGTGGGGGTGTCTTTTCGTGCCAGCAGGCATCAGGATCATGGTACGAAGAAGAAAGACATGTTGTTAGTGTGCATGTGATACTGGGGAGTCTTTTCATGCCAGCAGGCATCAGGCTCATGGTACAAAGAAGAAAGACATGTTGTTAGTGTGCATGTGATACGGGAAAGTGGGGGTGTCTTTTCGTGCCAGCAGGCATCAGGATCATGGTACGAAGAAGAAAGACATGTTGTTAGTGTGCATGTGATACGGGAAAGTGGGGGTGTCTTTTCGTGCCAGCAGGCATCAGGCTCATGGTACAAAGAAGACATGTTGTTAGTGTGCATGTGATACGGGAAAGTGGGGGTGTCTTTTCATGACAGCAGTGCATCAGGCACATGGTGCTACACCCATATTTTTTATTGACCAATCGGTGCTCAAGGGGTGATGTGGTTAACAGCATAAGACTAGCTTTACTTCCCAAGACATGTTCTGGTACCAATTTTACAAACCAGAACAAAGAATACTGGTAGGTGCAGTACTGGTAAATGATTTCATAGAACATCAGAGGTCAAATAGTTTGGTCATCTAGTCAGAATGGAACAAAATCAGCCAGCAGCTAGCCTGTACTACATAAAAACAGCAGGCTACAAGAGGCCAAACAAAAAAAACAAAAAAAAAAAAAAAAAAAAAAAAGATTGGAGGAGCTAGTAATAGAGACAACAGAAACACAATATGACAATAACACAAGCTGCCTGGCTAGCGGAAGACAGCAAACTATGTATAACTCTTCTTGGCGATTCTTGACAACATAAGCAGGACAAAAGAAGAAGAATTGTTTACAGGGTCAACTGAGAATTCCAGGATAGTTGTAAGAATCTTTCTTGATGTGGAATTAAACCCAGAACAACAGGTTGGTCAGCAAATGTCTAGTCACTACACTAATATGTCTCCAGGTGGCAGAAGTGCGATATTAAATATGCAGTTGTTTGTTTATGACGTCAGGTTTGGCATCATATATATTTGTGACCACTAATACGTCAGGACTTCAGGTTAACTAACATATGCTGTTCTTGTTCATGCTGAGACACCTTTCCAACTTTCCAGAGTGTTATACAGGGCTATGGGGAGGCATGGGAATCACAGCCCATGGTGAAGGCAAGTGTAACTAGCAAGACCCGCCAGCATTAGGAAAAGTCTTCCACAATTGGAACATGACATTTCAGTACCGCTGTTGCCATTACATGTAACATATCGTGGAGCAATTTCTTCACAGTATGTCACTCTCATTAGGCCACTTGGTGGTCCCTAGTCAATTATCCTGCCTCGTGAAATTTAGAGCCTAAGGCATCCTTGATATTCTGTATCGATAGTCAGGCTTCCTGGCATTACACTCTCCATTACATGCGACAGGTTTAACTATAGATATTTTAGTAACCACATATAAGGAAGAATACTTACTTGTTGCTTGTCCTTCCTGTTTGTCATCAAAATCATCGTCGTCTTCTTCATTTACTGCAAAAAATACAGAAATTCATATGCTTGAATTAGTAATATAGCCAGGAAAAATTCAACATAATCTCTCCTGTACCAATGTGGCTTGTAGAAATTTCTAGTTTGTTTAGTTTTCAAAGATCTCTCTCCCCTGAAGTGCAAAGTCGTTTTAGCACAGTAGTTAGAGGACTGCCTACATGCATTGGGTTTCAAACCACATTGATGTTATAACTGACTTTGGGTTATGCTGACCACATCACTCATTAAGTGCAGGTTGGTCTACACAAATATGGATCCACAGCAGAGCTATTTAACTAAGTAAAAGTAAACAGTTAAAAATGGGTCAGAGGTTTGAGCCTCAGGGTAGAAAGATATAAATACAAATGGCAATGATCACCTAGGCCTCTGCAGCCCAGATTGAGCCCACAAGCTGCCAGCCAAACAGCCTGATGCATCAATGGTACGGAAACAGTTTTCTACTTGTTATTTTCAACCCTGTAGTATAGAGACACTATGTAGTAACTCTGCCCTATTCTATGCTGGGATGCAGAAGTACCTGATAAGCTTATGATAACTTTTCTGTTATACTCTGTGATGGGACCCACCGTGGTGTAGCGGCGACATGCTTAAGCGTGGGCTCAAATCCTTACCGAGTTGGATTTTATTTACAAATAATGTTGTCTCGTAGGTCGACCCAGCCTTAAATGGGCAGCAGGTGAAGTTCTAGGAAATAAAGATGTACATGCGTCACGCTGACCACATCACCCACTTAAGTGCCGACTGGTCTATGAATTTTGACATTATGTACCCAATATGCCTAAGGGTGTGGAAGAGGGTCGTTTACTTTTTACTTATACCTTGTGACGTAAAGATACGTCAGTTTCCTGTGCGTGCGAACACAAATGGGGCTTAATTTTCTGACCCTAGAGTAAATAAATGTCAGTTATTTCTATTATTAAGCAGAATTCACAGATAATCTCATATGCACATATTATGCAATTTAAAAAAAAAACATTCTTTTTGAATGCACACTTTACATTATCTCGAAATCTTGTTCTTCACAAAATATTTACAATGCAGATATGACATTACATCCCACTATCCTCAAAAGAACACTGTCAATGCAGACATCCCATCACCTTTTTCTGTTCCCACAACACATCCCACCACCACCATTTCCATGACAACACTGATGATGCAGACATCATGTTACCTTCCTCTATTCCCACAACACATCCAACCCCCAACATTCCTATAAGAACACTAATAATGTAGACATCACATCCCACCCGCAACATTCCCATAAGAACACTGATGATGCAGACCTCACATCACCTCCCTCTATTCCCACAACACATCCAACCCCCTACATTCCCATAAGAACACTGATGATACAGACATCACAGCCCACCCCGAACATTTCCATGAGAACACTGATGAAGCAGACATCACATCACCTCCCTTTATTCCCAAAACACATCCCGCCCCCAACATTCCCGCCATGTGATGCAAACATTACACTACCTTGACTGAAATCAGAGTCATAATCTGAGAGGTTTTCTTTCCAAGCCTCTTCATCGTGACCATTCATGGCATCGTTGTAGTTGACCTGCTTCCTGATTCGCTTGCCCTTGCCCAGGGTCCTGGCCAGGTCCTCCTGCTGCTGCTCATAGTGATGACGCAACAGCTTTTCCCAGTAGGCGGGGTCAGCATGCTCCGCTTCCTGTTTCAGAACTTCTGTTTCAGGCTCTTCCTGAGAAACAGAAAATACAGAGAAATATTACAGAAAGCACTTCTTTTACTTTCAGAACTACATACAGTTCATAACAAAGAGATGATAAAACAAAATCTACTTCTTTCTTCTTTTGTGTTCACCGGCTGTAAACTCCAGCAGAAAGTTCTGGTTGTTAGTCCACCTCTGGACCTTAGTCTTATTCCAGAACCCTTGGTCTTGCTGCATGCACATCCATTTTACAGACCTGACTTTTTTGTATGCAGACAAACTATCATGTGTCTTGTGTAGTAGACCAGGCCAAACACATACTTTAAAACTAAAGATTTCTTCTCCTTTTTCTGCTTCTCTGTCAAAATGATTTACAGTTAAGCTGTGATATCTCGTCTTTGGCCCAACAAATCCGATTTCTGCAAACCTGAACCAGTTGTCTTTTACACCATGCTTATTAAGGGGCAGCTGGTTTATCAAAGCCTGGTGTCCAGCAGTTAGGAAACTGCATCAACAACCACTAAACTCTCTCTCTCTGTGGGTTTCAGGACACACTTTTAACAAGCAGGTCTGTCATAAAAGGCAACCAATTAAGGACTTGCTGAAAGGAGTTAGGGTGGACCCAAAACGCACAGATACCACAGCCTAGGCGTAGACCACAAAACAAAGTGCCTTCGAAGGGTAAATGCAGAAGAGAAGTAAAACCCTCAGTAAGACACGCCAACTAAGCAGACAGAAATTAGTGAACAACCCTCATTGCTTATTATACATACCTCGTCTTCTAATTCCTTGATGGTGTACTTGGCAACATTGAAAGAACTCAGGTATTCATTCATAGCCATCTCCTTCTCCTCCTGGCCAGCCTGGGTTCTGTCGAGAAGTTTTTTGATGGCCTCATCATCATACACGATTCTATCATCACCACCTGCAACAATAAATAAATCAAGGCATCATACATGATTTCATTACCACCACTTACAACTACAACAAACTTATCAAGGCATCAAACACAACTCTATCAACTCCATTAATAAACATATCAAAGCAGGATTCAAGATTTTATCACTAACACCTTCAACAACAAACATATCGAGTCATCATACACGATTCTATCATTGCCACATACAAACATATCAAAGAATGATCCATGATTCTATATGACCATCCGATGATGAACGAATCAAGGCATCATACAATATTCTATCCTTCCCACCACCAAATCATTTCAAGGCATTTTACATGGTTCTTCTTCTGCAACCGCCCTTACAAAAGGATGGAGTGGTAGGCCCAATGTTTTGCGGTTTACAGTTAGGCTGCAATATGTGTGACTTTTGGCCCCATGCATCTGACTTCAGCACTAAATGGTCGCCTTTAACATCATATTTGTTATGGGGTTAGTGGGCTGATTCTGTTTCTTTTACAAACATGGGACCCCGGGACATACACAGGAAATAACGACTCTATCATCCCCAACTACAACAACAAACATACCAAGGCATCATACATGACTTTATCGTCACCACCAAATGATGGCAAACTTTTCAAGACATCATACATGACCGAATCATCCCCACTGACAATTACAAATTTATCTTCTTTTCGTTCACTGGCTGTAAATTCTGGCGAAAAGTTCTGGTTGTTCGTTCACTTATGGAAGTCATATTCCATAACCTAACTTCTGTGTGCACATCCTTTTTACAGTTCTGGCTTATTTGTATACAGACTGCTGGTTCTTCGCCTCCAAGGCAGATGCACCCCAACTCCAAAGAAACAGCCCCAATTAATCGCCTTTAACCTGTTAGGTAGTGGGTCTACTCTCCACCTTTCCATCCTGCCGTGAATGTCTTTAATTTCACAGGACCGAGCAGACACACCTCTCCTGATGTCACATTAATTGCACTCTGATGTTTCTATTAAGAAACTGCCACCCTAAGGGAACTCCTGGCAGAATCACAAAATTTAAAGTGTGGAGAATCCAGACTTCTGTCTGCTGCCTTTAATTATGCTACCAAATGGAGATCCTGGGTCCCACTGTGGAAGAAAAAAGAATAGACCCACTGCCTCCTCAACAAGCATGTCGCAGGAGTAGACTAACTGGGGAGTTTCTCTGAAGTCGGAGTACATCTGACCGAGCATCAAGGAACAACCAAGTGAACACAAATAAACCAGTAGAACAGATGTATACACAGAACTAAGGCCCTGGCACAACGCCAAAGTCCAAATGGATGAACAACCAGGACTTTCTGCCAGAGTTTACAGCCGGTGAACAAAGAAGAAGAAGCTACCAAAATTACACATATGTGACTGCTTCGCTCACACCTCTCCTACCTCAAGTAGCTTATAACTCACCATCTTTAATTTCATCCTCCTTGAAAAGCTCTTCTGTGCCAAACTTGAGGATATCGTCCAACTCCTTCTTGCTCATGGCCCCTCCTTTGTTCCCCAGTCCAGGTCGGACGACCAGGTGAGTCAGCATCATCTTACGCTTGGCTACTTGTGTGATACGTTCCTCGACAGAGCCACGGGTCACAAACCGGTAGATCATCACCTTGTTGGCCTGACCAATACGATGGGCTCTGCTGAAGGCCTGTCCGATGCAAGAACAAACAGTTATAATAGGGCACTGCCAACACATGCATTGTTAAACTATTAGTTGTGGAGGGACATGATCAGTGCCATTGGTCTGGCACTCATATTAGACTTACAGGTTTCTACATAACCACTAAGTGCTCTAATATTATTGGGTTTCAAGGATTTGCTCCTGTCTCATGCAAGTTGTGTCTCCTCGAGTCAATGGGTGTTAATCTTTCAGTATCTACTCGTACAGGGGGAAGGGGGGACTATTCACTCAGGTCAGATGACATCTTGAATGCTGGGAAACACAAGGGGTCATCAAACTCAATGACATGTGATCTAACCATTAAGACAGGGATTTCTTAAAATACACCTAGGCTATCCCAGTTTAAAATGGATGTCACGATAGGTTCTGGGAGACAAGTGCAGCCAGCAGCGTGTTCTGATCATATCAAACTTATTAAGCCTAGTACTTCTTTCAGTTAGAAACAGACTCTGTGTCCCCAGCAAGCTATTTACAACCCAAAAAAATTGACTATATCTAAACAGACATGATGACTACTAAATCTGTTTTCAAACACAGACACTTTCCCAAACAAAAGAAAACACGCTACCTGAATATCATTGTGAGGATTCCAGTCGGAGTCATAGATGATGACAGTGTCGGCTGTGGCCAGGTTGATGCCCAAACCTCCTGCTCTTGTTGACAACAGGAATACAAACGCTGGTGCCTCTTTGGCTGTGGGATGGCAAAATTGACCGTTATATGGATAACAGTTTTCTACTGATGCAGGTTACATTTTAGGAGTTTCTATTTTTTTATATATATATCTTAAGTGTGTGTGTGTGCAAATTTGTTTACCTGTAGAGTGTGTGTGCTGTGCTTCTGGATGGCACAGAAAGAGAGGGGGGAGGAGGGAGGGGGAAGGTGAGGTGAGGGGAGAGAGAGAAAAAGAGAGAGAGAGAGAGAGAGAGAGAGAGAGAGAGAGAGAGAGAGAGAGAGAGAGAGAGAGAGAGAGAGAGAGAGAGAGAGAGAGAGAGAGAGAGAGAGAGAGAGAGAGAGAGAGAGAGACAGACAGACAGAGAGAGAGAGAGGGGGGAGGGGAGAGAAGAAAGTGGTGAGAAAAAGAAGAAAGAAAGGGAGCATAAATGAGGGCACTGAGGAAGAGAGGAGAAATCAACATTTTGAATAAAAAATACATGCAGAAGAATCAGAGACAATAATAATACCAACAAAAGAGGCGTCAGTTGGCCGAGGCCATAAAAGGCAGAAAGAGTAAAAGAAATATGACAAGGGAACTTACAGTTGAACCTGTCAATGGCGTCTTGCCTCTGTGAGCCGGTGACACCACCATCAATTCTCTCGTATCGGTAGTTTTCTGCTTCCAAGAAATCCTCGAGCAGATCCAGCATCTTGGTCATCTTTATTTCAAAAAGAAACACCAAGGATGAATTAACAATGTGCAGATACAACTTGAACTTGTGAAATGTGGTTATAATGACAAACAGGAAGAAGAGTAAGAACAGCTAGCCTGCTACTCAAACATCAAACTGTGTTCCTTCCAGCAAAACAGAAGAAGATTAATATAATCTTCATCTCCACTTACCTTTGGGCTGTTGATGACTAAAGTGGAAAATGAGTAGTCCATAGGAAAGGAAACGAGGGGGGGGGGGGGGGCCTGTTCAACCAGCTATCTTAATAATTTACATAAACAAACAGAGGGGGGACCCCTGAGGCCATAGAAACATTATATACATAACAAACAAACAGAGGGGGGACACCTGAGGCCATAGAAAAATTATATACATAACAAACAAACAGAGGGGGGACCCCTGAGGCCATAGAAACATTATATACATAACAAACAAACAGAGGGGGGACCCCTGAGGCCATAGAAACATTATATACATAATAAACAAACAGAGGGGGACCCCTGAGGCCATAGAAACATTATATACATAACAAACAAACAGAGGGGGGACACATGAGGCCATAGAAACATTATATACATAACAAACAAACAGAGGGGGGACACCTGAGGCCATAGAAACATATATACATAACAAACAAACAGAGGGGGGACCCCTGAGGCCATAGAAACATTATATACATAACAAACAACAGAGGGGGGACCCCTGAGGCCATAGAAACATTATATACATAACAAACAAACAGAGGGGGGACCCCTGAGGCCATAGAAACATTATATACATAACAAACAAACAGAGGGGGGACCCCTGAGGCCATAGAAACATTATATACATAACAAACAAACAGAGGGGGGACACATGAGGCCATAGAAACATTATATACATAACAAACAAACAGAGGGGGGACACCTGAGGCCATAGAAACATTATATACATAACAAACAAACAGAGGGGGGACCCCTGAGGCCATAGAAACATTATATACATAACAAACAAACAGAGGGGTGACACATGAGGCCATAGAAAAATTATATACATAACAAACAAACAGAGGGGGGACACCTGAGGCCATAGAAACATTATATACAAAACAAACAAACAGGCAATATATTGGACAGCACTCATGGAAAGCAGCAGAAAGAGAGGACCCATTAGACAAAATAAAAATCAAAACGCTACAGTTAACGTGCCGGGAAACAAACCTGTCATCTCCGATTGGCATGTGTGCCTCGCTATGGAAACAAGTGTACTAAGATACATAAACAACTAGGCACCCCTGAAAAAAAGTGTCATCATTAGCCAAGTCTATCCCACAGGCTGAAATCCACAACAACGGAATACAGACAGAATTCATCTCAAACCATTAAAATGGCACCACAGGTTATACAAATTTATATTAACCAAGCATAGGTTAAATAACAAACACAGCAACACAATAACAATGCAGCCAGACAACACTTTATACGAAACCTGTTACAGTTGATCTGGGTGAAAGGCCAGAGGAAGATAAGGAAGAGTAGAAATTGTAGCTGAATTTTGCTTTGAAAATTAAAAAATCAGGCCGGCACGCTTGAAAAAACAAGGGGTGAGCTGTATTCGTGACGGAAAGGAACCTGGACTTGCCTAACAGTTTTTCCAGACCCTAATGATGGGCATGGAGGTGGTTTAAAATCGTAACCCAAAACACCATCAGCTTTCACTAGTCTTCCTTTCTTTTTACCTCAAAACATCACTCTCTTTTTAAGTGCTTACTTATCTGTGAGTGAGGTGTATGTTTGAAATATTGATAAGGGGGCCCATCTTAACCTGGAGAAGTTGTAACCAAGATAATTAGTTTGTCCTGTCTCCACAAAACTTTCTGCAGGATCAGGCCTTACTTTCTTGTTGTCCTCTCCCCAGGAGTAAGGACTCAGTCATGCCAATACTGGGACTATCCATTTAGACAAGCATATTAACAAGCCATTGTTAGGGTAGGGACTACCTCCTGCACAGAGAGACTTAACTCTATTATGTGCTCTCCAATAGCTGTAGTTGTGACAGTCACCTGTCTCAGATCAGATATTCTTCTCCTGAATATGTCAAAATTGCCAATCAATTTAGGTATACATCTCTTGTCTACCCTCTTTTTATACTGTCTGCTAATTTCAAGTTAAGTACCCCTCAAAACATGCCAAATTAAGGTAAGAAATCCACAACAAACCTGAGAGAAGATCAACACCCTGTGCCCTGTAGTAAACAGCTCCCTTAACATTTTAGCCAGCAGCTCTAGTTTCCCGCACGACTTGATCAGGGCTGAGCCTTCAAAGGCATTGTTGATTGCACGTGGTGCTTCCTGCAGACATGTGATTAGTCTGTCAAAAAATGGGACATCACAGCATACACATGCATCACACATAAATAGTCAATAAACAGTCAACAAAGTAACATAAACAAATCTTCATTCATATTCACCAGCAGTAAACTCCAGGGGAAACATCTAGCTGTTTATCCACTTCAGAACTGTAGCCTTATTCCAGAATTTCAGTTTCTGTGCACATTGCTTTACAGATCTGCTTATTTGTAGGCAGACTGGTGGTTCCTTGCCTCTCAGGCAGATGTACTATTACCCAAAAGAGCACATATAATTAACTTCTTCTTCTTCTTCTCGTTCACCGGCTGTAAACTCTGGCGTAAAGTTCTGGTTGTTCGACCACTTCTGGACTGCGTGTCCTGTTCCAGAACCTGAGTGTTGCGTGTGCATCTGTTTGACAGATCTGTATGCAGACTGTTGGTTCCTTGCCTCTCAGGCAGATGCATTCCGACTTCAAAGGAAGCTCCTAATTAGTCGACTCTTACGACATGCTTTTGGGAAGGCAGTGCGTCTATTCTTGTTTTCTCCATAATAGGGCCCCGGAACCCACACAGGGAATATATATAATTAACCGACTCTTACAACATGCTTGTTAGAGAGGCAGTGAGTGTCCTTACGCCCCCCCCCCCCCTCCACCCACACAAAGTGACCTCCTACCCACACAGGAAACATACAAATCACAAATAATGAACAAAAGGCAGTCACCAAAACAGAGTGTGAACTATATATATTCAACATCACACATAAGCAGCATCAGGAAGAAGAAGAAAGAGGAGAAGGACAAAGAGGAGGAAGAAGAAGTATAGAAATTACACAGAAGAATTCAGAGCTGGAACACTCACCTGGGCAGCCACTGGGAACAGGTAGGGATGGTTACAACATTTCTTCAGATCCATCATGATGTTGAGCAGAGATGTCTGGTTGCTGCCACCTTTGATGTTCAAGGCTTCATAGTTCCTGGCAAGAATGTACTTGTAGTACTTCCTGTGTGTGAGGGGGAAAAAACCACAGTATTGTTTTAACAAAACAATTCATCAGCAAAAAATTTGTAATGGGAAATGTATAAAACAACACACAAACTTGTACAGTAGATTGCATACAAATAATATAAGAAATGTGTGTTACAATGACTGGGTACAATAAATATATGAAACAAAGATATTATTATTTAAAATAAAAGAGAGAAAGACCTGATTCCATAAACAGCCAGCCTAATAGTCTCGCAGACCAATCAGCACTTGCTGATGTGATCAATATCATGTAGGCTCTTTTCCTTCCTGGAATAAATATCCTAGTGCTCTGAAGTTTAAAAATATGCCCTGATGCATATTTAAACATATAAGCACTGAGGAGCAGGCAGGACATTACTATGGCTCCCAATAGAGAAGTATACCTCTTACCAAGCCGTGTGGTGTTGGTAGTCATGTCTATCCACAACTTTCCGTCTTCTGTACTTTCAATCAACTCTGACACATACGAACCTCCATGCCATGAAGTCAAACTGTCCAGCATCTTCCATCTCTTCCCCTCCAACTTTCCTACTATCACAATGTACTCCAGTTTTCTCTTTTTCATGACATAACCAAAGAATGTAGATTGTCTCTTCTGACAGAGACAATCAGTTCTCTTCGTGAGTCAGTTTCTTTCAACACATCTTCATTACTCTTTTTATCTCTCTAGGGTATTATCATTCTTCTATAAAACCAAATCTTTGCAGCATCAAAACAATTTATTAATTATATCGACCAAATGTCCATGATTCACTTCTGTATATCAGAATTTATACAGCTTTTGAGAATTCTCGTTCTGGTCTCAAGTGACAAAGGAAGATCACAAAGAACATTCAACATTTTGTATACTACTAAAAATTACAATGGTAAAAACACAGAAAAAGGTACCACTCACTTCTGTAATGCAGACAGCTCCACTCTCACAATAAACTCAGACTTTGATGGCATCCCCTTCAGGACATCAGCCTTTAATCGACGCAGCAGATGAGGCCCAAGCATGTCATGGAGCTTCTTCACTTGGTCTTCTTTGGAGATGTCTGCAAACTCATCTAAAAATCCCTGAAGATCACTGCAGAGAAAAACATTCACCAAAAATATGGTAAATTTTTAAAATCTCTTGAACTAAATAAGTCTCTCTCTCTCTCTCCCACTTGCACGCATGCATGCATACATACATACACACACACACACAGGTTGAAAAAAAAAAACACACACAAAACAACAATAATGGGTTAAGAGACAATGGAATAAATTCTCAAAGACAAGTCCATTTCGAGGCAGGAGGTAGTGTTGGAGGTAAAATACAAACCTATAATTTAGATGCTGTATGGCAGGGCTATTCAACTGGCGGCCTGCAGGCCAAATGATTCCCAGAGAGACATAGAAAGTGGCCTGCGGATCACTGCCAGCCTCACTGTATTAATTATCTTTCTACGCAGGGGCTGGGGTCCTTGATTCTAATTTTTAAAATGTTAAATTGAGAACCAACATCACAGCACTGGGGACACTCCCATAAGCGCTCTGGAACCCATCTTCAGCAGCAAGCGAAGGTTTCCAATTCTGATGGTACCAGTAACTGTCTGACTGCACATCCGTCTGGCTTTTTCTCTTGAGTGTTGAGCGTAACTCCCCCTACTGCACTATTCTTTTCAGACCGCAATGATCTATTTGTGCCTCCGTACTGTTTCAAAATGTCGGCCCCTTGGGTAAACTTAGTTGAATAGCCCTGCTATAAAGTATACTGATCTAATACATGTGACCTTTAACCCTTCTACACTTCTCCAATAATAATAATTCTTCTTTCATCCATAACACATTCCTTACCAAGCAACTCACAGCAAGTTTATTAGTTACAACAGACATGACCTACTTTTACTGAACTCCTTGTAACCCATCCTGTTGTTACACTAATCCACTCTGCCCGAATTAGTACTTTAACTCCACCTGTCCCACAATGGTACTATTTTAACTCCTTAGACCTTAATGCTGATAAATTAACACACTAATTATCAGACACTGTGTGGGTTCCGGAGTGTCATTGTGGCCGTAAAAAAAGAAGACACGCTGCTTTCCTAACATGTCGTAAGAGTTAACTAATTAGAGGTTTGCATCGAAGATGGAGTGCACCCGCTCAAGAGGTCAGGTACCAACAGTCTGCATACAAATAAGCCAGATGAAGATGAAAAAAAAATTTTTTGCTTTCCTTTCCCCGTCATCATTTTATCTTAGCTGCACATAATTATTTTATCTTAGCTGCACATAATTATTTTATTTGTTTTAAATATGTGGATTAACACTGACACCTACCTGAAGTTTTCAGGTGTTAAGAAGTTGAGCAGGTGGAACAACTCTTCTAGATTGTTCTGCAGAGGTGTGCCTGTCAAAAGCAACTTGTAGCCCAGCTTGTAGTTGGTCAGGATACGGAAAAACTAAACAGAGACAAAATTCCATTACTGTAAGCAGTCTATCCAAACAAATACAACACTGATCAAGTCTAAAATCTTATCTCTTAAAAGGTACACGCATGTCAACCAAAAGATGTGGTCATGCCTGGCACTGCAGACATAAGTGTACTAGCTCTTCTAGGAGGGTGAAAGCAAACACTAGTAGCATTCGGTTTTCCCGATGATTACTAAGGCCAACTCCGCCTCTCGGTGGTGCAGACTGTGACAGACTAAAGTGAGATCGAGGGCACTGTCTGTATCACCTTCTCTGTTGGGGATTCTGGTGGGTCTGCCATCATTCAAGCAGATTAAATTTGTGTGTTAGTGCTTCCTCTAATGCTTCAAGCTGTTTGTTGACCGCCATATTGCCCCACTGCCGATCTTTGGCATTGAAGTCACCACACATGATTATGTCGGTGGTTATCTGCTAGAACCTGTCATTTAAAATTGTCTACTTTTTTAAAATCCAGATTGGTAAAGCATGCATTAGGATACAGACTAACAAGGATTTGACCATCTTCTTCTTCGCATTCACCAGCTGTAAACTCTGGCAGAAAATTCTGATTGTTCATCTTCTTCTGGACTGCAGTCCTGTTCCAGAACCCGATTGTTGCGTGTGCATCGGTTTTACACATCTGACTCATTTGTATGCAGACTGCTGGTTCCTTGTCTCTCAGGCAGATGCACTCCGACTTCAAAGAAAGCTCCCAGTGAAAAAGCAGAAAATGCAAGGGTACAGACATGCCTTCTGGACCAATGCCATGTATTGGAATTTGCATGTTTTCACAAGCTGTTCCTTTCCTCTCTACAAGGTGTTCCACTTGTCTGATATCTGAGGGAGTAGCATTCTTCTAGTCTCGCTGAGTTTTGGGCACTCAAAAGAGATGTTGTTCAACAGTTTTGTAGGGGTAGCTGGCACTCTGGGAAGTGCTGTGACTGTATTCTGTTTATATGTCTACCGAGTATTCTGTTTATATGTCTACCGAGTGTCTATCTATGTTGTGTTCAAAGTTCTCAGAAATGTTATAAGACCTGCTGACCTCTCCAAAATGATACTACAAGGCTCTGAAGAGAGGAAGAGAAGAGGCAGATGAGGAAAGACCTGGGTACAGAATGTAGCTGAATGGAAAGAGTTGAAACAAAAAAATATATCTCGTACAAATGTGCATCAATCAAATCAAAGTTTTATCTCTTAACATGTCTCAAAAGGTGTAAATGTGAAAGTAACATTCCTTAGAAATAACATATATGCGAACAAATAAGTTTCACGTAGCATTCACAAAAGGGCCATATCAAGTTTAAAAAGGTGGCCAGTCAAAAGTTTCCTCTCTTAACAAGTACAAATAAGTCTTTAAGTTTTTATTCACATCTAATTTTATCATTTAATGGGTATAAATTAAGTGTCAAGTCAAACAACAGAATTGTTTGAGGGGAGGGTATTAAGCCTCCCCCCCCCCCCCCACTACCTCCGATGCTGAGCTCCGGAACCCGTATAAGAAATCCCAAAAACACAAATACAACACAATCCTGAAACTGGTAACCAGGGTGACTATAGTGGCAAGAAAATATTGAAGGGAAGAGGAAGTGCGAGAACCTCTATGATGATAAAAAAGCAACACAGCTAATGCAATAACTTACTTTCGACTGGTTGTTCTTCAGCCGATGAGCCTCATCAACCACTAAGACTGCCCAGTCGACAGAGCCCAGGCAGGCAGTATCAATGCTGATGAGTTCATACGAGGTTAACAGCACATGAAACTTCACATTGCAGCCTTGCTTCAAGCGTGAAGCTTTTGCACCACCTCGGATGGCGTTGTCATCAAAGGAGAATTCATGCTCCCTGAAAGAATTGTATACAAACATTCTTCATAACTCTTATGTACACCCTGCAAAGTAAAGGTGGTCGGGTTGATGTTGACACCCCTCACTCAATGAGTGCCAAGTGGTCTATAAAAATACAGGTCTCGAACTATATGCCCATTGCCTGAAGGTGTGGACAAGATTTCTTTATGTTGCTTACTTTTTACTATAAGCCCAAAGGTGGGGTGGGGGAGGGGGTGGGCCTTTGCTTTACTTTTACTGTTTATGTATACAGATGACATGGTTTGGCCTTCTTACGAAAATCCCCTGGTACCAAGTGCTCCAGCGAGCCAGGCGGAAGTAATATAATGAACACAAAGCAAGGTAACGACCACGCTAAAAATGGAACGACAGCATCAAGAACAGCCTCAAAGAAATGAAGATCCACTTAGACAGCGCATCAGTAAGAGCTTACACCCCCCCCCCCCCCCCACTTTCAATAAAGTAACTGGAGGATGAAAAGAAATGATGTGTACTGTCCCATGTGTTACTGTGAACTGCAACAAAAGTAAATAGTATCGCTGTTACTGACCACCTTGGCTGTAAATCTGCAAATGAGAATCAGCAAGGTTAGCGCAGTCGACTGAAAAACTTTCACCTTTAGAGGATTCAAACCAAGATCTCCTGCATGAGAGCCCTGTGTTCTAACAATGCGGCTGGTCGCTGAATACCCTCTTCTTCTTCTTTTTCTGCAGTCATCTGAAGCTGTAATTGCGTGGTGGCCGTTTACAGCATGGCTGCGAAATTTGCACCTCTCAGGCGACACATCTGCCATCTCCAGGCATTAGTTGACCAGGTTAGCCTTCCCGGTTAGTTTGTGGGACACTGCAGTCTCGCTGTTGTGTGGTCATCTTTGTTTCCCAGGTCACAGGTGGTGCCCCACATCAGGCCGGCCCAGAGAAGCCATGTAATGCTGATCAGCCCTAGAGACAAGGCAGGGACAGAACATGAGCATTCTCTGCCATCTAAGGAGGCTTCCATAAATGCAAAGCCAGTACCTGGTGCTTTGGTACTGGGCTCACCCAAAGAATCGACACGTCCTGTTTATGACTGTTCAACGTCACTAGCATATACTGAACATCTTATTCATCATAGGCTATGTTTTTAGAAGCCACAAGTAGGTGGCCTGCAGACCTGAGATTTCAAAAATGAGTACTTTTATTTCTTTTGCACATCAGACTTTTACTACAGTGGAATTCCGCATCCACTAGTTTCATAGGGGCATCCAGCGTGGCAGTATACACAGATGGGTCCACACCCCTTTCTCCCCCCCCCCCCCCCCCCATGGCTGCATCTCGAGGATCCATGACATTCGTCTTTTCCTTCTTAAACCTTTAGATGTCAATATGAATATATATTTTAACAAACTTGAGGTTGTTGACATCTCCAGTCATCAAAAGGAGCAGGTGTCAGACAGGATAATTTTCTCCTTTCTGCATATGCTGAACACTCTTGCAGCAAGTGTTTGGCTGTCATTTTACCATTTCTAAAGCTACAATTATGTGTCTCCTATCTTTAGCTTATTGAACACATGGTATTTCAGCCTATTATTATATCCTGCGAGGAGTCTAGAGATCACTTCTTGTTCTCTTTGGTCAAATTGGTAGTATGCATCATCCTTCTTGTAGCCTGGATGTTCAGAATCCCATTTGGTGCTATAGGTAATTCTTATAAACCTCTTGACCACATCATGTGTTAAGTCTGTATCAGGCTGGATTAATCTTCCACCTTCCTCTGCCCATCTGTCAGCCTCTTCATTTTCAGGTATGATTCAATGCAACGGAATCCACCGTACGACTGTTTTTTATTTTATTTCTGACTCAGTCCATGGAAGGCAGCTCTAAGGTCTGCTAGTTCTGTATTGTTTAAGTCAAAATTATACAGGGGGGCCGGGAGTTAGATCACGTCTATGATTTGAAAATGGGGCCGCGGAGCTCACACAGGGAGGACTAGATCCCATCCATGATATCACAAGGATTGCACAAGTTAGAATGGAGTAGCTGACTAGATCTATGTGATGTATAAAATGCCACAACATGATGATGATTATGATGATTACCTGATAACTATTCTGGAATCTTTGTCTCCGATGTAAGTGACAACATAGAGGTCTGGAGCCCAGAACTCAAACTCTCGCTCCCAGTTTATGATGGTCGACAAAGGAGCACTCACTAGGAATGGACCTTTGCAATGTCCCTGAAAGTGAAAATTTGAATTTTTTTTAAACACTTTTAGAGAACAATAAAATAAAAAAAGTACCTGGAGTTAATTTAAGAAGTGACATGATAGAGTTAGAGTCATTCCCATTAGCGTTCCATCCCCATATTCAGCAGACAGAGCAGAGTTCCAATTCCAGTGGTTCTATTACAGATGTCCATCTTGCCTTTCTCTTGAGTTCTAAGTGTCAGCCAGATCCCCTAATCAGTCCCTACTGCACCAGTCTCTTCAGGACATAATGATCAATTTCCCCATCCCGACTGTTCACTCCCTCTCTCCTTGACTGGATAATAAATTATAATGAATAATTTCTTCTTCTATTGAAGCATAGTACCTCAGCCAACTGGTACTAAGTCAAAACATCCTTTGCAATTGTAGGCAGCTTGTCCCCTCATTTTAATCTCATTCTATCATTGCCCTTGCCATTTGTTATGCCTTTTTCCCCTGCTGGTTCCAGTGCAAGGACATTCTAGTTATACTAATAACAGGCTTTTTTTTTTTAAACAAGTGTACTATCCCCTGTCAATTTATTTAGTTTCTAACAACTGGTGTACTGGATTGGAAGAGAGCTCTCCATGTGTGTCCAGGATCCATTTTGGGTAGGGGAAGAGGGACGACTGACCCAGTAGATTGGAGACGAGAGAGAGAGAGAGAGAGAGAGAGAGAGAGAGAGAGAGAGAGAGAGAGAGAGAGAGAGAGAGAGAGAGAGAGAGAGAGAGAGAGAGAGAGAGAGAGAGAGAGGGGGGGGGGGGGTGCGCAGATCCGTGCCCCCTAAAAAGTATGCTGTGAAAAGTGACTGCTGAAAAGATGTGCTGAACTAAAAAGCTCAGAAAACACTTCAGATGTAAACCACAACAGAACATGCCAACCGCTCCTGTAAGGGTTAACACAGAAGATGATGGGACGAGAGCATAGAAAGTACAGCAAGGAATAAGTGGCAGAGAACACAGACCTCATCCGAGACTTTGTGGTGATCACGTGAGAGGGCAAACCATGACAGCCAACACTTATTGGCTTTCACATGCTGCTGATTGGCAGCCGTGGCAGCACAGTGGCTAAAGTTCGCCTGCCGCTTTGTGCTAGCCAGTCCCTGCCGCTCTTACCCGGTACCATGCCCCCAGCAACTGTTCTTTCATCCATCGTAGCATTTCATACGGCCAAAGTATTTTAGTTTCCGATACAAGGTCTAAACCACATGAGTAGTAAATACAGGCAGTAATGACAGCAACATACCTCTTTATACAGCGAGTACAGGAATGTAATGGTCTGTATAGTCTTCCCCAGCCCCATCTCGTCAGCCAGGATAGTGTCTGTGTTGTTGGCCCAGGAGTAGCGCAGCCAGTTCAAACCTTCCAGCTGGTATGGATGCAGAGTCCCCCCAGTCTCGTCAATGTATGAGGGCTGCCTGTCCAGTTGTTTGCGAAGCTGTGGAATGGTGGACGGAATAATAGTACACTGATGTTTAAGACAGCTAGTGTGTGAACACACCGATAAAATCGTTCACTCTATCTATACTTCCATTTATCCAATCAATTAGCATTCAAACAACACGTGACCACAGGTTTAATCATCATGTGACAGCAGATTCAATTAACATATGACAAAAGATTCAATCAAGTCAGCAGCGGATTAAGTCAATATATGACAGCAGTGAATTCAATCAACATATGACAGCAGATTCAACGAACCAATGACAGTAACCAATGACAAAAGATTCAAACAACATATGACAGCAGCTAATTCAATCAACATATGACATCAGATTCAACAAACCAATGACAATCAACACATGACAGCAGACTCCATCAACAACCGACAGTCGACTTAGCACATGGCAGCAGACTCAATCAACACATGACAGCAGACTTAATTAACACATGACAGCAGACTCAATTAACATGACAGCAGACTCAATTAACATGACAGCAGACTCTATCAACATATGACTCTATCAACATATGACCGCAGACTCAATAAACACATGACAGCAAACTCAATCAACACATGACAGCAGACTCAATTAACACGACAGAAGACTCAATCAACATATGAAAGCAGACTGAATCAACACACGACAGCGCATCCAATCTACACATGCCACCTTGTTCACTTCATATTTCCCTCCATTAAATCAATTAGCACATGACAGCAGATTCAATCAACACAGGACAGCAAATCCCGTTAATGCAGCCTGTAGAAAACACTTACATCTGTGGTGGGGTAGGCAGGTGGCATCTTGGAGAGAATATCATCGTCAATCTTCTTCTTGTCCTTGGCTGGTTTCCCTTTGCTTTTCTTGCCAGGTTTCTTTGGTGGTACTGGTTCATCACTGCCATACATGACCAATCTGGAAGAACATCAAGGCAGCAACAAACATCAGCACCAACTTATTCACTGCGAGTTTGTGCTAACAAGGTCTTACTGTCTAACCCACACAGATCCAACTGTTACTTTAACTTCTAATAATACTTAAAGTATTATTATTTCAACTCATTCTGACAAAAATATTAATTTCTTTAAATTTCAACTTTCTAGGAGAGAAAATGCTATATTATATTCGTCTTTCAAATGACTATGTTGCCTACAGTAGAAATGTCTTTCAGATTGTGAGGCTGCCTATAGTAAAAGTGTCTTTGACTTAAAAAGTTGCCTACAGTAGAACTGTCTTTATGATGTTGCCGACAGTAGAACTGACTTTCAGTTATGATGGTGCCTACAATAGAACTCACTTTCAATTATGATGCTGCGTACAATAGAAGTCAGTTATAATGCTGCCTACAGCAGAACTGACCTTATGACGCTGACTACAGAAAAACTGTCTTTCAGTTACATTGCTGACAGGAGAACTGATTTTTTTTTTTAAGATTATGATGCTGACTACATTAAAACAGCAATAATCTCAATACACACATAACTTCTGGGGTTGTGCACCCACCAAAGCACACTTATACACACTTTTTTATTTTTAAAGTTATGGGTAAAAATGAGTCCAAGCAAACAATCAACACAAAACTGACACGCACAAAAAACATATCTTTATCAAATGACACACACACAAAAATCTCAAATGACAAGTGGAGGCAGGGAAATCGAAATTTCTTAAACAAACACACAAAGATATATATATATATATATATATATATATATATATATATATATATATATATATATATATATATATATATATATTATATATATATATATATATATATATATATATATATATATATAAATATATATATATAAAACTAAAATAAGTAAAAAGCACATAATATAATCTCAACAACAACACGGAGGCTATGAAACAACCATCCCAGACAACAGATGAAAACCATGTGTCCATTTGACACACATAGTTCGAACCTTAGGTTTTTGTAATCGTCCATGGCTGTCTGCAGATCGGCTATATCTGCATCCTCCTTTTCCCAAGTGGCCTGGTCATAAGGCAGATCTCTCCACTTCACCAGGTAGTAAGTACCTTTGTCAGTCTCCCTGTGTGAATTAAATTAATTTGTTACTATTAAAATAAATGCTAACCATTAACCTGTCTTGGAAATGTTAAATCTGTAATTTTGGCTGAGGGTTAGAATGCATGGCTCTCATACAGGAGACCCGGGTTTGACCCAAGGTTAAGGGATAGAGACTTTCTGTCGGGGGCAAAATAACAACTTGAACTTGCACAGTTCGTAGAGACTGCACTAGGCATGCAGCTTAAATTCCCCACGTCCAACACAATCAAGTAGTAAATACATAAAGTAAAAAAAAAAAAAAGTTAAACATCAATGTTATATTTGTTTCATTTAAAACACTTCCGATAGTGCTGCAAAAAAAAATCAGAAATGAATACTATAAATTTTAGCGAGACGAGTTTTCAAGCCTTAAAAAATCTTTCCATGATTACGGCTAGGCTTATATGGTGCGTAAAAATGTGTTGGTAGGTGTAGGCCTAACTCAGAATTTGTGATAAAAAAACTGAAGGTCGACTGTATACCACAATGTCTGGTAATTTGTCTGTCATTTAATATATATATTTTTACATATATACACATTCACCGCTACTGTAATATGCACCTGATGAGACAGGGAAATATGTCAGACAATAAACTTTGCAGTCGACTGTTTGTATCTTATTTGTTCAAATCTTCTACACAGCTGATATGGATGGACAGAAACGTGAATGAAGCAGTCTATCAAGAAAGACATCAAATGGTAAACTGATTACCAAACAGAAACAGATCTGATCAGTAAATCTCACGATCTTGTGAGATAATGACACCCATTATCGCCCATGCTTATCGGTACGGCTAATAATGATGATGAATTATAACACACCACTGATAAACAAGCAGTAACACCTGATGATGATGAACTAGCAATAACACTTGATAAACAAGCTGTAATACCTGATAATGATGAACTTGCAATAACACATGATAATGATAAACAAACTGTAACACCTGATAATGATGAACTAGCAATAACACCTAATAATAATGAACTAGTAATAACACATGATAATGATAAACAAGCAATTACACAAGATAATGATAAACAAGAAGTAACACGCAATAGTTCTAATGTTAAAATGTTAGCACAAACAATAAAAACATACATGTGATTGATAATCCTGTGGATATTCAGCCACTCCGGTCTGACGCCGTATCTGTAAAACCGCTCCTCCAGGTTGTGTGGATCCTCTTCCTTCATTTTGTCCTTGTAGCTGCTGCCGTCTTCCAATGGAGGCGGCTCGTCCATGTCCACCCTGCGGATGTAGTTTCTGTACAGCGCTGGGTGGTACACATCCAGCTGAAGTCAGAAACATTTAAGCATTAATTTCAACAACATTTACGAGCAGTGTTACAATATGTGTCCTTCAATTTACTGTCTTTTGTTTTCTTGTTTATTCATCCACATTTCATGAGCAGTGTTACAATATGTGACATTCAATCTACTATCTTTTTTTCTTCTTCTTCATTCACCCACATTTCATAAGCAGTGTTACAATATGTGACATTCAATCTACTATCTTTTTTTTTTCTTGTTCATTCATCCACATTTCATGAGCAGTGTTACAATATGTGACATTCAATTTTCTATCTTTTTTCTTCTTCTTCATTCATCCACATTTCATGAGCAGTGTTACAATATGTGACATTCAATTTTCTATCTTTTTTCTTCTTCTTCATTCATCCACATTTCATGAGCAGTGTTACAATATGTGACATTCAATTTTCTATCTTTTTTTTTTCTTCTTCATTTACCCACATTTCATGAGCAGTGTTACAATATGTGACATTCAATTTACTAACTTTTTTTTTTCTTCTTCATTTACCCACATTTCATGAGCAGTGTTACAATATGTGACATTCAATATACTATCTTTTTTCTTCTTCATTTACCCACATTTCATGAGCAGTGTTACAATATGTGACATTCAATCTACTATCTTTTTTTCTTCTTCTTCATTCACCCACATTTCATAAGCAGTGTTACAATATGTGTCCTTCAATTTACTTTCTTTTTTCTTCTTCTTCTTTGTGTTCACTGGCTGTGGGAAAGTCCTGGTTGTTGATCCACTTCTAGAACCTCAAGTCTTGTTCCAGAACCTGAGTAGTGCCTGCACATCCATTTTACAGATCTGGCTTATCTGTATGCAGACTCTTGGCTGCTTGTCTCTCAGGCAGATGAACTCCAACTTCGAAGAACGCCCCCGATTCAACAACTCCTACGAAAGCCTGTTGGGGAGACAGTGGGTCAATTCATGTTTTCCCTTAAAATGGAACACAACCCACACGGGGATGTTTGTTGGCACCTCTCTGACTCTCCAAACAATGGTGTTATACTGTGCTATAGAGAGGCAGGGTAATCACCATCCATGACAATGGCAGGTGTAACTGATAAGACTTGTTAAAGAGCATGGGATTTCAAGACCATTATTGCCAATGCATGTATTTCTTCTTTGTTCGCCTTTAAAAAGTCGGTTGGCGCATTGTGTCGTGGTTCACAGAAGCAGTTGGCATGTTGTGTTGTGGATCACAGCTAGGCTGCGAAATATGCATCTTTCAGCCCAACACTTTAAACTTCAGCAAACCTCATAATTAATCACTTTGCTCAACAAGCTTGTTAGGGGTGTAGTAAATCAATTATGTCTCTTCCTCCCCTCCCCCCCCCCCCCCCCTCCCATAGGGCCCTGGCGTCACAACTTGCTTCTCAGAGGCTCAACTCTCAACCCATCACAAATCCTTGGCATTATAGTAGACACCGTGTGTTTTCTCCAGAGTGCATCTGCCTGAGAGTCAAGGAACCAACAGTCTGCATACAAATAAGCCTATGTTTTTTTTTAAAGTATATGTGCACAAGAACTAGTTCTGAATCAAGTCTACAAGTGGATGAACAACCAGAACTTTCCACCTGAATTTACAGCCGGTGAACGCTAAGAAGAAGAAGATCCACATTTTTAAAGATAAATCAGCGCTCAAATAGTGATGTCATCAACATTACGCGAGCCTCCCAGGACATTTCCTGGTTTTCATGTTAGGCTGGGTCAACCACGAAAACAAAACTGCCTCAATGGAGATTTGACTCCAAAACCTGTGAGCCATCAGGCGAGTGCATAACCACTGCATTGTTAAAAAAAGAAGAAAATGCCGTAATCAGCCACTTCTTTGAATATTCACTACACACATTTATATGTTCTCCGTTCAATAGATGTACAAACTTTCAATACGAACCTGAAGCTCGGACACCCAGGAACAGTGCCAGTATGACATGTCTGCCCACTTGATGAAGAACTCTCGGAGAGGTTTCTGCAAGAAAATATTACAAAACAATGCTTCAGAAAGAGTTAATATTACAAAACAATGCTTCAGACAGAGTTAAAAAAGTGTTAAGAAATTCATTATCTTCAGCCCAGTGCAAAGTTTTAAAAGATTTGATGGCAGTTTCAGTTTGATTATACGTTAGTCTTGCCTTTCATTTAAGCATTATTTTTTAGATACAAAACCATTACAATATTCAAAATTTATATGTATTTTGAAACAATTATAGTTTTTTCTTTCTCTCTATACTTCAAGAGTTGGCTCTGTGGCTAAATTTATGTCAACGCGCCAGGCTGCCGGGTTCGATCCCAGCTGAGGGCCATGCACTTTGTGTTGGTTTCGACAGTGGTATCAGGGGGCCGACTGTCCAGAAAGCAATGGCAAACTACTGGACGTAAATTTGCCTAGAGAAACCACACAAGTTTGTGCACATTGTTGAGACCCTTGTTGTTTCTGTGAGTGAAAGAAGCAGCCCTTATGACTGATCATTAACCAACAGCTCACATATAAAAAGCTTTAAATTTTTTTTCTTATCTCAACTCTTTACTGTCTCAAGAAACACAATGTTTGATCTGCTACTGACTGTGTGTATCAAACACTAACTGGTGTGTAATTATATTTTTAATGTTTGGTCTCATTCTAAAGAAAGCTGGTTAGATATTCTAACATGCAGCAAATAATATGTTGCCAGATTGAAAGTTATATTCAAATACTAGTTTTTTTTCTGTAATTATTTTTCCTTGTAGACACTTGCCAAATCTGCAGGGACAAAACAAGATAAAACTAAACAACTTACCAAAGCCTTTTTAGGGAGTTCGTGGTGGGTGTGGTCAAGCTCATCATCAGTTTTTGGGGGTTCACACCACCTCCAGGTGAGAATTTTTTTCACTTTGCCTTTCAAAGGTTTACACTGGGGGAAAAAAAACATTATTTGTGTAAGTGTATTTGTTGAAACAAACACCCAGAACATTATGAAAAGATAACAGAACAAATAATAAGCAAATAAATACACTATTAACTCTTTAAGGCCCAAACAACGGTGTGAGCGTAGTTTGAGAAGTTCCGTTCTGCCCAAACAACGGTGCCATCGTCAATCGTGTATCTCTTACGTTTTGCTTCGCACGCGCGTTCGTACTAGTTTCTACTGTTTGGAGGTACGAATAACCTATTCAGGGAAAGTCACTCTGCCAAAATCCTTTTAGTTTCATTTCTTGGACTAAACCACACATGGATAATTTGAGAGAAAAAATGATCGAAATTTTTTTTAACAGTTCATTTTCTAAGTTCGTTTTTGAGTGCACTGAATACCAATGTTCTAACCACAAGAACAGGTCGCAGAATGCGTCTTTCTGCGGCTGAAGCTCTGAAATTGTTTCAGTCAGATGTTTTTAATTGTGATAATGATAAAATTTTTTTTAGATTTTTCATCAAGGGATTCGGACAGTGAATTTTCACCAGTGAAGCTGAGCGATCAGCTGTTCGGAAGCTAGCGATTCTGACGAGTTTATTACACTGACAATGTCCCATACTACCGTATTTATGGTGTAAGAGAAGGAAAGTGCTCTAAACAAAGAGATAGTACTATACTATGGCTAAGCTACATTGAAATCATCGCAGCTACAGTTTGTAAAAAACTGTACAAAGTGAATAGTAAATAGTGTGTGTGTTATGGCTAATTTTTCTGCCATTTTTTCTCTGAAATTTTGCTTAGCACTCAGTGGGAACTAAGAGCCCCTGAGTGATAAACTAACCCAGAAAGTTATCATAACTTTAGAATATGTTAGGAAAATGGACAAACTTTGAAGTTTTGTTCTCAATTTTGGATATTTACTATTCTTGTGGCTGCAAAACCATGGTAAGTGAAGAATTTTTGTGTGAAATGTTGTCCTTGTGAAATTAACACCTGCTGAATTTTTCTTTTCCACTAACTATAACAAAATCAAACAAACACTGATTCAGAATGTACAATCATTTCTTGTTTAAAAAATATATACTGTTATAGGGATTAGAAGTATATTACAATCTCTACAGCCTTTCTTGTACATCCACCCCTCTGCCATTTTTGTAAAGGGAAATTAATGTGGGCCAAGTCTGTCAAAATTCATGGGCCTGAAAGAGTTAAGCGGTTGCAAACTGGAGACAAGAATAAAAGAATAAGGTGATAAAAGAAAAAAAATGGTGAGAACATGAAGTGAGATGCATTTGCTGGCAAGGATAGGATGACCGGGCTAAATAGGGCCTATGCTCCACAGGGGGATAAAGGACAGCAAAAGAAGAAATGAAATATATGGGGCACACAAACAGAATGTGTAGAACAGGGAAATTAGTATATGTGGGTAATACTAGGCAAGAGAAGCTGAGAAACACAAAGTTGTACAAGGAAGGCTATGCAGCTGGGATACAATTAATAATAAAAGTAACAACAATACACCCGATAACAGAGGGAATTGGAGAGTTATGATCATCAGCTTGATCTTTAAATCCATGTCTCAAGTCAATCTTACTGTACCAATTCATTCAGCCTAAAAAAAAGTGCTGTGTCATTTGAACTCACTCATTTAACAATGATGTTTTAATGCTGTCTATGACCACTCAGTCATTTTACATAACGTTCTGTTACCTGTGACCATTAAAGAATATAAAATAATGTGTTAAAAGTTATCTGTGTTATGTGTACTCAACCATATAAAATAGTATGTTATAAGTTATCTGTGTTATAATTTAACTGGCTTAAAGTAGAAAGAAATCACAATTATAACACAGAAGAAAACAAAACAATAATTTTCAACCATGCAACTTACTGAGCACCTAGGACAGTGCCATTCACCATCAGGAACCCCTTTGATTGGTGGGTTCAAACAGTGTGTGTGGTATGCTGAAGGACACAGGTCACAACACAACAGCTCCCCGCCATCTTTACACACTCGGCAAAACTCCATGTGGTCATCCTCCTCCTGCTCTTTAATTCCTTCTCCCTCCTGCAACCAATCAAAAACAAAAAAGTGATTACTTTAATGCAGTGGTCATCAACCATTATTACTTGTGAAGCCGGTCAAGTAGATAAAATTTCTATGGCAGAGACATTCAGGCCTACTATTTTTTTCTCAGCTACCATAATTACACATGATATTGTCAAAACTTGGCCATATTTTTCTGCAGCAGCTGCGGAGCTCCTGGGAAGGGCAGGTGAAGTGGAAACTGGTGCCTTAATGACATTTCATTACCACTTAGTTTCACCAGAGAACATATTCATGCACAAAGTACATCTATACTTTGATGGAAGTAAGTAAGGGAAGGGTAACATAAATGCAACAAAAAAAATGGGGAGGTTAACACTTTCAGTCTTAAGGAAGGTATCATATCTTCATATGTTCCTATCTAGAAGCCCAGTGAACACAAGATGAGCTGATTTTTCATCTCTTTACTAACTTTTGGGCCCCTGATGCTTAACCCCCCCCCCCCCCCCCACTAAAAGGACAGGATAACTTGGCGGAGGTGGCTGAGAGTCAAGGCTCCAATGAAAGCTGATGAAGAAGGGAAATAGATATTTTTAATAGCAGATATTGTAGTAGCAGTAAGAAGAATAGAAATGTACTAGGTCATCCTTTCAGAGGTTGAGTAATCCGTTCTCTTGAACAAGCAATGTCCTGGGAAGTAAAGGCAGCCAGCAAGATGTTGACTACATCACCTATCATGTGCCATTTGGTCTATAAAAATGAGTCAAGCATCATTTGTTTAAAAAGGGTCCTTTACAACTCAGTTAAAAACATTTCTCCCTGGGCAGGTAAGCAGATAGACAGACATAATTTATTTTCAAGGGGGTCACAAACTTGACCTGTCTTACATTCAGCCCTTCCAACCACACATCTTTGACACAGTAATTATAAATGAACACACATAACAAATTTCAGAAACATACGCAGTGTGGGCAGCTCCACTTTCCTTCGGGGGCCTCCTCCAGTTCTGGCTCCAGACACACCAGATGGTAGGCACGAGGGCAAGTGTCACAGAGAATGATCTCCCCTCCCTGCTGACATACTTCACAGTAGTCCTGATGTTCTGTCTGAAATAAATGAATAAATTATTAATAAAGGTTTTCTTTTGCACAAGTATATGGCAAGAATTGTGGCAGCCGCCTTTCTTACTCACCATCAGCCCTCACAAAATCTCTCTTGCAGATTCTTTACCACATGTGCTATCACATTTATAATGAGTTTTATGGCAATGTCATATATAATGATACATAAGATCAAAACTGTAAACAGAAATATTACAGAAAAATGCCCAGTATACCACAAATCAGGAAGAAATAATATTCTATAGTAAAACTTCATTAACATGAACTCGCTTAAGAACACTTTTGGTCACAGTACAGGGATCTATTATTCCTGCCATCCCACAAATGCCGATAATGAGGATTTTGTTTTTCAATTAGAAGAAAATAGGGAATTTATTAAAGATTCTTTGTTTAGCAGTGAAAGGGTTAATTTAAGTCCTTGATTAGCCATTTACGTGGCTGTCTTGTTGCCAGGTATGTTTTCATTTACACAAGCCTAATTATAATTCCCTCTGCTTCTTTGAGCAGTAGTATGATCCGCTTCTGGCTTACAAACATCCATCTAGGCAAGCCATGGCTTCATTAATCCATGGTTTCCTTGGTCTTCGTCTTTTAGAGGTGAGATGGCTCAATATACCTATATATATATATATATGTGTCAATCTACATACATACATACATAAACTCGGATGAAATAATGCCTACATATTTCTTCTGCTGTCTTTTAGATCCCAAACAGAACATGGGGCCTCAACAAACTCACTTATTTTGTCTTCTATAGTCCTTTCATGTCTGCCCCTATTTTATAATATCTGTCTCTTAATTATAATTCACTGTAGCTTGCATGTTTGTGTCTCCCTCTATTTCTTTCACCCTGTGGATTTCTGAGGAACAAAATTCTTGCTGCACTATTATCAGGCAGCCTCAATGTGTGCTATCCTCATCACATCATCTTGATTCATTAGAATTAGTTTACTTCTCACCCTGAGCATTAAATCCACTGTAATGAAATCATCATATAAACAGAAGGATAAAATACACACACAAAAGTACAATCAGGCAACAACCAAAATAAATTTTATTCAAAGATATACCTCATAGCCGTCAGCGTCAGGGTCATTCGGATATTTGTTGGTCAATTTGGTCTTCTTCTTCCTTCCACCTCTGCCTCTCTTGGTCTTCTTCTTCCCTGTTTTATCCTGGTCTTTCACCATAGCTGCCTCTTCAAGCTGTCTTTCAAATTCTTCATCACTTGTGTCAAAGCCTTTTTCTGCTTCATCATCCTGCACAAGACAGTGCTTGTAATCAAAACAACATATTATCATTTAATTTTTTTTTTACAGGACCTCGCAGCCAGCCAACCCCAGCATTTGCTGGCTGTTTGCATTTCATTATTCAATTTTATGTTCAACAGTTTGCCACTTCTTTTTGAATGGTCAACTAACCCTACTATTGCTGAAATCAAGTGTGTGTTCAATAGTCTGCCACTGCTTTTTGAATGGTCAACCTCTCCTACCCTGCTGAAATCTATTTTAGGTTCCATAGTTTGCCACTGCTTTTTGAACGGTCAACAATCCATACCATTGTTGAAATCAATGCAAAGAGGCCTGCTGCCAGAACAAAACAGAGAGAGTATTTTGAAATAGTAAACTGTGTTTATAGCCCCTAAGCCACAGATGGAAGGAATGATGATGTTGGAATGAAGATGGTACCAGACAACAGTAGAGAACACAGTAGCTGTTAGGGTAATATGAGTAGAGATTAGCCTTCGCAGCATTCAGGGCAAACTCATATTAGCTCCATCTCCCTCGACAGCCAGCGAAGTCTTCATACTGACGATACCCACTGTCATCTGGTTACCTACTCATCTTGCCCCCCCCCCCCCCCCCCCCCCCAGTGACACTCATGCCTGTAAGCACTCTCTCCATGGAAACTGCAAGATGTGCTGAAGCGTGACTGCCAATGCCAGTTGGTAAAACACTTGGAATGTGATTTATGTGAGATACTTTCATCTTTCATCAGAAGGGACTGATGAATGCAAGTTTACACTTGCATTGCTAAAGCTTGGCATTAACTCAATCAAGTGTCATAACAATAAAGGCTGACCGCAGCAGACCACTACTTCGTGTTCCTCATCCCACTTGTAGATTCTACACACCCTCACACTTCTGTTTGACCAATACTTGTTGGTATTTGCTTATCTGTACTTCTGTCTACCTTTTACCTGCCTTTAACCACCCCCTCCTTTTTTTAAGAGTTTTAATTTCAACGTGACTTCATCATTTTTTTTATTTTTTTTATTTTAAATAGCTCATTCTCTTCTCATTGTCGGTCTCTCCAGAACCCATATAAATACTTTTTGTTTCCATGAAACACACGTTTTTTGTGTACCCACCTTTCCAGCACCACAATTCAACTTTCTGTCTGCTTAAAGTCCAGGTTTCTGCAGGACAGTAGTCTTCAGCAAGATTATTTAAAGTCAGCAGAAGAGACAAACTTCTGTGATTACCTTAAAAAGTGTGGTTGGCATGTTGTGCTGTGGTTTACAGCTAGATCATGATTTTGTCTTTTACAACATGACTGTTATGGGGCCAGAGGATTTTTTCTTCTGCTAACCAAAAACGGGGCCCCAGAACCAACAAGGGAAGAGTCAACATCTGAAGACAAATGCAGAAGAAGATGCCAGGATTAAAAGCAAGCATTAGATGCTTTGATGTGAGTCCGATGGATTGGGTTTAAATCTGCACTAATGCAGGTGGATTTTTTTTAAAAATAAAGTGATCTCATTTACAGCTTTACCTAAATTTTATAAACTAATCTGTTTGGCATTTGATGGGTGTGATGTGTTCAGCATCCCACCGGACATCTTTTTTTTCCCAGGGCTTTACCTGGTTCTCATTTAAAGCTGGGTCAACCTCAGAGCCAAAGTCATTTTCTTTTTTAAAGACGAGCACCATTAGGACCTCACCCCATGACCATCCAATCTGCAGGCAAGTGTTTAACTGTTACACTGTGGCGTTTATAAAAAATATGGGCTTAGCAACCTATACTTGATGTGCCAACAGGGTTTGTTCTAAATGTCCTAGTGTTACCTTTCCCTTGGTGTAAACAAGACAGACAGGAGGGATCATGCTGCAAGGGAAAAACATAGTCTCTACAATACTTCCCAGATTTGTGCAATGGAGAGGAGCATTATTCCGATGGCTTCCTACAGTATAATATTACACTATAGTAAAGACAGAAAAAAAAAATTAAAACCTACATGTGGGTTTTGGGATCCCATTGTGGGGGGGGGGGGGAAGAAGGGAGAGAAAACAGACCCATTGCCTCCCTAACATGCATATTTTAAGAGTTGACTAATTAGGGATTTCCTAAGTAGGAGTGCATCTGCCCGAGAGACAAGAAACCAAGAGTTTGCATACAACTAAGCCAGATCTAGCAAACGGGATGTGCACATGCAAAAGTTCCGGAACCAGATTAAAGACCAGAGGTAGGTAAAAACCAGAATTGTTAATCCCGAATTTACAGCCAAGAACGTTAAGCCCGAACTTACATCCTAGAACGTTAAGCCCGAATTTAAAGCCCAAATTTACAGCCCAGAATGTTAAGCCCGAATTTACAGCTACAGCCAGTAAATTCGAAGAAGAAGAAAACTGACATTGACTTATCATTTACTTCTAAAAATAGGCATAGGAAAACAGTTGATGTGCCTCACCGAGCTATTCCTTTTCCTTCGCCTTTTCTTTGTCAGCTTGATTTTGAGAGGTGCTACTGCTTGGGCTTTCTTGTTTTTTGATCGCCGCCTGAAACTGGTTTTATCCTCTTCTTCAATCTCTGAATCATCATCATCAGCATCTTAAAAAGAACATTTAAAACATGCATGTATATTTGTGCAGTCAACCATGATCCACCCTAACATAACATATACTGAAAGAAAAAATACAGAAATCGTCCGTGCAGGGTGGCAAGCATTGCTTCAGGGATTTTATGTAATCGGCATTTTTTGGATGTTTTTGCCAGGTCATGCAGGAGTGCTAGGAAATGAACAAGCTGACATACTGGCTGGTTCTATACCCATGGGTGGTAAATTTATACAGGACAAGCTAGATGCGGTCAAGGCCCTTTGGGAGCAAGTGAACAATGCCGAGGCCTGAATCAATCATTATGGTCTGAATAGAATGGTACAGCTGCGAGTGACCAAGGGATCTGGTCAACACTCTAAATTCAGAGGAAAAGCAAGACAGACATAAAATCAAGCTGCTACAGGAACTATGGAAGTTGGAACTCTCTGATGGCTGCTAAAGATGAGGCCAAAGCACTTATGGGTATGCCCCAAGTGCAGTATTGTCTGTTCTTAGCTTAACACCAACTCAACAGTTCTCAGAGTTAATCATTCCTAGATTATCAGGTATTTACACTTACATCAATACAATAAAAGACTAAGTCTGTGATCAATCAAATCAATCAAACAAGGGTAGATTCCACCGTGAAGACCGGCAGCATTGAATCTCCTCCAAGACTTTTACTCTGGGTGTAAACTGTTGTTTGTCCAAATCCTGATGACCTCCAGCATGTACTGCTGTCTACCTCTTGCTTGCCGTGAATCATTCCCTTTGGTACAGTTTTTAATTGAACAATACTTCACAAACACCATTTTAACTCTTTTGGTACAAGAGGAAAGTTAAATTAGTTATAAATCAATGCATATGTTGATTGACACTGAAAGATTGGTGTCTTCTAACCATGAAACCACTGAGATAAAACTCTAGCAAACATGGCTTTCTGCAGACAAGAATCACTGCGCCTACCTCTCTGTGGTGTTGCTGGAGACCCAGAAGGTGTCTTCACTGATACCACAACAGGGGCTGGGACATCTGCAGCCCTGTCTGCTTTGAATGGATTGTTGGCAACAAATTCCCGCCATTTGATACCCAACAAGGCTATCAGCTTCTGCTGAGGAATCTGCAACAGACACAATTTCAAATATAAGCTAATATCATTTAGTTACAAACTTTGATCTGATAAGCCAAAGTTTGTATAATAACTGGAGGTCAACAAAGGAATCCTCACATGGTACACAAAACAAGTTTACACTCTATGGCCCTGGGAACATTAAACAAATTGGTTCTGACACGTATAAAGATATTTTAAGGGACTTATAAATAGGAAGAGGGTAGTGTACTAAACAAAATACATTCCATGGGGCCTAAAAAAAAAAACATGTACAGGGTGACTCATGACCTCTATCACTGAGGCCTATGGGAAAAATAGAACTAAATCTTTTAGTCCCACATGCACTTTCACTTTAACCCATTCAAATATAAAGTTTTAGCTTTACAGCAATAGATACTTTGGTCTGATTCAGTTCAACTGAGAATCTATAGGGCAGAAGTAGTTAAATTAATAATTCAGGTACAAAGGGTTAATATAGCATTTATGTATGACAGGTACAGCAAGCAGATAACATAATTATGGTAAGGCAAAGAAACATATGGTGCGCTGTTTGGTACTGACAGTTTTTTTTTTAAAAAGCCATCTGGCTCAAGGAACATTATGCTATTTTTCTTTTTAAAGTTAACATATCCACATTCCCAGCCAAATGAATGTTTATGCATGTGCGATAATTGCTGATAGCATTACCCAAGTGTCAGAAAAGTAACATCTACAGGGAATTAAACCCCACGAAGTTGTTATTTTCAGGGCAAAAAGGTTAACATACAGCTGTAAACCCTGACAGATTTGTTCTCAACAGCACAGCTCTTGGCAGTCATCCCAGTCTTATAAAACCAGGTGTACCAGATCTTTTCCTTCGTCTGTTCTTCTGTTCAAAAAAATGTATCAGGAGACCAATAACCTTGAAGAAAACTATTGCGCAGTCCAAATCTCCTCATGCATCAAATCTTTTTCTATCAGGAGGCCAGTAGCCTTTATAAAAACTATCGTGCAGTCTAAATCTTCCTGTGTACCAGATCTTCTTCTTCTATCAGAAAACTTACATGAGGAGGTGTAGCCTTAATGAAAACTATCGTAGTCCAAATCTTCCTGTGTATTAGATCTTCATCATCTTCCTCTTCTATCAGAAAACTTACATCAGAAGGCAAGTAGCCTTTACGAAAGCTATCGTGCTGTCTAAATCTTCCTGTGCACCAGATCTTTTCATCTTCTTCTTCTATCAGAAAACTTACATCAGGAGGTCAATAACCTTTACAAAAGCTATCATGCAGTCCAAATCTCCCTGTGTACCAGATCTTCGTCTTCGATCAGAAAATATACATCAGGAGGCCAGTAACCTTTACGAAAGCTATCGTGCAGTCCAAATCTCCCTGTGTACCAGATCTTCTTCTGTCAGAAAATGTATATCAGGAGGCCTTGGTAAAATCTACCGTGTAGTCCAATCTCGTCTGCCACATGGCTATCTCATGATTCAGGTTGACACAAGCCGGATTCCCTCTCTGCACCAAATAATTTCTGGGAAGAAATAATGATGAAGAACGTAACTGTGGGCTTCCTGTATTTTTTATTCATATAACTCTACATGTTTACCCCATCTTTGTCTACAATGTCTGCAAACTATTACAGCACTTATAAAAGTTAGACGCACAACCTTTACTGCAGTGGTTTTTCAATGCTATTCATTCAAGAGGCTGCATAGACTGAAAACCACTACTTTAGGACACACCGCAGAAAATTATAATGCTTAGTAGTCTGCCACTGCTTTCTGAAGGGATCCGCACTCCATATAGTCAAAATCAACGTAAAGTGGTTTGCTGCCAAATCGCCCACAGCTAACATCAAATCCTGGTATGTCAGGATTATGAAACTACTTACAGCCACACAATATAACCCAACAATAAATGGTTATCACCGGAGCACACAAACCTTTGGATTTTCTTTTGTCAACAGTGGTCTGGCATGCTGACTGAAGAATTTGTAATTGGTGATATTTTTGTAGTCATCTTCGGTAAATTCCAAGCTGACGTTCTTGAGTCCATTCTCGTCACAAAACTCTTCAGAACTTTTCTGAATAGGTTTTTATTAAGATATACAAAAAAAAATTACTTTTAACAAATTTTAGTAAAAATTACTATATTGGGTGCTTTATTTTATATCTTACCCCAAACAGGGGATATCCACAGGTCACGGGACAGTCTAATATTTCAGAGAGGTGGCAGGTAGGCTGCATGCAGTTGTGGGATCTAGGCTGCAGCAGTCGTAGGAATTAGGCTGCACTCTCTTGTGGGACATAGGTGGGTTCGGGTTAGGACCAGTTCTAGATGTTTTGGGGTCGTTAAAAGCATCAGAAAGCCGTGAAACACCGTCTTACCATCCTCTAAAATGTTGGACTGTCCTGTGATGTCATCTGGGGTAAGATATAATTAAAGCACCACACATGGAAAATAAAGTCACTTTTTACATATGAGTAAAAGTTACTTTATCGTAACCAAAGGGATCATTCACAAAGATAAAACAACATTTTCTACATCATAACCAGCCATCCTTAACAAATTAACATACAAAGAAACTTCAGCCAACAAAGATAATTTGTTCTAAAAACTTTGCAGCTGAAATCTTCATTAGCCGAAGCATAATTGAACACATAACACCTCCATATGTGTTAGATCACGCGGCCGCTAAAACATTCATTAGCTGAGTCCAAATCTGTTAGCCTAGGCTAACATTTTGTTTAATGTATCTTAATTAGCCAAGTCACTCATTAGTTAGCATATCACTCAAATTAAAAATATTTCAGTGCAGGGTTACAAAATTAACTACAGTAAATAAGAGATTTTGCAGTGACAAAGTAAACAAAGAAAAAAGCAGCAACAAAAAGAAGGCAATCCTTTTCTTATCATTAACTGGCTGTGAATTCCAGCTGAAATTTCTGGTCCCTCCACTTCTAGGCTTTGATTGTTTTTCAGAAATTGAGTTTTGCCTGCAGACCTGTTTTACAAATCTGCCATATTTAAATGCAGACTGTTGGTCCTGGCTTGCCTCTCAGGCAAATGCAATCTGACTCTAAAGTAAACATCTCTACAGACATGTTTGTTCTGGAGGCAGAGAGTCTATCCCCCCCTCCCCCCAATAGCGCCCAGGTTGTTGCTGCAATGTCCTTTGTGTCGTCTTTATTTCTTGCGCCGTTTAACCCCCAGTGAGGTAAAGGTCCTCAACCAACTTACACCAGGTTATTGTAATCACTGCCATTTACAAGTCATCTAATGTCCTCTCCTCATCTTGTTCACTTCATTCTCCAATTCTCTTGTTTTTTGTTGTGGTTTTTTTTTGCTGTTGTGGGTCTGCCTCTATTTTTTTGACGCAGTGGATTCAGATGCAAGGACACTCTAATTACAATCAGCTTTTTTTCCAGCTGTCTTCTTTTTAATGCCAGCATCTTTTTTACTGGATATTGTAGTTCTCTCCCAAATCTCCAAATTAGTAATTCAGTCATAACATTTAATTTCCTCTATTCTGTGCAGGCATAAGTTAACTGGTATTTCTAGTTTATTTTTTGTTTTATAGGAAAACTGGAGGAAAGAAGTAGAAATGGACATGATTAAACCAGACTGTACCAGGCCACCACCACCTGAAGAATCTAGCAGACGCAGAATACAGGCACAGTAGCGAAATGACCAGAGGTCACTAGGATGTGAAAGGGACACTTATTTGTGGCATTATAACTAGAGTGTTAGAACCATAGATTAGGAGACTGTGTCTGACATAAGACATATGTGAAAGGCACAGGAAAAGTAATTGACACATTTATAGTGGCCAGATACTGCCTGGTGCTTTGATGGAGGATGTAGATTAATATCTCCCAGCTAGGTACTAGAAACACAGGCCAGAAGACATATGTACTGACAGTTTAAATGGAGCTGTGAGACTGCATAAGTCTATTCAAGGTGAAATGTCCTGTCTAAGAGGAGGCATCAGGTTACAAAGTGCCGACTCACTGAATAGAAAGAATATAATAAAGAGCGAGGACAGACAGAAAGAGTCATGTCTTTAGCAGCAGACAGATAGGAGACTTGGTCCAGGATGAGGACACAGGGAGAAATAAGATATGCCCAGTATCAGCAAATTTTGGCCCACTGCTGAAGAGAACTATACTTTGTCACATATAGTTCATCTAAAGTTTTGGCAAAACATCAAAATTGAATGTTATACTTGTGAGTAGCAGCTGAATAAAGATAAAAGTAAACATAACACAAAATTGGCTAAAAGAAAGATCGCTGGCCTTCATATTATAATAGTTTATAAACATTCAATAAGTATTAAGAGAGATGTTAGAAGTACAGATGTATGACATACATAGCATAAATTGAGAAATCATCATCCCTGTTTATATACAATGAAATCATTGACGTTCTTAACCCGCCACTTGTTTTTACAATAAACAATTTAAATATTGTCTAACTTGTTTAATCAAGGACCATGATGTAATACACTGGACCCACAATGATCTTCTTATCTCTTATGTCCATGATGGCATGCTTGAAGGAACTTGAGAAGTATGAAAGTGCTGATGTCATTTCTAGTCATTCCTGTTTCAGTTCCATAAAGCAGTGTTTATTAGTTTTATTGATTATAACTGATTTTATATTTTTTTTTCTAGTTTACAGTTTAACCAACAGCTCCCTACCTGTGTTGGTCTTCCAACAGGAGCTGCAGGTGTCAGCTGCACTGGAGCATCCTTCTTTTTCTTCTCCTTGAGCGGCTTGAATCCAAATGATTTGTCGTCGTCAGAACAATCAATCTCGCTCTCCTAGAAATTGAGAATAAGCGAAGAGGAAAATGGGAATAGGCACAATTTCTTCTTTTTATCAGTAAAATAAAAGTGGCACCATGAATGTTGAATTATAGTTTATTATTTTTTCTCTCTCTATCCTAGCTTTATATCCTTTTATTGGCTGGCATTATAAATCAGCAGACACTAAAACAAAGCGCTTTATAATATATTTTTTTATACCAACTCTGTGCCAACAAAAATAAACTTGGTGACAAATGGCAAGCTACAGAGAAAGAGATCAAGGAAAGACAGAGATAAATATCTGGATGGCCAAGCTCCCATGGTTGACAAAGAACACTGACCAGATATGTGATTCTGGGAGTGTGTGATGGTTAACCATAACCCCTTAAATTATCAACATGGCCTATGATGGTGATGATGATGACACCAATGCTACACTTGGACAATGACTGAAGTAGAGAATATAAAACTTGCAATGGCAATAAAATTATTGAGAAGAGCACCCGACATATCGAGCCGTGAGAAGATCAGAAATGATGAAACTAGAAAAAGGTGGGAGGTACTGACAGCACATTTAATTAGAAAACAAAGGTGAAATATTTGGCCATTTAATTTGTCTAACGAGAGACAGAATACCCTAATCAGCAATAATGGACAGACCAAGGAACTAAGCCAAAGGTCGAAAAGAAGCCAGAAAGACAGAGAAAGAAAGAAGTAATTTAATAACAGAAAGAAAGAAAGAAAGAAAGAAAGAAAGAAAGAAAGAAAGAAAGAAAGAAAGAAAGAAAGAAAGAAAGAAGGAAAGAAACTGATAAACACAAACCATTGATCAACAAACAAACCTCCTCATCACTGTCATGTCTTCTTTTCCTCTTCTTGGATTTCTTCTTTCGCTCACTGCCATCTCTCTGTTTTCTCTTCCTCCCTCTTTTACTAGGCTGCCTCTCGATCACCTCCTCGTCATCGTCGTCTTCTTCTTCTGTTCAGAAACAAACAGGGAAACCACCTGACGCAAAGCGACTTATCTGACCAGTTAATAATTTCTACTCTATGTAAAGCGGACTATGAAGGGATGAAAAGCACCCTGCTTGTATCAGATACTTGCTGAGCTTGGTAGAAGACTATGTCTGATGAAAAAAAAAACCTGATGAAACTTTCTGATGAAAAACTACCTATTATTTCTTGCTTTAGGTAAAGTGGACATTGTGAATCCTCTGGAGGACCGTGGTTGTTAACCCTGTCACCTCGGTTATGCTTTAGGTAAAAAAATGGTCATGACCCTCATAGGAATCTCCAACAAACAAGGACGCTGAGTGGCCTTAGGGCATGGTGTCTGCCTCGAGTGCTGGAGGTCCCAGTGAAGGCTGAGGTTTCTTCATGGGGACTTGCAGTAGTTTTCTCTGGTCCCTGGGTAGTAAAATCGGATGCCTGTGTGTATTGTGGAGCACGTAAAAAAATCACTTGGCAGTTGGAAATCAAAAACAGTAGCCTAAGAGCGCCTTCTAGCAAAATTTGGAGTTTGAAAATCTACCCAAAGCATTTCATGATCCTCGCTGGTGCTACGGAGTTCCTGCATTGCGCTGAGATTCTTCGGACTCAGGATTGTTAGAAGTAAAACGAAGCACTTATGGATTACTACCTTTGTGCCATGATAGTGATCCATTGTTTAAACCAAAACAAACCAATCCCAACAAACAAACAAACAAAAATCTGTTACCATTTTTTAAAAACAAATTTCACTAATAACTATTTAAAATATTTATTTATCTACATTTGTAACTTGTTTTCCAAATATATAAAGATACTTAATGGGAGTAATCAATAAAAAGAAACCAAGTGAAGCATTCCCCGGGATCTAAACAAAAAAATATGTATCGGGTGAGACAGGTTGTGACCCGGTGACCTCTATCACTGAAGCTAGGGAAAATGTATAATGCCCACCTGGCTTTATAAAAGCCATCTGGTTTACAAGGAAACCCCTTCAATGCTATTTTTAGTAAGAATATTCACACCTAGACCTAAGCACTGCGCAGGTGTGAACTCAGCCAACAGCATTAACTATGCGTTTCCTATAAAACATCATTACAGACAAGTAAGTGGTCACGCCGTTTGCCTCGCAACCTGAAGGTTGTGGGTTCGTTTCATGGCTGCGGCGTTCAGTTCACGAGTGCCATTTTTACAGAGATCACTGGGGATCGTCGCTGAAGCTATAGAGTTCATGCTCTGTGCTGCGCAATGTGTGATAAAACCCAGTAGAATGAGGTCGGTCCTCTCGAATTTCAACTTCAGACAAGTCAGAAAAGTGACATTTACCAGAAACTGGACCAAACCCGAAGTGTCAGTTCCGCAACTTCTCAGGGCAACAGGGTTCACTCTCAAAGTCCAATACATCAGCATTTACATCAATCACCTCAGTCTTAACTCATAGGTTCCTACCTTAATGCCTATCAGCATTAAGGATCTTTGGCTAAAAGACTGCAAATTACCACAGCTTTCACACAGATCCAACATAAAATGGTAACAAGGAAATGTCATGGAAAGTAAAGGTAGCTGGCATGACCATGACTGACCATATCACGCAAGTTCCAGTGGACCAAGAGGTGAAGAAAAATAGCTGGCGTTGGATAGGATACACGCTGAGAAAACCTGAGAACAACAAAACTAGAATGTCTTTGCACTGGAGCCCAGAGTGGCATAGAAATAAAGCGGAGAAGGGAGGTAAAGAGTAATGTTAAAAAGACAGGGAGGACATGGAGTGAGCTGCATGCAACAGCGAAGGACAGAACGACTTGGCGTGAGTTGGCTGAGGGTCTGTGCTTTATCAGGGAGCTAGAAGGAACAAGAAGCAGCAGAAATTTCAAGTTTATTCAGAGCATAGTAATACACCCAACAGCACATCAGTTCCCCAACAAGAGTTGTGTATTTAGCTCCTGTGGGTGCAGTATACACATAACGATGTTGTTGTATGTGGATATATGAAAGTATATTTAGGTTTGTAAGTATGTGTGATAGTATATGAGTGTATGTGTGATTGTGGGTGTGAGTGTATATAATGTTTGCAAGCATGAATGTATGCAGGTATGCATGTGTATGTAATATCTGTACGGGTGATTGTATTTATGTGTGTGTATGTATGTAATGTGTGTGGGCATGTATGTATGTATGTATGTATGTATCTAGGTGTGTACATATGCATGTTGGTGGATGTATGTATGTATGCATATTTAGCTGTGTAAGTATGTGTATATGTGTGTATTTAAGTATGTATGTATGTATGTATGTATGTATGTATGTATGTATGTATGTATGTATGTATGTATGTATGTATGTAAAGATGTGAGTGTATGTATAAATGTGTGTAAGTATGCATGTATGTGTATGTATGCATGTATGTATTCATGTAAGAGTAAATGTGTGGTTATGGGCATATGTTGGTGTCTGTACACATGACTGTATATGTGTGTATGTATGGATTGTGTGTGTGCATGTATGTCCATAAATCTATGTGTGTGTGTTTTCTGTTTGTGCATTTATGTCTATGTATGTGTTTTATGTTTGTATATGTATGTAGATGTGTGTGTATGTATCACGTGTCTGTATATGAGTTTGCATGTATGAGAACGTAGGAGTATGTATATGCGTGTGTGAGTGTGTACGACTGTGTACACATGATATGTGTATGCATTATTCTATAATTTATATTTCTTTATTATATCTATAACATGCATTATTGATAACAGGTATTGGTACTCTGAAAAATGAGTGCTTAGAAGGGCCAAATGTCAGACGGGCCTTTGTGCCCAATTTGTAACCCTGTAAAAATAAAGTTTGTTCGTTCGTTGTCATTATTACGTTAATTCATTTGGGATTCAGATATGACCTTCTGGGACTGAGATTTTTTTTAACAATGAGTCTGACACTATATGCCTAAAAACAATAGGCATAAATTAAACCACTGACTTTAACAAAATAAGCACAAGGAAATGTCTTGGAGTCTTCTTTGCATTCACCGGCTGTAAACTCTGGTGGAAAGTTATGAGTGTCCGTCCACCTCCAGACTTTAGTCTTGTTCCAGAACCTGAGTGCTGCCCCCACATCCGTTGCACACATCTGGCTTATCTCTTGGTTTCTTGCTTTTCAGGCAGATGTACTCTGACTTCGAAAGTCCCCCAATTAGTCGACTGCTATGAAATGCTTGCTAAAAAAGGCAGTGGGTCTATTTCTCTCTCCACACCCCCACCCCCCACCCAATATAAGGCCCCAGAACTCACACAGGGATCTTGGAAAGCAAAGTTAGCTGTTGTAACAGAGACACGTCACACTGTGATGTCATCTCTGGGTGTTGATCTACAAATATGGGTCCAGCACAAAATGCCTGGCCTCACTACCATGAAGTATGAAGATGGAAAAGATAATCCAAGTCAAGTAAAATAAAAGAACCATTTCATCAGGAGAGTATAGTATACACATTCAGATTATTATCATTATCATTACATTACACAAATAGTGTAATTAAACGCACATATCTGAACTCGTTCTCAGTAGATTCATTCTGATTCAACATTTCTATAAAGTTTCAATATTTTCCCACTGCATTCAAATATGAGATCATCATTGAACATGGTATGTGAGTTTTCATTGTCATTGTGACTGGAATTTCAATTAGGAATGGGTGAGATTCAGATATCTGATATCATTATTTATTATCATTCATTGTAAAATTACTAAATCAGAAGTGGAAGGAATTACCTAGAATAAGATAAGAATACTTGACAAAATGTCACCTCTATCCCATTCGGTTGCTTTCAGCAAGGAATATATGACAGAAAAACAAAAAACACCCAAAGCGACAAGTGCAACATTCAATTGATATCTCTAATCCTGCCCAGTTTGAGTTTCCCTTCCTCCGATCAACAACAACCCGATTGAATTGCTTGCCAGCTCGCTCATCAATAACCCAAGCCATCAACCTAAAACAAATTATCGCAGCACACTTTTCCTGATCAAAAACACAACTAAGCAAATCTCCGACAAATATTTAACACATTTTTTAAACGAACTCCGCGGGTTTCACGCCACTATTCGCTCACATTTTGAAAAAGAAACCCAGCTCGTCTGCTGCCGCCATCAACAGATCGGCGACATGCCGACATTAATGAAACTAAAAATAAACCACAGACAACCCCCCTCTGGCCCCGATACCACTTACCTTCTCCGCCGTCGTCTTCCATTTCCACACTTATGTCATCGTCATCTCTTCTCGACATCTCAAACAACAGCAACGTCTATTTGATAAATATAACCTCCAAATGTCCACAAGTGAGAAATATCCACAGAAATTCGATAAAATAATTCTCCCTCTCCACCCTCAAGAACCGCTTTCAAGGAGGTAAATGAAGGAACATGCGCGAACGCCGTTGATTGGACATCCCATAATTTCTATCCCATAATTTCCATCCCATAATTTCTGTCCCATAATTTCGGCGCTGTAAAGATAAGTATAATGAAACATAGTGTTATGGTAGTAAATCAGTGTTGTGTCCAGTAGAAAGACCATACATGGAAATGCAATTTTTTTTCGGTTTTAATTTAAATAAGAATTTAACTGGAATCGTCAAATTCAATTATTTAATAAATCCCCGTGTGGGTTCCTTGTCCTCATTTTGGGGTAAAACAAGAATAGGCACACTGCCCTAACCTTCAACAAGGGTGTCGTAAAAGGCGACTAATAAGTGCTCAAATTGGATGTATTGATGAAAAGTGCAGATATCGCAGCCTAGCTGAAAACCACAATACAACATGCCAAAAGTCCTTCTACAGACAAACACAGAAGAAGAAGAAGATATAAATATACATAACCAAATATTCAGAAACAGAAAACAGAGATGTGGTTTCTAATCTTTGTGTCATTCATCATTCTTCTACCGTTATAGGTGGCAATCGATAAATGTGCCTTATATTATCTTGTAGGATCAAGTTCAACCCTTACCCGCGCCGGACTGTAGGGTACATCACTTGATGAAACTGTCACGGGGAGAGGTACGGCAGTCTGGGAGGCTCAGATGTCTTGATCTCTCCCTTCCTGCTATCATTTGAGTTGAGTCAAGAACTGACATCACAGCACTCGGGGCATTCCCATGCATGCTCCGTCCTCATCTTCAGCAGCCAGTGCAGAGTTCAAATACTGGTGGTACCAGTCGCAATCTGGTTATATGTCCGTCTTGCCTTTCCTCTGAGTGTATTGAGCCGGCCAGACCCTCTGGTTACACCCAGATGCCTCATTATCTCCAGGCCATAATAATCTTCTATCTCTGCTGATTCCGTTGCTTGTTCCCAAAGGGAACAATAACATTTGTTCCCTGAGAAAACCTGTAATGGGCATGAGGGCTCCTCCTTATTCCGTCTGTATGAATACCTCTGGTCCTATTACTCAAAAGGACGTTGAACGAGGTATCCAGTATTTGCCCTGTTGGTTTGCTTTCCAGGAAGAGATTCTTAAGGGTGGTCAAACCTGCAGATAGCAACCCAGAGGAAAAAAGGGAGGAGAGGGACATATGTAGTCTTCTTCTCCGCGTTCACTGGCTGTAAACTCCAGCGGAAAGTTCTGGTTTTTCAACTACCTACTTGTTCCAGAACCTTAGTGTTACGTGTACATCCGTTTTACATATCTGAATTATTTGTATTCAGACTGTTGGTTCCTTGCCTCTAAGGCACATGCACTCCGATTTCGAAGAAAACTCCCAACTAGTCGACTCTTCCGACCTGCTTGTTGGGGAGTCAGTGGGTCTATTCTTGTTTTCCCAGACAATGGGGCACTGGAACCCACACAGGAAACATATGTAGGCCTAGTTAGTAAGGTAGTAAGACCAGACATTCGTGTGTATTGTGGCGCACGTAAAAAAAAAATCCATTGGCAGTTGGAAATCGAAAAGAGTAGCCTAAAGGCGCTGCCCAGGCAAGATGTAGAGTTAAAAATAACAAGTATTTCAGGATCCTCACCGGTGCAACAGATTTACAGAGTTCGTACACTGCGCTGAGATTCTTTAGACTCAGGCTTGAGTTAAAAGAAGAACGGAACACTTATGGGTTACACCCGTGTGCCATGATACTCATCAGTTGAATAAACAATAAACAAAATATAGTGGTAACAGTGGCTAACACACCTAGGGGCCTTACACTTATAATTGTAATTTATATGCACTGCGTTTAACAAAATATAAGAATAATCCCAAACAGAGCGCCCCCCCCCCCCCCCCCCCCTCCCCAAAAGTAAAGAATCTTAAGAGGTTCTGGTGACAACCACAGTGTCTGTTTAGGCAGCACTGAAAAACAACAACAACAACGATACATTAACTCTTTGAGTCCCAGGTTGGATGCCACTTAACTGCATAATGACCTAAGAATTTGTGGTTGAAGCAACAATTCCTGGCCCACACCCACCGGGATTCGGCGTCATTCATGCCTGCTTACCTTTGACATGCGTTAGTCTAAGTCAAAGGGAAGTCACGTTGTGTTCTGTTATGTACATATTAGGCTTCATGTGAGCGTTCAGGTACGCGGTATTTTACTCGTTGTTCTGAGCGGCGGGCGATTATGTATATATTTTAGTTTCTCGGACTTCAAGTACGACATAAATTTACTTCAGTTCAAAATAATTCTCCCTTTCCTGAGGAAAAAACTCTTTATATTCAGGGTCTATGTCCGAAGAAGAAGAAGAAGAAGAAGAAGAAGAAGAAGAAGAAGAAGAAGAAGAAGAAGAAGAAGAAGAAGAAGAAGAAGAAGAAGAAGAAGAAGAAGAAGAAGAAGAAGAAGAAGAAGAAGAAGAAGAAGAAGAAGAAGAAGAAGAAGAAGAAGAAGAAAGAAGAAGAAGAAGAAGAAGAAGAAGAAGAAGAAGAAGAAGAAGAAGAAGAAGAAGAAGAAGAAGAAGAAGAAGAAGAAGAAGAAGAAGAAGAAGAAGAAGAAGAAGAAGAAGAAGAAGAAGAAGAAGAAGAAGAAGAAGAAGAAGAAGAAAAAGAAGAAGAAAAAGAAGAAGAAGAAGAAGAAAAAGAAGAAGAAGAAGAAAAGGAAGAAAAAGAAGAAGAAAAAGAAGAAGAAGAAGAAGAAGAAAAAGAAGAAAAAGAAGAAGAAGAAGAAGAAGAAGAAGAAGAAGAAGAAGAAGAAGAAGAAGAAGAAGAAGAAGAAGAAGAAGAAGAAGAAGAAGAAGAAGAAGAAGAAGAAGAAGAAGAAGAAGAAGAAGAAGAAGAAGAAGAAGAAGAAAAAGAAGAAGAAGAAGATGAAGAAGAAGAAGAAGAAGAAGAAGAAGAAGAAGAAGAAGAAGAAGAAGAAGAAGAAGAAGAAGAAGAAGAAGAAGAAGAAGAAGAAGAAGAAGCTGGTTGGAGAAGAATATGGAGGAGACAAAGCGATAAGATAAAAATAGACATAATGTATATATGAGAGTGTTTGGAGGCGACACTAAGAGGTAGCTACACTCTCTCAAATCAGCCCGCAAGGAAAGTCCGTCTCCAGTCAGCCTTGTTTGTCTGCTGAAGTAATATCAAGGTCCAGTGGATTTATTTTTTTTTTAGTATCCAGAAGCCATGAGTTGTTAACCCTTAGGCTCGGTATTATGGATATCGCAACCCTTCGGTCTTGATTCCATGATAAATACCGTAAATCTGGGAGAAATGTCTACCCCCTGGCGTGAACCCGGACCACAAGGAGTTCGTCACCCGGTCACCGCGCAATCCGGTTTAGCCAACTACGCTAGCGAGCCGGTCAAGTCCAGTGGATAGGCGAGTTCTTCCTGTTTGTCTGAACTGCGAGCCCAGAGTTGAGGGACGCTGTAGACCTATCGAGCTGTAGTGGTCAGGGAGAGGTCGCTGCAAGTTGAGAGAGAGCGACTGAGGACTAAATGGACTATGTTCGAATGTCATTTAGGATCAATGTCTACGTCTGCAGTTGTGTCATGTAACCTGTTGAATAAAATGTATGTTTGTTCTGGTTTTGCTACTGCCCTGAGTAACAGCTGTCAAGAATCTGCTCTGACTGTCCGCCTCATTTCCATAAACCTCGGAGCTACTGTCGTCGAGTCCTGCTTCGAGTGAGAGGGAGCGAAAGTTATACCTTCTGGACACATGGAAGTGCGCTGATTTGTGTGTAACAGATAGCACACAACAGTATGAGAGCGTTTGGAGGCGACACTAAGAGGTAGCTACGAAGAAGGGTATTCTGGAAAGAACGAGAAGAGAGAGAGAGAGAGAGAGAGAGAGAGAGAGAGAGAGAGAGAGAGAGAGAGAGAGAGAGAGAGAGGGATGAGAAATAGAAACGGAGAAGGATACTGCAATCCCTCTGTAAGGTTTAAGGAATGAGGCGGACAGTTAGAGCAGATTCTTGACAGCTGTCACTCAGGGCAGTAGCAAAACAAGAACAAACACCGACTCTGCTATGTTATCAGAACAAACACCAACACTGCTATGTTATCAGAACAAACACCAACACTGCTATGTTATCAGAACAAACACCAACACTGCTATGTTATCAGAACAAGCCCTATCATTGCTATGTTGCGTTATCACAGTCGACGTGACTGCACATTGAGCATTCGCATGCGTGCTCAGTCCTCCGAAACAGCAGCCACGCCAAGGTATTTCTCTCTAATTATTCCAACGAGGTTAGTTATAATGTTCTCTGTCTCGGCCTCGAAGGCGATATAGACTTAACACTGCATACTGGAGCAGCATGACATCGCACCCCAGCTGGCAAGCCTTCTAACATTTGTGTATTATTACACACCAGGGGCATGGATCCTGGGTGCCCGGATACCTCACCACTTTCCAACCACATTATAAAATTCGTTAAGGGATTAAACGCCCCCCACCCAACCCCCAACCCCTGCTCTTTCCTCTGTGTATGAAAGTTCGCTTCCAACCTTTTTTGGAAACACTTTAGATTATTGTAAACATATTATTATAAATAGATTTGCCATCCAGTACATAATGAAAATGAGAAGAATTATAATTTTGATTATTATTAAGTGATTATTAGTCCTCTGAAAGTACTGGAGAGTTTTGGTAAATGCCATTCTGGTCTCAAGACTCAGTTAAGGGAAAACCCCAACTGCACCTCCACACGGTAGAGGATGGTAAACACACTGCGGTGTGGCCAACGCAGCTATGGGTACCAATTATCCGCCGGGATAAGTGGACACCTCTGGGGTGCCCTCTGCTGTTAACAGGAACATCACACAGCAGGGTACTCACTTGCCCTAGCAATAGAAAAGGTTGCTGAA